TGCAGCCTACGTGCTGGGTCGTAACAATTATGGTTTTAGGCTAGAGCCTAGACCTAGCGATAGTAGCGAGTCTATATAGTGCTAGATTAAATAGTCACAAGGGACTTGTTTAATACGTACCCTTTTGGCTCCACGGTCAATTATAGGGCTCCAGGCAACCCCCGGGACGACTGCGGCTAGCACCCGCGATGGCCCAATCGGGCTAGTCCGTCACAAAAGCTAGTTAATAAAAAGTAGCTTTATGTTATAGTTTTCCCCTTTATTGCGGAGGGTTAAGAAATACTATAATTAATAGGGTAATAAAATTATTAAATAAATAAGCTACTAAAAGTAGCTTATTATAGTTATTAATTATAAAGAAGGAAATTATTATTATTATAAGCTCTTAGCTAGCTTAATAAAATATATATATTTTAAATAAAATACTAAAAATTATGTTTTTAAATAAATTAAGCTATTATTATTAAAAAATTTATAATATTAAAGCTAAAAATATTATATTACTAGGTATATAATAAAAAATAATATATTTTTATTTTTTTATATATAAAATATACTAAAAGGTATAGGTTATAGAGTCCCTGACCCTATTAGGCTAGTAAAGTGGGCTATAGCGTCCATGTATACAGCTCCTAATAGATATACTCCTGAAAGAACCGTCCGATCAGGCAACTAAACAGATTCAGATCGCTGTCTGAAATCCTTGCCCTTGTTGCGCTTTCAGCAATCATCATCCTGGTCAGCATACGAAACAGACCACCTGTTTGCATACCAACCATGGTCAGATATTCAGCGACAGTCGGACATAGGGTGTGGTGTATCCAGTAGAGATCAAAACTCTGCCCCCACGAGCAGCTCGTGCATCTCCCCAATGAGGATGAAAATGTTTTCTGAATTCTGAAGCTCGGTGGCTTTACCCGTCTCTGAAACATATTGATACATAATGAAGGACGGCTTAAAAAGCATGAGGTTGTGGTGTTCGGATATAAATAGCTAAGGAATTATCTGGTGCCTATTGCCTTGTTTAATTACTCTAGTCAGCATACGCCAAAAGCCACTCACGAGTTGTCTACCAATGCAGCATGTCTCCAAGCCGCACAACAGCACAATATTATTCACCTTCGTTACTTATTGTATTCAAACATCAGATATTGCGAATCTAATAAACTCCAGGAACATGTCGGCATATGCATTGAGATGAATAATTGGCTTGCAGCGCTAAGCAAAGTATTGTTCAAGAAATTTTTTTTGAAAAAATCACAGTCTCGGGTTGGGCATGTCTATGGCCCAAAAGACAACCTTTGCCTAGATATCATCCACACGCGCCACGTCGTCGCAGACCCGACCATCCAGGCCACCCACGTTAAATGGTGTCGTTGACTTGCCGATGGTTACAAACACCAAGGACAATGGACGGGTTTCAGTTGGCCGTGACTCTTGAAATCCATTACTTCGTTGTTCGACTTGCGCCCGAACTCTGCGTAGAGAGTATTGATCTTGCCTTTTTTGAATGTTCCATGTTAACCAGGCAGCAGTCCCATAGCGAATAACGCTATACCTCAGAACGAGGCTGCATCTCTTTTTTTGCAAACATGAGAAGGAAAAAGGAAGCGACAGCCTGCCGCTGATGCTCACGCACCGGGTTTCATGCAGGACGGGGGCCGACAAATCTGCGGCCACTGCATCAGGTGAGGCTGTAATTTGAACACATATTTGCTCAACTCGAGCCCCGGCAATCTGTGTGCTGCTCCGTCACGGCAAATCAGAGATAGTATGAACAGCCTGTTTAAAATGCCTGCGAACCCCCAGGGGCTGGTCAGATTAGTACGACAGGTCTATTTCCATTCCTTGTCTTCGGTCATTAATAACACATTATGGCTGCAAGCATATCCTACCGTTTTCTGACTGCCTCTCAAGTCAAAAGGTTGTATACACAACACATTGCTACATCGCCGCCAACCCAACTAACCATGCTGGAGTCCGCTATTGACTCACCAATGAATCACAAGAACTATCGACAAACAGACTTGTTTTAACTAGCTGGTGTCCTTGCGGAAAAGGTGATTCTTAATCACCTATACCAGGACGGTAATAAATAAACTACTTTATTCGCCGCAGACATGTTTTTAAAGATCAATGGGTACCTGTTGCAGAAAAAGCCAATAGAGAATGACGACACAGCACTGAATCAAGGGCTTGCTGATGCCCATGTCCTTGTCGCCACGAGCCAGTGGACATCAGAGGACCTTGGGCATTACTATGCCAGTGTGGCTAGGCCGTTGGGGAAAATGAGCAAGGAGATCAGAGAGTATAGCAAGAATGCTGTCAAGCACTAGCTGCGTTGGTAGGCGGGCAGCCAAGATATCATGGTATTTCGTCAATGGTTTGCGCAAATCGGGTTTCGGGCTCATTTCACTTTGCCAGCTGCAATGACAAGTTGTTAATCATATTGCCCATATTGTCCGGGCTGCTTCTGTTCCTCAAGCGCAGAACGTTTCAAGCCCCTTACATCATCTATCCCGCAAGAGTTCAGCAGCGCCCTTTAACCTCTTGTGGCTCTCCCGTGAAGATTCCTCAAACAGATCTGAAAAAATAAGTATTTGCTGTGGTTTTGAATGCAGAAAGACTCACGATCTGCTGTGCCATCTAAGGTAATAGAATGTGACGCGCCCCATAGCCATAGTGTTGCAGGACTCGTGTTGCTTGCATTCTGCCGCGGAAGGTTTCGTTCGATGACCATGCGTGGATAAGGTACATTAGCTTGAAAAGAGATTTTATTAGTTAAATCACGTTGGCGCGAACCCGGGAGACGTGCCATGAGTAAAATGCAAGGTGTCATGGGAAAATGTCAGGGCAATTTTCTCAGAATCCGAAGCAAGGCATATGCCAGTTTGGTTGGAGATGCCTGACTTCATGGCAAGGCCAATATCTTTATTAAATATGATGTAGGCTTCATGGGGTTCACCAATGAATATGTCAAGTTTTTGTGTCGTGAGAGATCCTCTTAAGTCGAAGGCAATAAAGTCTGCTTTTGCGTCGTGGAATGTCCTGCGAATCTGAAAGTCTCGGCTCCCTCGCAAAGAAAGCGTCCGGAGAGAAGTAAATTGTAGTGCCAGACGGGGAGGCATTGTGACATATGTACCAATTTCGCGAATGATGATTACAATTGAAGAGTGAAAGATTTCCGTTACAGAATTTATGGCTGACGGATCGGGTAAATATGTAGCCGAAATGCGCTGTCGAATTTACTTGAAATAGGCTGCAGGGAAGAGCGGAGGATGAAAAGAGCACGTAAGGCTGAAACAAATATCAGAAAAATACCAGACTAGATTCGATGCAAGCCACAGGTTCTGGGTTCCCTGGCGTCGCGATCGGTCTTCCTTGGTTCAATGTTGCTCTTCTTCGCGGTTCAAGCTTGAGCGTGTAGAGTTTTCAACCAAGCAATCATGGCCACACGGCAAATAACTCACGATCTCATATCACACGAACACGAGCACTTCCATCCAGATGTACCCGACGTCGGTTAATGATTCGCTAACGGTCATCCGCAGATGCGGCACCTGTAGTCAATTAGGCTATACTTCGAGACTTCTCAAGCGTGTATCCACTTCGTTTAATTATCTTTTGCATGCCGTCTGGTGCTGGCTGATATATTATGAGGCTGATGAGAGAGAGAGCGGTGATAGTTTTGAGCTTGTCATACGGGGATAGCGGCAAAACAGCACCATTGCTTTACGTAGGTGCTCTAACCAGTGTCTGGTACATACTGGCACGGGTACCAGACATCAATTATGTCAACATTGAACTAGCCCTCGACCCCAGGCTCAACTGCTGCTGGTAGGTTTGACATGTCTGGTCATACCAGCAACATACATGTAGCGCCTAGAGCTACCACCGACCGCTAATCGGGCACCCACAATAGGCGACAGCAACCAAACCGCACCAGACTGAACATTGAATACTGGTCCCTGCAGTGTGCTAGTAACTACTCGGCCGAATTGCTAGTACCAGACTCTTAGGTCGCTGGTAGCCCGGAGGGGCACGCCGCTATAGCCCGTGGGTGCTAGTAGCCATCAATTGATACGATGGAGTTGGTCGATAAAGACAATCAGAGAAATCGCTGTATCCGCAGTGCGAACCCTAACCCCAAGGCCTAGAGCCAAGAGTGGCGTTTTTAAGTTGCAGCTTGCCGCCGAGTTGTGCAAGAAAAAAAGGCAGCCGGCATAAAGGACGAAACTGGATCAAAGCCTACGCCAAGATGTACGGGATGAATCAATTATGTTGTGCGTAGCAAGTTTCGTCGCATCTTTGTGGACAACTAGGCACGAACGCAGCATCGAGCGATGCGGGGAAGATCAGACTGCTGGCTTTGATCTCAGTGCAAGAATATTGACTGATCTAAGAGGAATTACGCATCCAAGCAGCATCCTGTCAGATTCTTCCACCTTCTGGCGGGCAACTCAGACATACATATGTACGTCCGGTGTATTAGCCTGCCAATAAGTATACACTAATCTACTGCAGCACACTTTACTGTCCCGCCACGATAGCCAGTTACTTGGTCTGGTCCAATTCTTACTGCTTACCACCAGCTTGAGACTCAACGTAGTACACGTACCAGCATTAATGAGTTGCTGAGTCTAGACTAGCTTGTGCACCGCAGAGTCCGGTGATAGGGCCAAAGCGTGTCGATCCGATGTAGTACTCCGAACGGGGTACACAGAGGCCGCACTCGAGCCGAATTACTAAGACCGCAATGCCCTTGGGAAATGCCGCTTATCAGTTGATGTGTTTCTGTGTTGCACAGAGCCGAGATTAGTCCGGCGCAAACGTCTTATCGGCCCCCGGCATTTCGTACTGATGATCCCAATACAAACTAAGCCACCAGCATTTCACCCGGCATCGCGTCCCTCTTTCTCTCAGTTGCTAAAACCTGAGCAGAGCAGCCTATACATGGTCAGCGGGACAAGAAGTTGACGGGCATCAAACCCTCAACGAAAATGCCAACGACCAAGGCAGCCACGCCCGAACCTCACGATGCGGCGGCGGTCGAGGCGCCCGCGTGTGATGAGGTGGCGTCTCACCCCCGTCCTCTTGCGTCCGTCGAGGCCAGAGTCAGGCGAAAGCTTGATACACACGTGTTGCTGCTCCTGTGCTTTCTGTGTCAGTTGGCCAAATCTCGTACAACATTCCAAAGTTCGGCTCTAATGTACCATAGTCTTGTTGGCTTTCTTGGATCGATCAAACATCGGGTAGGACGGCGCTTAACACGGTCATGTTCCAGGACGGCGATGAGCTGACATGTGTCGTAGCAATGCTCGAATCGCCGGCATGGAGGAGGACCTCGGCCTGAGTAGCGACCAGTACGAATGGCTCTTGACCATCTTCTACATTGCCTACATCCTCTTCGAGCCACTCATCATCGTCTTCAAGGTTCTGCCCGCGCGCACATGGATCGCAATACTGGTGCTCGGCTGGGGCATTGCCGCCACCACGCAAGCTGCTGCCCAATCTTGGGCGGGCATGATGGCGTGTCGCTTCTTCCTGGCCGCGTTTGAGGCCGGATTCGGCCCCGGTGCCATCTACCTGTTGTCATTCTTTTACCTGCGCGACGAGCTTGGCCTTCGCATCGGCATCTTCTTCTCCTGCGCGCCGTTGGCAACGTGTTTTGCGGGTGCTCTGGCGTACGGCATCACGTCGGGGCACGCTGGGATCGCGAACTGGCGGCTCTTGTTCCTGGTTGAAGGGGCGCCCGTCTTGGCCATGGCCGTCGTGACGTATTTCGCCATGCCAAACAGCGCCCATCAGGCGTGGTTCTTGAATACAGAGGAAAGGAGTGTCGCCTTGGCACGTCAAGTAAAGCAAGTAGGAAAGGGGGCCCGGGTAGGCTCCTTGAAGTGGCGGGAAACGATTTCCATTCTCCTGGATGCAAAGGCGTGGCTGACCGCTCTCATGTACTTCTCCTGCAATGTTTCCTACTCGTCGCTACCGGTTTTCCTGCCCACTATCCTAAAGGACATGGGTATGAAGAGACCTTCTGCTCCTTTCACACTATGCAGCGGCCATCTACTGACCTGTTTCTAGGTTTCTCTGGCTTGGCTGCACAGGGCCTCTCTGCACCGCCCTACTTTGCTTCTTTTCTCGTGACAATTGGGACCACGTACATTGCAGATCGTACGCAGCAACGAGGGCTGACCGTCATCGTAATGGCGTTAGTGGGCGGTGCGGGATACATCATGCTTGCAGCCGCATCGACTACCGCTGTTCGATACGCCGGTGTCTACCTCGCGGCGGCAGGGGTATTCCCAACAATAGCTAATATTCTACCATGGGTCGTTAATAACCAAGGCAGCGACGAACGAAGAGGAGCTGGTGTGGTTGTACTCAATCTCATCGGGCAGTGTGGTCCTCTCCTGGGCACCAGAGTATATCCTCAAAATGAGCGGCCAAACTACGTCAAAGGCCACGGTATCTGCGCCGCATTCATGTTATTTGTTGCGATCCTTGCTGTTATTCTGAGGACGCTGTTGGTTTGGGAAAACAAACGCCTGGCTGAAAAGTACGAGGATGACGCGGTTGCAAACGATGCCCGCGACGACGGTGTCGAAAACTATGGACCCAACTTTAGATATGTGCTTTAGAAGTCGGAGCTAAATCGAGGCTGCAGAACAAATATGAAATGGAGCTTCTTGTCCCAGGCGCTCGGTATGACGGTAAACGAGACTTTGGGGGTAGGAATCAATTGCCTACGTAGATCTCGGCCCCCTCCCAACACACTTGAACTATCAACATTTATTTATTTCAAGCGACCAGTAGTCGCCATCTTTACATTTTACATCCATCAGGACTGGTGCCAGTACCCTCAGCAATAAGCCTCTAATTGATCCATCCCTTTGGGCCGCCCCATGTTCCCCGGACCATGGAGGCATAATAGACCCAAGGGAAAAAGTCCTTCTTTAGATGATAAAAGGCACGACGAGGTTCAACCTGGTCAATCCCCAACCAATCATCGAATGTCTCCTTGGGTTCTCCACCGTATTTGAACTCTGCGAGGAGTACCTTGCCGTACTCGGTCAAAAGAGGGCAGGACGTGTAACCGTCATAGGCTGCGTCTGGCTGTTTACCTTGAAGCACTTGGAGCAGATTTCGAACCAGCACGGGGGCCTCCGACGTCACCGCCGCAGCAGTCTTAGAGGTTGGCAAACTTGAAGCGTCACCCGCAGACCAAATGTTGGGGTATTTCCTGTGGCGCAGACTGTGGTCGTCGACATCCACGTAGCCGGCGTCATTCCCGATGCCGCTGTCCTTGATAAACGTCGGAGCGCCCATCTTTGGAACAACGTGCAGCAAGTGAAACTCTTTGGTGACGGCGGCTTCTCCGTTGGGACGGGCAAACGTCGCTACATTGCCGTTGATGGCAACCAAATCGTGCTGGAATAGCCCCTCGACCCCCCTCTCTTTTCGCAGCTCTTCCAGCTTGGCAGCATACTTGGGCACGGCAAACATGGCAGGCAGGCCAGTGGCAAAACTAATCGTGATGGCCGAGCTAGATGGCGAATTTGGCGAGTAGAGGCCGGCACGCTTCCAGTAGTCCAAAGCCAACCACATGACTTTCTGCGGCGCACCGGCACACTTGATAACGCCAGCGGGCTGGGTGAAGATGGCGTTTCCCTTGGTCAGCCGTTCGACGGTTCGGAAGGCCTTGTCGCAGGTGTCATAGTTGTAAATTGTTGAGACTGGGGATTCCGGGTCATAGAGAGCGTCGTGAAGGCCCTCGATTTGTCCATAATTTATGCTGAGACCAGGCGCAACCACCAGCTGCTCATAGGTCAGCTTGTCGCCATCCCTCAGGGTCACAAAATTATCGCCAGGAGTAACGGATGCCACGCTGGAGTTGTAGAATTTGAGCTTGGGGTCCATCAAATCGGCAAGTTTTCGGCGCAAGTCTTGCTTGTTCTTCAGCCCGCCTCCAACAAGAGTCCAACCAGGTTGGTAATGGTGCCACACGGCAGGGTCAACAATCGCAACATCCTCCGGGCCAAATTCTCCGGACCGAAGTAGCTGATGGCTCACGGCTATGCCGGCCGTTCCCGCGCCAACGACGACGACTCGGTGATTTCTCGACGAAGCGATGACGGGTGAGGCGCTGGCAAAGCACCGACGGTTGTGTTGTTGTGAGCGAATTGTGGCGAGAGCGGTATTCCACGCCGGCTTTGTTCTCTGGCACCGCATGTTCGCAGACACGGCGCAGCGGCCGAGGGGTGAAGCAGCTTCAATCTTGGATTACTCCACGCCGGCTTGCTGGTTGAGACGGCACCAGAAGCGGAAGCAATGTTTGGCCAACACCAGTTGAGAGAGATGTATCACAGACAGGCCGCAATTCAAGCTACACAAGGACGAGTGTAGACCTGTGTTCAATGTTTGCAAAATTTACGTCAGCCATGCTGGTCATACAAGTGGCTGATCTGGAAATCACGTCATCACACCATGACAGCTGGTGTGGAGACGCTACCTGCGTCAAGAGTTGGTGGAATAACCCTAACCCTGCAACTAAGCCATGCTGGGTGTATTGAAGCACAAGAACGATTGCTCTGACAGGAATTCCAGTCATCAAGCCGTTCTCATGAAAAGTTCTAGAAAAAGAGGAAAAGTGAAATAGTAGTACGTACCATACATGTACTTTTTAAAATGTAAAGCAGCTAGTACAGGACCTTGTACTGGAAAAGAAGCCCAAGTCACTACAAAGTCTTGAACTACGTCAGGCATAGAGGTTTCTTCTATCCGGGCAGGGCAGTTCATATTCTGGCTATAATTTGTGAACAACTCTCTCATCATATGCAGAGTTGTGCAACAGGTCGAGCTACCTTGATCCCCGTCTTGTACAAGCTCCGTCAGCTGCGCGATGTGTGCAAGTTGACATGGAAGCCACAACACATTTCCCAAGTAACTAGAAGTTACATGTTATTAGCTCTGAGACAGACTTCAATGGGAGGGGGAAAATGACCCTTTCATATACTTCCCAAAGTGGCCGCATAAAAGAACCTGGGGGTGTCAATGGTGCAGAAGTCAGCTAGATGATTCTTCACTTCCAAACATGCCACGCACTTTGTAGATCGTACTTGGTATGTATTCAATAAGAGCAGCATCGTTCATGTTGCATTTGATTTCTATATAAAAGAGTTGTTTCAAGTATAGACCGTATAAAGAGAAATATTGAAGTGCAGCTTGAGACGAAAATATCCAGCAGAGCCAAGCAATACTGTAGCGGATACACATAATGGGGTTGATCTCTATAATTTAAGAGTCGTGCCATTTTAGTACGCATTTATGCGCGGCATTGGCTTGCAGCGAGAGTCCAGCCGGTCAGACGGTTAGCAACATCGGTTGCATAGCACGGAGTGCTTCCCAGACCATTATCGAGGTTGTTGTAGTCGACGGAACCAGAGTTATACATTCGTGCGGCAGCATAGTACGCGCGGCTATTGTCTCCAACGGCACCCTTGGCCTTGCCGAAAGTCTGCTTCAAGCCGTCTCCAGAGGAAGTACCGGCAACACCATCGCGAATCATCTGCCCAATGGTGCCGCTAGGACATGGGTTGACACCAGCACAGCTGCCTGAGCCATTGTGAGATTGCATAAGACCCGGGTTACGAATGCCGTTATTGGTAGTAGGAACTCGCACGCAGCCCTTGCTTTCTTGCATCATAATGGCGAGGATGAAGCGTTTATCAACGCCCGTAGACCCCGAGACCTGATGAATGGCATTCTTGATGTCATTTATCTCGGCGCCAGAATTGTCGGCACCCCAGCCATTCCATCCGCACGACTTCTGCATCAGCGGCACGTTGGCATTCCATAGCGAGTCAAAGCTGCCCCAGGATTTCTGAGATGGCCAGTTGGCACCGCTGCCTCGATAAAAGACATATCGGTCTGCAACGGCAAATTCGTCCACAGTCTGTGTCGGAAGAGCAGTCGACACGGCGGCCAAGGCCAGGACCGAAACGGGAGTGAAGGAAAGCATTGTAAAGGTGAAGATGAAGGTAATTGGAAGTACTATAGAACTATTGTCCCAGTTGTTTGAGATGCAAGATTTCGATCAAGGGGATGAAGCTGCTTGCAGTGGTTGCTGTGAGCCGGAGATGTAAGTCTAGAATATGGTCATCTCTACAGTTTTTATGTTCATCTCTCCATTACTAGAAGCATCTACCATGAGACTTGAATCATTCAGACGAGCCTTGGAATCCGCTCACGAGGGCGTTGATTTCCCAATCCTTCGTGTCAGAATGTGTTTCGAGACGTACAAGTTCATCAAAGGATTGACTCTAATTCCTTTCAGGATGACAGGATGAGATTCAAATGTCTCCTGTAGCTGTGAAAATGCCAGCTGGCTAAACTCGGATGAATCCTTTGGTGATTTAGTAAGAATCCTACCGTGTTGCGAGAGGTACCGGTTAGCACCATTTTGGCAGGTGTCTACGCCACAAGAATCCCAGCGACGTTAAAGATGGAGTTGAAACAATGTCCAATTGGGGGAATCTATAATCCATGTTTGTTCCTGCATCGGTACAACCCGACTACGAGCACTTGCTACTGGTTATTGGTCGGCTAGCATCCTTGACGACGACATGGACATGCCGAAAGGATTGCTCTAGGACAACGTTCCATTGGCAGCTCTTCAACATTGATTTATTCAGCGTTGGCAGGCGTCTGCTGCTCAGCGCCCTCTCGGGGACACAAGACCGTCAATTGCATACAGCATGGGAATTTCCGACCGACCGAGTTCCTACAGGGTAAATGATGGCGCGAGCGGTTGCATCACAAACTACGCCGAGATTGACCACACCAGGCGGCGCAGGTCGCGGAAACTGGCGTCAAAAAATACAATTGCGGCCTAATTACATTTGTAACAAGGGTTACACTGTTGGGAACCACGCTTTGTTTCGTTTCACCCGCTAGTTAAGCTAGCTGTTATGGTTATGGTTAACTTGGTTTCCATTTCCATGCAAGAATCAGATTGACCGGACCAGACTTCTCCTGCATTGGGTTAGCGAGTCCCTGCAGACTTGCTCTCAGCGCCTCTGGTGCTCGGTACTGCTAATCTGTGCATTGTGGCGGCTGAAGGATCCAACGGATCGACTCTGGTGGGAGGGAAGCCAAGATCCAGGTCTGCAACGTGACACCAAAGCACGGTCACGGTTCGGCTCGTTCTTCTATGTATGTTTACTCGGCCGTTTAGACCCAAGTGGCCAGAATAAATGTATGTATGTACGTAGATACATACGCAGTCCGCCTCCCATTGCCGGACCCCGGTTTGTCGCCTCATGCAACGCGTGGCGTCGAGACTCGGGACTCGAGAGCGCCCCATGCGCAACCTTGTTCAGAGCCAAACATGCCAATTGATCCAAATTGGACTTTGCCCGTGTCTAGCAGTACTCACAATTTGTTCCGTCTCCAAAAGAGCCGTCCATGAATGACTCAAAGATGCGGACGTAAAGAGCCCCAATCAACCAACTCTCATGAATTTGGTCGACCAAATTGGCATCGACGTTTTTTACCCTCCCTTGCCGTCGGCCGTCTATTATTGAATACTTTAAATACGGTACTACGGTACACCTCAGGTCAACCGGGGCTGACTGGAAATATTTTTCATTGTTACCCACAGCCCTAGCCCACTTGATGGCGATCAAAGCGCCCGAGAAATCGATTATCAGCTGGTGACAATGTCCGTGCCTCGATAAATCTCCACTGTCATGACTCTAAAAAAGTTCACGCACGGCCATCCAGCATCGGGACGAATGGTCCAGACTCTGGGCATTGGTTGGCATCTCGCCACCTCGCGTGCTAGACAAGGATTTTTGGCTTGCTTGCCGGGCACAGTTCGCATATTCTAGCACCGGGTGCTGGCCCGCTGATCTCCCTGCATAGCCTGAATCAGTCCATCAGATCTTGTTGTAATTATTCCGTGCAATACCTTGGTTGGCATCATTGGGGGCCACAACTTGACATACCCTATACTGCACCCCAGCTGGAATGTTCCTATAGACGAGTCGGAAAAAATGTCAAACTTGAAATGCTTGCTGTTTTTATTTCCATGTCTAGTTTTAGTAGTATTCATTTGGTTTCTTTTATTTATTTGGATTCCTAATGTGAATTTGTCATGCGTCAATTCGTTCATGGCAGCTTCCAATCAACCGCCGTCGAGATGAAACATATGATGCCTAGTAACAGCAGATCATTCCAAGCAACACATGCAAGTTTAACTGCCACCAAGACATACCAAGTCCTCATTGTATATACTATAATCTGGACTGGAAGAAAAGAATTCGTAGCTATTACATTACTCGTATACGCCAGCGTTATATCTTAACTGCTAAGAAAACTCATCATAGCCATCTTCATCAATTTTTACCTGATGAGAACCTTTCTTGGACGGCTCTAGGCACAGAGATTGGCCTTTTATGCCACATGAAACTGGCTCTACCGCTGGTTCAGTTTCATCTTTAGCCCCATCTTTAGCATATTCCACATCAATGCTTCCTTGGGGTTATTTCGCTTGCCCAATAGTGAGCCAAGATCTGCCTGCTTTCCGGGCGCCTTTGTCGTGTTCCAATGGTCGACAATGTTCTGAATAAAGGTGTTGTTGTTAAAAGTGTCGCCGAGGGCATCAATAATGTTGCCGCCCCCTCCGCCCATCAGGCCGCTCAAGACATCGCTCAAAAGTGTAACGACGGAGATGGAAGTGGTCAGGGTTCGGCTGGCGAGCAGCTTTTCAATAAAGGTAATGTGTACGCCGTTCATGACGGTCTGGTTGCCAGTGACATTGAGGTCGACTTGACCTCTGCCGAGTGCCTGGCTCTGGCTGGCGAGGACGGGGCCGATGTTCTTGATCAAGGTATCGAGATAGAGCTGCCCGTCAAAGTTCAACGTGTTGTTGCCCTCGTTTAGAAGCACATCGTATAGTGTGATTTGGCCGAGCGTGACGTCGCCTGATAATATGTTAAAGGTCACATTGCCGAAATTCAAGGCCAGTACACCGTAGTTGGGAACGTTGATGGTGCCTTTGATATTGCGGCCATTTTCCGGGGGGAGCATGACCTTCAGATCCTTGATCCCCAGGCCAGAGAGCTGTTTCAAACCGGGTATCTGGACAGTCGTATCAAGGCGTGTGTCCGTCTTGAGCGCGCCCAGGTAGATTGTCGGACTCCCGCGAACAGACAAATCCACCTTGTCTTGGTCAAAGACAGGGCCAAGCCAGGCCAGGAGCTCGCTTTGGTTGCTGATGGTGACAATTTGCTCCTTGATGACGATTTGGGTATTGCCTTTGAGCTTTTGGCCGTCGACACTGAGGTTGGCAAAAGGCGAATATGGCCTGGTGTCTCTGTTGTATAAGAAGAGTGTCAAGTCTGTGATCCTTGCGGGCAGTGGTGTGTTGAGAGAGGTGTTGATGGCCAGCTTCATTTGGGTGCCTGACACGACATCAAGTCGGCCACTTGTGATGGGTAAACTCTGACCCTTGACAATAGCCTGCACGATGGCAGGAATAATGACTTTGAAACTGGGATATCATGGTTAGTCTTGACTCCAAGCTTGGAGGGGAGCTCTGACGCAGCATACAGAATCGGCAACAGAATGGCGAGGAATATAATAAAGGCTATGAGATACCACAGCCAGAATCTGCCGCAATGCCGCCGTACTTTTTGACGCTTTGTTAACGGAGGACCGGCCGCTTTCTCTCCCACGTTGCCCGTTGAGGAGGCATTGTCGCTCTGCGCATCCACGCCGTCCTCTGCATCATCTCCTCTGCCACCTCTCGCCGTCGGCGGCGGCACTCCAGGCTCGCGACGCGATGTGTCTGGTGAGGTTGTTGGGGCCATCTTGTCGAGACCAAGTCACAGCACAAGAGCATGGAATGGAGCCTGCGAGGAAGAAAACCTGGGGAAAGGCGAGATCAAAAGACCGAGATGCCAGACTACCAGAGTAAGGCTACCGGGGCGCTTTTGCCACGGCCAGTCAAATGGACGGTTTGAGAAAGAGATGACGTGCTAGTTGCTAATGAACCCGTCCGCAAACGCTTTTAACGGCTCCATCTGGGTACGGCTTTTTGCTTTGTTCACGAACTAAACAGGCACATGTCTCATAGATCAGCGCTTTTGCCGAGCTACCCCTCCTATTAAACCTTGACAAGAGACTGGCAAATTGCCTCGAGCATCTTGTTCCCCACAGACGACCGGGTTTTCCAGCGGTGGAGAGGCGTTAGCTATTCCGGGAAATGATAGACCCCTTTGCATGGGCCGCTGCGCTTGGGTCGTAACCAGGTTCATCATCTCCACTCTCATAGTCTGCTTCTCCAAACCCAAAAGAGAAATTGCTGCGAGTATAGTTCCATTGGCGATGGACCGTGGCCGTGCGCGGCGGTATGAGCTGCAGAATGCTAGAATACTGGCAGGCTGGGGAAGCCGGGGAAGTTGGGGAAACTCAAGTCTGAAAAAACTTTGTAAAGCAAGATTCAAAAGCTGGCCCGTTCTGATCGGCAGCGTCTCCCGAGGCTTTCGCCAGTTGAGCTGAACCTCTCGGTGCTCCTCATGTGAAAACACAAGGCCGTTGGAGAACCCATATTGGTACGTCTTCCCCAGACACCCGTGTGCTTGCTCTTCTTTTCATCGCCCTCCCTTTGGCGTAATGCATCAGGTTGGGTTCGCTGTTCCCCTTCAACCTCTGACAGAACCCAGCTCAAGGTAAAAGAGAGCCATCACGATGCGCGTCTCATCGCTCTTTGTGGCGGCCCTTGTGCCCCTCGGCGTCGTCGCCGAAGGCGTTCCTGGAACCTTGTCGCCGCAAGAATTAAACCTCGACGAGATTCTGGCCAAACACAACCTCGCCTTGGTGCCTCGATCCGATCTCACAGAGGCCCTCGCAGAACTCAATGGCCTGCTCAAGAAGAACCACGCCTTGCAACAACGGGCGGCATTGTTTCCCAGAGCAAACACGACGAGCTCGGGATCCAGTTCTGGCTCCAGCTCGAGCGGCGCACAAGCTGCTGGCTTGTTGGGAGGACTAGGAGATCTCACCGGTCTCAACGGTCTACTCGACATCGTCCCGGCCATCAAGAACATAGCCGACTTGCTCAAATCAATCGAGTCCCTGCTCACCCCGGAATTCCTCACGGGCTTCCACGATTCCATGATTTATCTAGCAGCGACGCTCAAGCCACCAGTTCCTAGCCAGGTCGGACAGCTCCTCAACAGCACCATACCTCTTGTGCAATTGCTCGGCAAGCTCGACCTTGAGAAGCTGGTTGGACAAATTGGCAATATTGATCTCGGCAGTCTTGTCAAGTCGATTCTGGGACTGCTGACCGAGAAGAACATCGACAACATCGGCACATTGCTGACCAACGGCGCTTCACTGCTCACACCAACCTTTGTCAACCAGACACAGTCTCTTGTTGGCGAGGTATCTCCCTTGCTCGATGCCCTCAAGGGTATTGATCTCAAGGGTGTTCTTGAACAGCTCTCGCCGCTGTTGACGTCTGATTCCATCAAGAAGATCGTCACGCTGGTGGACAGTGCCGGAACACTCCTGAACAACCAGACCACCTCGGATCTCAATGACATCCTCAAGTTTGCCCACAACTTTATCCCCTACCTGAGCGTCATCAACCCCACAGACATCCTGAAAGCGGTCGCTCCCTTGCTGGATAACTTGCCCGCCATTGTGAATGGCGCCGTCACCCTGTTGAGCAACCAGACCGTGTCAGAGATCAAGACGGTGCTGGATGGAGCCAGCCCACTCATCGAGTCTCTGTCCAAGGCCGACTTGAAGAGCCTGATTGATCAGCTCGGCCCGATTCTCAAGGAGCTGGGAGGCCTTGATATTGCCGGCCTCCTCAAGTCGTTGTCGCCACTACTGAGTGACGAAAGCATAAAGGGAATCGTTGGCTTGCTCGGCAACGCAGAGGATCTATTAACAAAGGACTTTGTCAACAACACGCAATCGCTCGTTGCGGGTGCCGGGCCCTTGCTCGGCAGTCTCAAGGACGTCGATATCAAGAGCCTGGTCGACCAACTTAGCCCCATCCTCAAAGAAGTGGCCAAGCTCGATCTCGTTGGCCTATTTGACGCACTCAAGCCGCTCCTCTCGAGCGACGGCGTCAAGGGCATTGCCGGTCTCCTTGACAATGCAGAACTGCTGTTGACAAAGGACTTTGTGAACAACACCCAGTCGCTGGTTGCTGGCGCTGGTCCATTGCTTGGAAGCCTCAAGGATGTCGACATCAAGAGTCTGGTCGACCAACTCAGCCCAATCCTCAAGGAAGTCGCCAAGCTAGACTTGGTTGGTCTCTTTGATGCACTCAAGCCGCTCCTCTCGAGTGACAGCGTCAAGGGCATTGCTGGTCTCCTTGAAAATGCAGAGCTGCTACTTACCAAGAACTTTGTCAACGATACTCAGTCGCTCGTTGCTGGCGCTGGCCCACTTCTCGGCAGTCTAAAGGACGTCGATATCAAGAGCTTGGTGGACCAAATCAGTCCTATATTGAAGGAGGTTGCTAAGCTCGACCTGGTTGGCCTCTTTGACGCTCTCAAACCGCTATTATCAAGTGATAGCGTCAAGGGCATCGTTGGTCTTCTCGGCAACGCCGAAACGCTTCTGTCATCCAAGTTTGTTAACGAAACGCAAAGCCTCGTCTACAGTGCCGGGCCTCTTGTTGGTAGCCTCGGCAAGCTCGATCTCCAGAAATTACTCGACCAGATTGAACCACTTCTCAGTGAGCTGACCAAGCTTGATCTTGCTGGTCTGCTAAAGTCCTTGGAGCCGCTGCTTACGCCGGATAGCGTCAAGGGCATTGTTGGCCTTCTCGGCAACGCCGAAACTCTCCTGTCATCCAAGTTTGTCAACGAAACGCAAAGCCTGGTGTACAGCGCCGGACCCCTCGTTGGCAGTCTCGGCAAGCTTGATCTCCAGAAATTGCTCGACCAGATTGAACCGCTGCTTGGCGAGCTAACTAAGCTTGATCTCGCCGGTCTGCTCAAGTCCCTGGAGCCCCTGCTTACTCCGGATAGCATCAAGGGTATCGTTGGACTGTTAGGCAACGCGGAAGACCTCTTGACGTCGAAATTCGTCAACGACACCCAGAGCTTAGTGTCTGGCGCTGGCCCTCTTATCGGCAGTCTTGGCAAGCTCGATCTGCAAAAATTGATCGATCAGATTGAGCCTCTCATCAATGAGTTGACTAAGCTTGACCTAGCAGGCCTTCTAAAATCACTGGAGCCTTTGCTTACGCCAGATAGTATCAAGGGTATTGTTGGACTGCTAGGCAATGCTGAGCTGTTATTGACGGGCAAATTCGTCAACGAAACCCAGAGCCTAATTTCGTCTGCTGGTCCCCTTATTGGAAGCCTTGGCAACCTAGACCTTCAGAAGCTGATTACTCAGATTGAGCCTCTCATCAATGAGTTAACTAAGCTTGACCTAGCCGGCCTTCTCAAATCACTGGAGCCTTTGCTTACGCCAGATAGCATCAAGGGCATTGTCGGCTTGCTAGGTAATGCTGAAAAACTCCTCACAGGCGAGTTCGTGGATGAGACTAAGGGCCTCGTTTCTTCTGCTGGTCCCCTTATTGGAAGCCTCGGCAAATTAGACCTTCAGAAGCTGATTGATCAAATTGAGCCTCTTCTCAATGAATTAACTAAGCTTGACCTAGCCGGCCTTCTCAAATCGCTGGAACCACTACTCACGCCGGACAGTGTCAAGGGCATTGTCGGGTTGCTAGGTAACGCCGAGAAACTCCTTTCAGGCGAGTTCGTGGACGAGACAAAGAGCCTTATTTCTTCTGCTGGTCCTCTTATTGGAAGCCTTGGAAAGCTTGACCTTCAAAAGATAATCGATCAAATCGAGCCTCTTCTAAACGAATTGACCAAGCTTGACCTAGCTGGCCTGCTCAAATCGCTAGAGCCATTACTTACTCCCGACAGTGTTAAGGGCATTGTCGGGCTACTAGGTAACGCCGAGAAACTACTTTCAGGCGACTTCGTGGACGAGACCAAGAACCTTATTTCGTCTGCTGGCCCTCTCATCGGAAGCCTCGGAAAGCTTGACCTTCAGAAGTTGATTGACCAAATCGAGCCTCTTCTTAACGAATTGACCAGGATCGACTTAGCCGGTCTCCTCAAAGCGCTCGAGCCGTTGCTCACCCCAGACAGTATCAAGGGAATCGTTGGCTTGCTTGGAAATGCCGAATTACTTCTAAATAAGAAGTTTGTGGAGGAGACTCAAAACCTAATCTCGAAAGCTGGCCCGTTGATCGACGCAGTCGGCGAGCTAGATTTGCAGGACCTGCTCAAGCAGCTGGCACCGATTTTGAACGCTTTGGGCCAGATCGACCTCCCCGGACTGTTTGAAGCTCTCAAGCCGTTATTGACTAAGCAGAGTGTCGAGGGCATTGTCGGATTGCTGGGCAATGCCGAGAAGCTTCTCTCAGGGGAGTTTGTTGATGACACGCAAACCCTCATCAAGGGCGCAACGCCATTAATCGCAGAGCTGAGCAAGCTCAATTTACAGGACCTGATTAAGCAGCTCGAGCCTCTGCTTGGTGCGCTCGGCCAAATCGATCTCGCAGGCTTAATGAAGGCCCTCAAGCCCCTGTTGACTGAAAATAGCATCAACGGAATCGTCGGGCTGCTGGGTAATGCCGAGAAGCTGCTTACAGGCGAGTTTGTGGATGAGACGCAAAGCTTAATCAAGGGCGCTGCTCCCTTGATTGCCTCTCTAGGCAAGCTGAACCTGCAAGACTTAATCAACCAAATCGAACCTCTGCTCGCTACGCTTAGCCAGATCGACCTTGCCGGCTTGCTTGACTCACTCAAGCCGCTCTTGACCAAAGATAGCATTAACGGAATCGTCGGGCTGCTAGGTAATGCCGAAAAGCTGCTCACGGGCGAGTTTGTGGACGAGACGCAGACTCTAATCAAGGGTGCAACGCCATTGGTTTCCTCCTTGGGTAAACTAAACCTTCAAGACTTGATTAAGCAGCTTGAGCCTCTTTTGGCTACCCTTGGACAGATCGACCTCGCCGGCCTATTAAATGCTCTAAAACCACTTCTAACTGAAGACAGTATCAAGGGAATAGTCGGGCTACTAGGCAACGCCGAAAAATTACTTACGGGCGAGTTTGTGGACGAAACACAGAGTCTGATTAAGGGTGCGGCGCCATTGATTTCCTCCTTGGGCAAGCTGAATTTGCAAAATTTGATCAGCCAGCTTGAGCCTCTTCTAGCCACTCTCGGACAGATCGACCTTGCTGGCCTATTAAATGCCCTGAAACCACTCTTATCTGAAGAGAGTATTAAGGGAATAGTCGGCCTACTAGGCAACGCCGAAAAACTACTCACAGGCGAATTCGTGGACGAAACACAGAGCCTGATCAAGGGAGCGGCGCCGTTAATTGCCTCCTTGGGCAAGCTGGATCTGCAAGACTTGATCAACCAGCTAGGACCTCTACTCAAATCACTTAGCAAGCTAGACTTGGAGGGCATCTTGGAAGCTCTCGCCCCCTTGCTGACCAAGGAGAGCATTCAGGGCATCGTTGGCCTGGTTGGCAACGCCGAGGATCTGCTGACTGGAAAATTCGTGAACCAAACCCATACCCTCATTGATGGAGCTGTCCCTCTTGTGGGTGCCCTCAGCACGATCGACCTGCCCGGCCTCATTACCAAGTTGAAGCCGCTACTGGACGCTCTTGGCGAGATTGATCTCGGCAAGCTCATCAAGCAAATCACACCCATCCTCAATGCCCTGGGCGAGATTGACCTCAAGGGCATCTTCGACACTCTCGCTCCGTTCCTCACACCCAAGACTGTGCAAGGCCTCATTGGCCTCTTGGCCAACGCCGAAGCACTCCTGACCGGCCAATTCGTCAACGAAACGCAGACACTTGTTCACGGAGCGGCGCCGCTCATCGCAGACCTGGAAGGCGCTGACATCTCGGGGCTCTTGAAACAAGTCAAGCCTCTTCTCAACTCGCTCAGCAAGATTGACCTGGCCGGCTTGGTCGACGCGGTGAAACCCATCCTCGATGCCGTCAAGAAGATTGACATTGAAGGCATCGTGGACACTGTCACTCCGCTCATCACGCCCAAGAGCATCAAGGGCGTCTTGGGCTTGCTTGGAAATGCTGAACAACTTCTGACCGAGACGTTTGTATCCCAAACCGCCGAGTTGATTGGCGATGCAACACCTGTAAGCAGTCCCCCTCCTTGATCATTCGTGTAGAAGCATCCCGCTAACTTGGACAAATAGCTTGTGGCTACCATTTCGGATTTTGTTAAAGCGATTTTCCAGTCATTAATCGGAGGACAGAATTAAGCGTACGCGGTTCATAGTGTCTGAGAGCGAGGATGGATAAGCGGCTCTTTTAATGATGCTTGATATTTATACATGAACATAATGAGGACATAATAGCATTGCCGAAGGGAGAGGTATTTATTTAGAATAAGCAATGAGTACATGTCGTATATATCCGAATACAAATGTTAGACTATCTTGTCCGGGTTTGCATCAAACAAGAAAGAATTTATTGTATTTGAGTGATGTACATAGTATCTTGTATATTTGCCGCTTGTTTTGCAAATGAAGAGTAGAAGTTGACCGAAAATTACAAATTGCATTTGTTCTCGAATCTCAAGTTCCAGTGACTTGCTGCAATTGATCGTGTTTCTTTTTACCTTGCCTGTTCGGCTTCCACGCCATTCCCTGGGCATAGCTACGCATGTGTGCATCTTCTCTCCCGCTTGCTTCATGAACAATGAGGGCTCTTTTTGGTCTAGTGTCGAAAAAGTCGTCGCCGTTGCATTGGGAATCACGAGTTGTGCTGTAATTGCTGCGCCGAGAGTTCCTACTTGGCTACATGTAAAGAATATCATGAATGACCGCAAGGCCAAGGCCAGCTCTGCATTGGACGCCTTTTTGGCGCCTGCAAACATGCACGTATCGGCTCATGTGCACCTTGTCAAGTTGGACATTTCTACGAAACTTGCTCTCAACGCGTTGTTAGATTTCGCTTGGCAGGCCAGTGGGCCGCGGCGTTTATAGATACAGAAGAACAAAGAACAAGTATTACAAATAGTTACAAGTTTAATTTACATGCATCTTCAAGTGCTCAAAAGCTTCGGCCCAAGGAGAAACTAATGTCCACGACTGAGCATCGCAAACCGTAGCTTCAAAGTCTGGGTGCAGCTCAACCGCACCACCAGAATCCGTGCAAAGCAGCGGCTTCTCCAGCGGCCAGTGCAGCTTGATGGACCGTATGTACAGGTCGACAGAATGGCGCGAGTCCTTATTCTGGTTCTGGCATAGATAGTCTCGTAAAGCAGGCCACGGCAAGAAGTCAATGCAAACAGGATGCAAGTGTGTATTCTGCACTTCAGTTGGCCGCATTAGTATAGGCACGTCCTGATACCAATCCGGATTTGGATACATGCGCCACTAGTGAAATGAAGCATTTAGTAATGTGAGCAGTTACATATTCAAGCTCTGGACACGTTTGCGACAAACAATAGTGTGGAGAGACTTACCCGCAACAGTCGGTAGACCAACAAGTATAAGCCACAGAGAGTTTCCACATTTCGAGCTTGGAACTGTCTCAACGTTGTGCCAATCAACATGGTGAGAGGGCTGTCGTTGGTCGAGTGTAGGAGCATGTTGGGCAAGGTTGGGTTGCGCGCAATGGACAATGCAAGCAACGGGCTCTGTGATAGAGCCTTGTGAGACTCATACAAGACAGTAAAGCTTTTCAGTTCCAGGCATTCTGACTGATGGCCATGCTGCAAGCCACATCGGCAATCGACTAGTGTCGTTTGCTGTGAGCAAGGTGATGAGGAAATGGAAGGACTTTTTTGAGGCGTGACAAAAGTGTTGTCCGGCGCTGGCGCAGCCGTGGTACTGTATTGATGGCTCCCTGCATGCTCCAGCCAAGTACTGATGAACTGCTGTCATTATAGTTAGAAGACGTTGCTCGATAGGCTCAAGTCCCTTGAGCCACAGCTAAAACATACATGATGCAACAGTCAAGATATGGAGTCAATGGTCAAGTATTGACCACACAGTCACTTACAGAGACAGGCGCGTTATTCTCCGATGGGCTGGACTGCAGTTGCTCGTGATGTGAATATTGATGAGAAAATTGGCCAACACTGGATGCCGCAGCCTCGGCAAGCGCAGGCTGGGGCTGCCGTATCTGAACCAGAAGTTCACTTATGGTATCCCGAAGAAACGATACGTCTCTCTCAATGCTTTCCAACCGCATTTTGCTCTCGGCACGGTTCGATCTGTGTTTGACCCTATCCGCTTGCCGTTTCTGTGCCAGCTGTGCGTCAGTTCGACGCCGCTTTGCAGAAGGCTCGGCAGCTTTGGATGGAGGCATGGCAACGGGGCAGTCGGAGAAGCACACGATTCGTCAACATGTGGTCCGCCGCGTGGCCGTGTGATATTTCGCCTTGAAGAGGAGACGCAGCATAAGTGGAGGCAAATGTATGTACGGAGTCGCCCATGCATCATGGCCGACCCGAGGGTTGCAGGTCAGCTACTGTATATTCCGCCAGGAAATACGGGGTAATCCCACCGTCGAACCCTTGAACCTTTACAATAATGCGGGGTAATGCGGGGAAAGAAACATCTCCAAATATCCCCATGGCCGAATGCAAACATGACCAGGCTCCCCGCGGAACGGAGAGACGGTGCAACTTTTGTTGTTGGGGTTCCTCCCCTCTTCAACCACTCGCGAGACCATGTTGACGCCACATCAACAAGGTGACAGCGAGGCTGCCGGACGTAATGCGGTCGAGACAAAGCCATCTCGACCGGCCCAACGGGTGGTTAGCCAACTCGTGACTTTCCGAGTCCAGATGAGACAATAAGTTAAGAAGCCGCTCAACCCCCGCCCCTCGGTTAGATCGTGTCTTGAATAACGTAAACAGAGCAAGATAACCAATATGATATGCCACAGAGATGACATGACTCTTCCGTCTCTCCTCACCGGAGCAACTGCTCAGGGTACACAAAGCACATGGCTAGCAGTTGAATGCCGGCTCTACTCGGTAGATGGCCGATCGCGAGCATTCTCGTATACCATCTCACCCATCGTGATCAGTCGTGCATGCAAATCAGGGCTCTTGGCAGCATTGCTACCCAGTCACCGAACCCAACGGTAAACCAAGCCACCCTGTAATTGGGCACTAACTCGACGCGTGACAAGCTCTGCAGAAAGCCGGTTGCCGTTAGTTACCCTCGTGTTCCTAAAGGGGAGCAAGATCAAAAATTGCCACAGCACGTTGTGGGCAAACCTAAGCGCCACGCTGCAACTCGAAAGCCGACCCAACGCAGGGACACAAACTCTCTGCTCCGCAGATGCTGTAAGAAGCCCATTCTATCTACTTCTCCGCAGCAGGCGACTGCCACGGACACTGCACGTCCTGGGCGAAGTCGTGGGAAGCGATTGGCCACTCCCGGGTCCCGACAGCAAGGTGGCGGTGGTGATCCCGACGTGGCTGCTTCCAAACCAACTTATGAGTGGCAACGTAATGCTGTTCTGTATATCGGGCAAAGATGACCATCTTGAAAAAATTCATGCCCCGGACTTCAAGGTTCATTGAGGTGATCCAATGCCGTCAACTCTAATTCGCGACGCCTGCCTGTTTTGGGCAGCCGTCATGCTCATACACCTACCAATCAAGAGGCTGGTATATTGCCTCCAGAGTCACCAGCTAGACAGGGTTGACTGACGTTTGCCTCGGCAAGGAGTACTGATCACAAGCTACCACAATTTGCGATATTGCTCCGTGATGCCGGTCCTCGTAATGTTGACGATGCTGAGGGCATTCGCATACAATTCTTCACGTTATTATTGCTTCAAAAGAATAACGTATATTTAGTTAAAAGAAAACATTTATATTATAAAGAAGTACGTAGCACTTTAATAGGAATTGTGCATACTTTCACACGTGGCCAAGTAGCTTTAGCACTAACTCTTCCGTGCTAGGCATGTATTTTCCAAGTCAAGGTTTATGATGAAAGTATAATAATTGCATTGAATTATAAGATGCTTTATTTAAGAGAGACGGGTTGTATTCCCGTGTATAAACTTGAGGGATGTAAATGTATAGCCCTGCGTAGTCTTGACTATATTATGTAGAAATAAAATCTCCTCTTCAATTAACACAAATAGAATCGATATAGGGTAGTCTTAGTTATATTACATGCAATATTAGTAAAAATTATCATCTAAAAAGACCTCGTTTTTAAAACTATACGGCTTCTTGAAAGTAGTATTAACTAATATAATAGACGAACCTAATATCCTAGCCGGTTTATACGTCCTTTAATTTAAGTCCATGTTTAAATATTAGCTTTTACTTAAGAAAACAAACCGGCAATAATCTATTTACAATAAAGCCTTCGCCTCCTCTCAGTACGATGTTGGCATATCGAGGCGGCGGATTATTCCGATCTTGTCCATTTAAATCGTGTCTGACTTGCAGTAGAGGCTCTCCGAAAATCTTACATCTCATGATTACGGCCCTCGTGTAACCGTGTAACATGTATCAAACCTGCCCAAATAGTACATTTGAATAAAAGCACTTGGGGGCACTGTAGCGGGCGTCTTCCGATTGTTTTGTGACTGGTACCACACCTGGATGGCCCAATAATCACGCATACGGCACTGATAGGCTGGTATCGAGATGTAGAAAGTAGTTTGGCCGGTCAGATTCCAGATACGACTCTGAATATGGCCCAAGACATCACCTGAGACCCTACTCAAGACCCGATCCCATAGAGAGATGAGGGTCGTAGCATTTGGGAAGCACAATAATGTGACCTTGCATACTGACGTAGAACTACATTGCTCTGCATGATGATTGCCAAGTTCACGATGCCCTACTCCAATGACTTCCGGGGCTATGGTCGCTTATTGAGGTCAAACGCTGATAATTGTTCTTTGATGATTTGGTCTTCTCTGCTCAACTTTATAGCACAACTGCGATTGCTGTATCCAACCACAGTATATAGGTATGCTTGTTGGACTACACGGCAGTAGTGAATGCGGAAGTAGCTTGGTAGATTCAGTTACACGGAAAAGGCCCAAGAGATCGTGAAGCCTAACAAAGGGGCTTCGCCGATACAGGACTTATTAGTTATACAGCTTAAACATATACCTAGGTAGGAGCCCTAGGCCTAGATATTTATATATATATATATATAAAGTAGTTACCTTTCTCTTCTTTCCTCTAAGTAACTCAAGACCTTAGAGACCCTTTGAGATTATTATTGAATTGAGCCCTTGTCACAGATTCTGTGGCAAACAGAAGGAATTTTACAACACAATGCTCACAGACCTTGTATTCAAAAATTGTCTGCCTTTACGTGACAGTAAGTGGCAGATCTAAACAGCTTCACTGCATGTTTTTTGCCTTGTGGCAAAGCACGTCTACTTATCCCTCGGGCCCTTAACATGAACCAACGTGAGCCTCCTCTTACAGGTGCCGTTAAGGACCAGGCATTTGACAAAGAGTCTGGTGCACGGCTTTCCTTGAAAAGGAACAAGTAGTTTACTAACGAAGAAATAGGAAATAATTACAAAGAAAATCCAAAAACTTGAGGCAGCTACGAGAAAGCTATCAAAGATGTATTTCGCCGGGCACATGGCGCCAACTGAATTTATAGACAGGCATCCACCTGCTTGTGTCAAGCTGGGGGCGACTGAGCAAAGCTGTAAATACATCGTGGGAGGTTGCTAATACGCTTACGATGCGAATGATGAACTTTGTCGAAAGGTGTATACAGAGTGCGTTCGGAAAGGTCAAATCAGTCCAAGAACAAGTCCAATCCAATCAACAGGAGCTTTGCAAAAAGTCTGCCAGCAGGAAGGACTGCACCAGGGCCTTTATTACTCGTAGCAAAATGTATCCCAGGTCTAGAGTCGTAGTCCTCTTTGAGTGTACAGCTAAATCCGCCCCTCGGGGGGACGATGTGAAACCAGCTGCTACACCAAAATAACTAAAAAGAGAAGTCATTCCACGAGGCTTTGAGAACGAAGCTACGTATTCCGAATAGGGGAACCGTCACGATTGGGTTGGCAATACTACTGTGGGATAAAACTGCCGCTGTTGTTGAAACACACAAGCGCTTTTGCCTACTAGATGGCAAGGGGTAATGGTAGTTGTAGGGTTGAAGCAACAGTATTGTGAACGCAGCAAATACCTCGAGTTTCTAGTGTGTAGAGGAAAAGCAAAGGTAATAATAAAAATTAATGTGCGAATGAGGCTTGGTTGATAATAAGACCCATAACGTGATATTATTATTTTACATGTCCCGAGGAGCAGTATGGCTATTTTTTGACTACACAGGCGCAATCCAGTGCCGACAAGTCCCAGCAAGAGGCTTTGTAGAGAGTAAGGGCATTTCGTAGAGAATAATACTAAACAGGCAGGCATTGAAATAATTACTTGCTGCTTGTACTTGTCCTTATCCGCATGCTTCTATTAGCTGTTGTAGTAGCTGATGGAAGTTATAGTGTGTCAACAGCAACCTTCAGTCAGTCTCCAACTGTTGGTTAAATCACAAGTGATTTGGCTACTCTCTACTCATAGTAGTCATAATGGTCGTATATAAATAATATAAAATATCTTGATCCATGACTTTATACATTAATCATCCGATGGTAGTCAACGCCTAGTGCGCCGCCAGATTTTGCCGCCCACACAGGGTTCGATTTGACACTGTCATTAAATGCCGTCGCTAGTTTCTGCGCAATCTCCGTCGAGATGGCGAGCTTGGGAACAGCATCCGGTCGAAGGATTTGCGTCATGATCTGCGCCCATTTCCAAGGTTCGTCCGTACCGCCAGGGGCACTGTTGAAATACTCCCAGCCCATTACGCCTCCAATCTGGCCGTATTTATCCCTCAGCGATATGACGGTCGCATTGAGCTGCTCATACGGGATGTATCCGTAGCCATTGCTGGGGGAGGTGAGTTGTCCAGCAACCACCCGCGAGGCGCTGAAACCGCTTGACACGATGGTGGTGTAGTCGGTCGGACGGGACATGGTGCCAAAGCCGCTGTAGAACTGGCCATTGTAAAAATGAATCTTGGAGCCTTTGCGCGAGTCGAGAAGCTTGTAGTCGAAGCCGCTGAGATTTCCGCCGCCTGAGAGAGCAGAAGCCACCGGCGCCAATGTGATGATGAAGCTGGGCCCAAAGTCGGACCGAAGTTTGTCGACTAGGCGCTCAATGCCCGCCTGGCTCATGGGCTGTTCGACGTCAATGTCCAAGCCTTGCAGCTTGAACTTTTTGATGACATCGCGCAGCTGGCCGTAGTACTTGTTGAAAGTGGCCTTGTCGCCGTCCAAGGTGCCCGAGCTGAATGAGCCTGGGGCTGCGCCGCCAACCATTCCCATAATCTTGACGCCGGCATTCTTCATGACTGCCGTTTCGTTCCAGAGTGTGTAGAACATGGGGTTGCTAGGGGGGTAGTCGTTCAAATGGATCTGACCATTCTCGTTTACGTGTAACGAGCAAACAATGAGGTGCGTAAGCGCAATGCCCTTTTCCTCGATCAATGGCAGCATGGAGATGGGCCTTCCGCTAGAGTCATGTGTGGTTTGAAAGTAGACGACGAGCCGAGGGAGCTCAGCAACTGCTCGGACGACTTGATGAATGGGTGATGCGAGAGATACGGCGGCTAGAGCCGCGATCAAACACGATTTCAACATGTTTGCGACAGAGGAAAGGCACCGATGGGATAGTAATGATCTATAACATGAGTGTCATGTGTTGAAATGTCAAAATGGCATCAAAGAAGAGGACAGGAACGCGGCCTTGGTTTCTCGGCCGACATTTGCTGTGGACAAGACAATAAAATTCCCTGGTCGAGTTCCAGGGACCGCGCGAGGTTTTATCCCTTTTTACTGCCATATTTTCCATCCAGCAATGTCTCGGGTTACATGAAAATGTGAAGAAGCCAGCGTCTCCACGCCGCCCTTGGCAAGTGACGCGGGAGGTCATCGGAGCCGTGCAGGGACTAGAAGCCCAAAAGCCAACGACCATGAACCGACTGTGTCTTAAACAAGCAGGTAAAGGAAGTTCACAGACGTGCGGGGGGAAATGACTTGCAACCACAACCACCGCGACTTGGCCTGGTCCGGCCCGGCGTCATCGTAGCTTCCGCTTGGGAGGGAGACTAGAGGCCTTGGAGCGGAGGGCCAGGGAGGAAGGGAGGAAAAAAGAAGGAAAAAAAGACACCAGTCACTTTGACAGTTATAGGCGAAGAAAAAGAGAGGCAATAGTCACATCGGGCCCGATTAGGCGGAATGGGACCCAACTAACTGTCTAGCACGACGGGCGACGATGGGCGTCCGGCTGGTGGTAAGACAGCAGTAAGTCATGCTAAATTTGGATTGACTTGACTCTATTTCGGCTGACACAATTCGTGACAAGTCACGGTGCGTTCTTTCAGTCATGCGACGAAAACACGGCGCATCATGTGTTGCTGTTTACGCAAGGCAACGTAGCAGCAAAAGACGTTATCGTGCGTGCATTGCCCCTGCAACCATCAGGACATAGTCGCTGATGATTAAATTGTCGATTCATTATCAAGTTGACCTCCAACTAGGCGACGTCTTTAGCAGTTGCAACCTGCCGAAATGTGACTAGTGTCGGCATCTGACGCTGGTGTTGGTGTCGGCGCATGGTCTCGTGCGCGTCGCCAAGGAACGGGAGACGGTCTCGTTGTAGCAGGAGTTTACAGTCAATGCGTATCGGCTGAGCCTAGAACAACTTGCACAGACCAGTCATGTCAATTGCCACCCAACATGAACGACTTGGAATGATGGCACGGCATCCCTCTAGACACGGGTCATGTAAGAATTGGCAGCGACCGTTTGTCTCGACAGCATGGTTCCACTCGACATTTGGTAATGGCATCAATGGCAGCGTGGCACGGCATATGAGCGTGTGCTATTGGCAAGGTACCGGCGGTGTGCTTGCTTCATTTGGCGCAGTTGACGTTGATGCCGCGCCTCTCATGTGCCCGTCGCCGATTTTGGCAATGTGTCAAGTATTGATGGTTGAAAACCTGGCCCAGGCAATGCAGCTCACGGCGTCCATGGTCCTCCCTATCGGTCTCGGATAAGTCAACATAGCAACATGAATTGGTTTAGTAATGGACACAGCTTGCTTTTCTCGGCCGACTTGACTGCCAGTTATTAATACATGTGCTGCTCGAATGTTGTGCGCAGATGCAGCTCCCCACCGGCCGAGTAATACTTGACCAGTTGACCATTAATAATCTCTTTATTCCACCAGACTGGACAGTCGAACAAGTGAGTAACAACATTGAAGACTCGACCACCAGGCAAGCACCAGTTGACACGGATTCAATGTCGAGTCAATCGGGCGCTCCCTTGGACATGGCTGCATCAGACCCCCACAGCGGAAGCAGCGCTGCAGCCCTTGGTGGCCATCCCTCCATGTCTGTGTCTACCTGAGACAACGACATACATGATGTGTTGTCAATATGTTGTTTACCGCCAACTAGAGAAAGAGGCCGTGGTCCATCTTTACTTGGATCAATGCTTGCGAGGCACCAAGGTGGGTGGAAGCACATACTTGAAACGGCTCTGGCCAAACTCCAAGACCAGTTTGGTCGCATGCAGTCAATTATACCAAGCATGTGTAGTATCCTCTCCGTCCAGCGGCGACCGACTAGATTACATTGACGGCTTATAAAAAGGATCAATAGCCCGACCCTTGCGTCCAATACGCCCTCAAACCCGCTTTCCAATCAATATGATGTTAGCAGTCCAACACCACCTTGCAGTCTACGACGGCAGTCTGTCCACCCAATACTTTGGCGACGGCTTGCTCGAGTACGGACTCAAGTTCATTCGCCTTGCTCACCCTGAAGGCGTGGATGTCGCCGCTTCCCGCGGCTGCCGCAATGCCCGCGTAATCCGGTGCCGGGGAAAAGGAAATGTTGATGTTCTCGTTTGTCGCCGACGCCGCCTCGCCATCGGGATGAACCAACATGTAGGATTTCCGTGGCGCATTCCAGCCTACGGTTCTGCCATTAGCCCGGGGCTTGTTCACGCTCGACAAACAACAGGCGGGAGCTTACCGTCATTATTCAGAACAATGGTCAACACCGGAATACTATATCGCTTGGATATCCAGTACACACTGCTCGGCATGGAGAAGAGATAGGTGCCGTCCCCAACGATTTGGCACACAAACTTGCCCTTTCCGGCTCCGCCAGCTTGCGCATCCGTTGCTAATTTGATCCCCAATGCACCGCCCCCGGACCACCCCAGGCCGCCGCCGCCGCAATTGATCCACGATCCGGGCACCGTGGGCTGAATGTTGTCGTGGATAAAGGTCGTGTTTGTCACGGCTTCCACGGCCCATATGGTCTCTTCTGGACAGACCTGACGGAGGAGACTGCTCAGGTAGCCCGTGCCGAAACTACCGTTGGCAAAGGGCCTGGCCGCCTGCGCTATCTGGGCCAGAAACTGGGCGTGGGCAGCACTCCGCGCCTCTTCAGCCGCCGCGGCGTCCCCCTCGGCGAGCACTTTGGCTGGGCGGCCCCCCGTAAGCGCCCCAAGGATCTGTTCCAGCGCCATGAGGGCATCCGCTCGATACCGCGCCCGGGCCGGGAGGTAGAAGAGCGGCATTTGCTGCTTGAGGGGGTCGACGTCGATGTGGAATATCGCCGCGTCCCTTTTCGGGCGGCACCGCGTCGGGATCCAGGGCACGTCGCAATCCAGGACGAGGATCACGTCGGCTTCCTCGACGGCTGCGTGCGCGCCTATCCTCATGCCGAGCCACGCCGGGTGGTTGGCGGGAAAACACATGTCGCTGCCGGATCCATCCAGCACGCGGAGAGCCTTGACGGCATCGGCCAGCCGGACCAGGACGGGTGGTATCTGCAGGTTGCGGCCGGAATATCCCGTGATGACGAGCGGTCTCTGGGCCCGGGCCAGGGCCTCGGCGATGCTGTCCGCGCTCCTCGGCGACAGGCCGCCCAGCTCGACGGGATCCCACTGATCCTGCTGGATCTCGTAGGGCGCGAGGTCGGCCTCGAGGACTTCTCGCGTCGCGCAGAGGTACACGGGGCCCTGGGGGCCGCTTGTCGCAAACTGCAGCGCGCGGTTGACCATTTGCTTCACGTTGGCCCCCGTCTTGATTTCCGCCGCGTACCGGCAGTACTGGCCGAGGATGGCCTTTTGGTCAGGGATATCCTGGAGCCAGTGGATGAATTCCGTCCGGGAGCCGCGCAGCTCGCCCTCCAAGGTGCAGGGCGACATGCCCGCAAAGACGAGGACCGGAGCGCGACCGACGGATGCGTTGTGAACGGCCACGCCCAACGCCTGCGTGCCCACGTCCACATGCACGATGACACATTGTGGCCTTCCGGTGACCCGCGCGAAGCCGTCCGCCATGGACATGGCCACCATCTAGAAAACTCGTGTCAGTTGTAGGGCTCGGTGCTCTCGAGCGGCCGGGGCATACCTCGCTCGGGCAAGTGACGATGCGTGGAAAGCCAGCGCCCTTTTCCCTTTGGCCCTTGAGCATTGCTTCAATAATGCTCGGGTGGTCTGATCCCAAGTTGACGAAGCAGTGCGTCACCCCGGCGCCGCAGAGGGCATCGAAGAAGGCAAACGACGCCGTGTACATGATGGCCGGACGGTTGGGGGGGTTTACGAGACGAGAATAAAGGGTGAATGGCGAGTCCTAGGCCGCCAACATGGCAGAATCAAGGAATCACAAGGCGAGTTTTTCGGGACTCTGTGGTATTTCTATGACTGCCGGGTTGCCGTCTTCTTCTCCACCAGCACATCAGCCGGTCCTGGTAGCCGAGTCGGACTTGGGGCCAGGGTTGCGAGCTCCCGATCTTGTTGCGTATTCGAGGTTACAGTTTCCCCTCTTGGCCCCGTTTTCTCACGCTTGACAGTCCCGATGCTGGGTCGGAATATGTGGGATTGCGTTCCGAGCCCGCGCTCGGGGCCGACCCGGAGATTGATGGAGAATTAATTGTAAGCCAGCCGCAGCCTTCACATCTACAGAGTAAATCTAAAACTGGGGTGCCAATCGCCAAGGTTGGCCCGGACGTCTTCTGGCAAAGCAAGCCGGTCATCTCTGCGCCCGGCGGCCCGCTTGCCATTCTCCCTCCTCATGAGCATAAACATGGCCAAGGCGGCACAGATTCCAACCCACATCAAACACAGGGACACGCTGTATCCGGTAGTATATCTTGGCGATTCGTCGGGAACAAAAATCAGGCTGCCGACAATGCCTGCCACGTTTCCCACCATGACTTGGGTCGAGGCGGCAAACGACCGTTTCCAATGGCCCGACACGTTGTTTTGCAGCCAGACAAGAGCCATGGGGGCAATCATGTACGCGCCGCCAAAGACTAGAAAAACGGCGGCAAACTTGTAGTCTCGTGTCTTGCCGTCCTGCGACAGAAGCATCGCGTACCCAACCGTCGTCATTGATGCGCCGCCGACGATGAAGCCGAACCGGTGCTTGAGTCGATCCGATGCGTAGGCGCCGAGGAGCATCGTTCCCGCTGCGAAAACATACACGGGAATCGTACGAACCTGCGCCTGCTCGGGTTCCCAGTGAAATTCCACAAGAATCGTTGGCAAAAACATGGCCCCCGACAGGCCGGCCACGCCGACCCCAAAATACATCAGGCCGCCAAGCCAAATCTTGTAGTCGGAGGCAATAAGCTGCATGGAGAATTTGTTGAGCGTGTCCATCCGAACCATGTCTCCCACGTCGTTCTTGGCACGCCTGCGAAGCAGTTCCTTTTCTTCCTTATTGAGGTACTTGGTCTGCTCCGGCCAGTCGATGATGGTAAACGAGGCAACGACGGCCAGCAAGGCCGTGATGGCCCCTTCAATAATAAAGATCCATCGCCACGCCCTGAAACCCTCTCGGCCGCCGAGTTTGCCAATGGCAAAGGCCAAGAGGCCGCCAAAGGCTCCCGCGACAACGGTGCTGCAGAACAACAGCGACATGCGCTTCTGGCACTCGTGGCGCTTGTAGTACGTCGAGGTGATGTAGACAATGGCCGGCAGGACGCCGGCCTCAAAGACGCCCAGCATGAATCGGAGCCCTACGAGAGCTTGGTAGCTGTGCACGAAGCCCATGCACATGTTGACGACGCCCCAGATGAACATGAGCGTGGACATGTACAGGGACGGGCGGACCTTTTTGACAATCATGTTGGACGGGATTTCCAGCAAGATGTAGGAAGCGTAGTAGACCTGCAGACGCCCTGTTAGCCAGCTTTCACCCCTCGTGTCCATGCAGTCTGGTGGTGCGCGGCCACGGACGAACAAGCAGGGCAACGTTGAATTTCTTGCCGGAAAGGTCCAAGTCCTTGGGCATGTCTTGGATCCTGGCGTTGCTTATATTAATTCGGTCCAGAAACGACATCATGTATATAATGAAGAAGGTCGGGATGATGATCACGTCCAGTTTTCGAACTAGCCTGCACTCAGCGGCTGCGTCAATGTCTTCATTCGAGATGTGGGCGTCATCTGTGCACGCGCCGTCTCTCCCAGGCTCGAGGTGAGACTTGCCATGATTGCCGATGACCATGATGCCGATTTGACAACGTTCAAGTGTGAAGCAGTGTGCGGTTTTGCTTGCCGTCACCAACACAACCCGCTACTGCGGGGCCAGGAGAGCAAGTGAAGCAGCGGTCGATGAATGAGGAGAGTGTGCGATTAGATGGAGGAAATATAATTCAGAGGACGGCAAAAAATGTGGGAAACAATACCGGATGAAGGTTAAATGGCTTGTCATTTCGGGAGACCGAGACATTAGGCACGTAGTGCATACAGGTTGTGACAGCCGTCGCAATATGGGGATGACAAGATTCTTGGTCCTAAATTGCTCATGTTATCTAGGCCATTCGTTGGTCTCTTTGTGTCGGGGAATGTTGACGGCATCTTCTGTTACATTGACTGAAGTGGCATGTCATGGAACGGCCGCATAATACCGATTGAGCTAACCCGCTAGAGCTTCTGCAAGCCACGCCGTTTGCATTCGTACATACATGCTGTGTTGGCATCCCACCCGTCTAACAAGGATGATAAATACATGATGTCGGCGTCGGATCGTTGCAGTATCAGGCAACTCATCAAGTGGCGTACCCGTTCAGCGTCACGGCTTCAACGGTACCCAAGCTAGGGATCGCCAAGACTGAGAATTTCCCACATATACAGGGCAGGCTGTACTCTCTGTTGAAGTCCTGTCTATTCCTCCAACTTTTCAGGGTATCAAGGCCGCTGGGCTCCCTCGAATGGGAGCTGTGGCAAGGCTCGCGGATACTGTTGCAACGAGTCAAATCGGGTGAACTAGCCACCAGGTAGCAGGCATTGTATATTGCCAAGAGGGGTTGATGTTTAAATTGTAGTAATAAGCGTGGTCTGTTCGCCAAATATTACTTGGTCTCCAACAGCCGAGTAAGCACTTGGAGCTCTTCCATGCACCCAGTGAGCCAGGGCATGGACGCTTTGAGAGCCTACATGTAGCCACTGATGGCGTGCAATTGAGAGCGTACACATCCGTCCATGGTTGCATTAGAAACGTCTGGTCCCACCATGACCATGGAGGTCCGTCTTGGCATCTTACATGAATGAAGAAGGTCGTTCATCTTATGCCACGAGTCGACCAATAGAGTGACGGGTAAGCCTGTGTCAAGGCCCTGATTCCATCACCCAACTGTATTCATCAAGGCTGGCGGCACCTCTGCTCGATCTCTAAAACTCAATGATGAGGCAAATTACCTTTTTGAAGCCATCTTATTTACGACATGTTCAGACTAGGCTTTCCCTCCCAGACCACTATACGAGCATGCAATACGCATGCCAGATGGGCATTTACACAGCGTGCGACATGATTGACTGCAAATTCAACACAGCAGCCACTCTGCACAGTACCTTCATGGGGTATACATGATCCCTCGTCTCCCTACCCGCGATTCGTAAGGCTTCGATGCGCAGTTACAAGCGCTCGGTGCTATCCACAGGTGCATCTGCTTCTGCCAACAAGTCATAATTCTTGAATTGGCGAGCCGGAATGCGCCGCTGAAAGAGAATGTCCAATTCTTCATAGGTTCTGTTTCGGCTTTCTGGTAGGCGAAAGTAGCACCAAACCAGGCACACGATGCTGATGGCGCCAAAAAGAAACCCAGCCTTGCCCCCCCAATTGGCCTCGTTGGAATTGAGCATGTAGGGCATGGCAACTGTGAAAACAATGCTGGCGCACGCTTGCACCGCTGTGGCAATGGCTATGGTGCGCTCGCGCAACCGTGTGGCTGATATCTCTGAAATGACCACGAAGCAAATCGGCCCAACCGTCATTTGGTATACAAACGTCCAGATGTCCATCAATGATGCCATGGCCCATATAGCACCCGTATTGTTCTTTGGTATGCTCAGGAAGCCAATCACAAATAGGAGGACGGTCATGACGGCCATTCCCCAAGTGTAAATGGTTCTCCGGCCTAGTTTGAACTGGTGGTCCAACGTTAGTTTGCTTCGGCTCAAACTATGAGATCCTCTGGCACAAGTGACACTTACAAAGTTCATCAGGGGCCAGGAAATCACTGTGCCGATAAACCCAAGAGCAGTATTACCAACCCCCACTAGGAAGTATTTGCTGTCAGCTCGTAGCACCAAGCAAACAGAATAATGTGGATGGAGGACAGAGCATCTCACTATTGAAAGCATCCGAGGAGCTCAGTCCGGCTTGTTCGAAGAAATAGTTTGCGTAGCCAATCAGTGGATTTCCTCCAATGACTTGGATCAAGTAGACCATGACGGATATCTCGGTGCGGACAAGGCTCACTCCTTTGAAGCAGTCGTAATAGGTCGTCTCGGTTTCATACTCCTGTTCGAGTAAATCTGTTTGCTCTATTCCCACCAGAAGCTTGTCAATATCCGGACGATTTGTGCTAGACGTGAGTTGGAGCAACGCCCTGCGAGCATCCTCCCTTCTCCCGCGGCGGACGAGCCAGTATGGACTTTCCGGGGCAAAGGGAAGCCCAGCAAGCAGCACAACAGGCCATACCCATTGGATAGCCTGTGGCAAGAGACGGTCAATACCTGGTCAGCGATGTCACTGGATGCGGAAATGTGTGGGCTGGTCCGCCAACTCACAAAGGGGATCTTGTACGCCCACTCATCCAGCCTTGTCTCGACCCCAGCTGCACAGCCTTGAGCGATGAACTGCCCGATGACAAAGGCCAGATTGACAGATGTTGTGAGGAAGCCTCTGAGAGTCACGGGGCATATTTCAGAGGCGTAGGTGGGTGCGATGACGACGTAAAATCCGTAGGCAAGGCCGGCGAGCACCTCTCCGGCGCAAAGCATGCCAATGGACGTGGCGAAGAACTGGACAAAGACAAAGCCAACAGACCAGACGCAGCAGAGGCCAAGCGTTTTGCGCCTCCCGAGATAATGCAGCGGATAGCTACTGGCGAGGGCGCCGACAGCCTGACCGATGGGATTGCCCATGCCCAGACCCGTCTGCCAGGGCGCGGCAATCTCATAATGATCGCCAACCCAATCGCCGTATTTGCGCTGGAAGGCGGGCAGGGCGTAGAAGGAGGTGATGATCTGGGCGTCGAAGCCGGCCATGACGACGGCGATGCAGAAGAACATGGACCAGAAGGTGGCCTGGGGATACATGCCGATGGCTTGCCAAAAGCCCAACTCATGCTCGGCCTCTGTGATGTCGCGGGTTTGGTCAATCCCCAGCGCGCGGGATGGTCCCGCTTCACCGATGCCATGGTCATGATGACTATGTTCGACGTCGTAGTGATCCGGGTCCTTGGCGGATGTAAAGGTGTCTGTGGTGGTGACGGGCATGCTGACGAAGGCGCAGTTGGTGCTGCCGATGGATGTCTCGAATCCGTTACGGTTTCCAACTGTGAGGGCTGGTGTGAATGCAGAAACTTCAATGGGCTTGAACAATGCTACCAATAGACGCGACACGGAGTTACATGAGGACCGGGTGTGTGATGTTCGCAGTCCACCGGCGATACATCTGCGTGTCGGGCATTCGAGGGCGAAAGAAAGAAAATGACGGATAATGCCTGGGTTTCGAGTTCAGTCCTCAAGCTGCGTCGTGCCGACATCTAGCCAGAGGAAGGCGCCGCAGCCGCATCTAGATTAGTTCAATCTTGTCTGGTTGTCTGACTCTAGGGGCACCGGACGTTTAAATGTCTGGCTGGGCATTTCCGGCACGGCCATGCTGGGGGCGGCAGCAATTCAGTGGGTCGGTTACAATACTCAGCCAATAGTGGTGCATGTAGGGTAATCTGGGGCATAACAAGGCACGGCGACGGGACATTGATGGTCGTAGTCTGGCCAAGAGCTAATGTTGGCAATAGGCCCGTCGCCCCTGCATCAGTTGCTGCCAGGCTTCTTCTTTTATTTGTTTCCGACCAAGACGGCGCCAATATTTAGCAACGCCGTCACTTTGATCCCAGTTTAGACTCGCAACGGTCCATGGGTAGACATGATCCGAGGTCGAGCACGCTTCCGTTGGCTCACAATACTAAGCACAACATTGGCTCGGTGTGTGTCAGGCGCCTTTTCGTACGCCCCGAGCTCAGCCAGGAACGTGCTGGTGTACGTGGAAACCAACCATGGTCAGGCGGATCAAAGGGTGTTGGGCATTGTGTGCTGCAGCCACTGTGTCACCCAACGGGTAGCTAGGAGTCTGGCATCCTTTTAAGAACAATTCAGCCTAATGGAGACAAACAAAGTGGTGGTGTGGCTCCACGTGAACCCTATTGCCAGCAGAGCGTGTGTGGCATCTTGTCTACTCAAGTATCTACCCTGAGCTGACGGGCAAGCAACCAGACATCTCTCTCGGCGGATTAGTTCTTGCTTCCATGCAAATCAATGTCAACACACAAAACGATTGGTCCCGTCTACCGCTGGTGGTCCACGAGATCCTGACCAGGCCAAATCTCGGCCCCATTCTTGGTCACCTACATAGTGTCAAGGCTTCCCTTGGACACTTATACCAGTATGGAAGCTGGCTGCCTGCAATCAGCACTATCAAGAGCTGCAAGAAAAGCTGTTGGTTGCTGCAAATACATTTGCCCATCTTGACATCATTCCACAAGAATAAATAGGGATTCTGCCTGCAGATTTCAAGGGCGAGCCAAACATCTCCATCATACATCGAAAAGAATAGCCAATATCAAACATACGCAAACTCAGAAAATGAAGGTCAAGCTCTTCTTCTTCTTCGCCTCGTTTGGTCTGGCCATCGCTGGTCAGCAGAAGGAGCCCGAAGCTCGCGCGGCCAATGCGTACACCAAGGACAACCACAATCTTAAATACGTCAACAATATACCCATGGACAAGACCTCAGAACAGGTTAAAATTGAGAACAAGCAGTCTTCCTGAAGCTGTAAGTCGATGCGTTCTATGCCTCATGCTGCGGCCATTGTATGACACCATGCCACAGGTTGGGCCTCACAGTGAAGAGCACGTCCAATATGAGGGGAGGAGGAATGATTGGGACGAATACCGGTTTGGGGGCTCTTCTATTCATCTGATATATACAATTTGATGAATGAGCTGTATCGACTTGCAATCCAAGGCTTGTACATATGTCTGGTGAGACCTTATACATATTAAATCTTCGATCTGGTACATCGATATCTTCCCTTTGGCCGTTTCGTTTTCTTTCATTTTTGCATGTAAATATTTGAGGAAAAAATATTTCCGCTTGGCCTACGGGCCCTGCAGACATTTTCCATCCTTTAGATAGCATTCAAATAGGGGAGGGGGACAAGACTCGCTAGCATCTGCCTCCCGTTACTTACATCTCTGGCCGAAAAGATATTGCTAGCAACGTCGGTAGCCGTCCTTGACTCTCTTATCTGAGGCATCACAAAAATTAGTCAACAGTCTCAGTTCAGCTAAGCAACAACCTAGCGTTGATTCCCCAGATATATGGGGACGGCTTCGCACTTTCTTCTCTCAACGCATTCCCAAGTGAAGTGAAAGGGCAGTTATCAGAGCATGTATGCAAAGGGTAAGAAATACAATCTATCCCGCACTAGCCCTCGTAGCTAGCTACATCCGGTATGCAAACATTCTTCCGTCATGACAGATCATTTGAAACGTCCCAAGCACCAGCAAGAGTACAAAACAGCAGACATGCTGCTCAAGACCGGTTGTCGTTGCAGTCGAGATGCTTCATAGTGCGCCATAGCGTATCTTGAGCAAAATAACTCTGCCTCAGTACTTTTCTTTCTTAACAAAGAGACTTATGGATACATTTTTGATACACATTCAACTGGCTTCCAGACCATATGGGAACGTGGCTGTTGTCATCCCGTTGCCCGCCCCTTTATGTCAATTCATCTGCCCGCGTCCAGAATAAATCGTGCGACTTGAAATAGCCATTTACCCTATACTTTGACGTCGCAATGGAAATTCATACCAGGCATGACAGTAAGGGTGCATCGGATAGCTAGTTAGCAACTTGTTCCCTGTCGACCTTGAGTCTCAATTTCACTGTTGGCCCGACCTGCGCTCTAACCCCAACCCTAGCCCGGCTTCACCCAACGCTGCCCCTCCTCCGTCATTGAGCCCCACCCTGACCCAGTGACAGCTCTCTGCCTGCTCTCTGCCTGCTCAATGTTTTCCATTCCGTGTTGCTGCATCATCACCGTCTGTGGTAATCGTTGCGACTCGACTCTTCGTCCTGCTGCTTCTCGATAGCAATCGTTTGGCTTGGCCGTACACAGCTTCTCCTTAGCTTTCTTGTTTCCTGGCTCGCATGAGCCTGCATCATCGCCATGTCTTGCCCACATCTCGAGTCTCTTGGTGAGTTGCTCTACTCTCTCCATGCACTGGCGTGTGTCTTGCATGGGGCATTCGCCAACTTACGAAACTGACACGCAATGTGTTTCCTCCACAGCATTAACCCCTCCGACTCCTGCTCAGTCTGTGTATCGAGAAGACTGTACCCAGTGCTTTGACTCCATAGTATGTTTGTGTGGTCCTTCGACCCATCCCAGCTGAGTCGTCTTCGGTGAAGGTCGTCTTATCCTAATCACTTTCCCTGTAGGATGAACCAACGGGCCTCGATGTCTGCCTTCAGTGTTTCAACGGCGGCTGTGCCGGTGACCGCTTGCATTCAAAACTTCACAGCGCGATCCGAAGTCATCCTCTGTCGCTCAACATCCGCCGAACCCGAAAAGTTGTCGTTCGAGACGAACCGCCCCCCAAAATCTCCAAGCTAGCCATCGCTGCCGAGTCTGAACAAGATCGATACGATACTGCCCTTGCTGTAAAATGCCTCGAGTGCAATACCGAGCTCGATATTACAGACGTAAAGCTGGCACCAGTTGTAGATGGTGTCATGAAAGCAAACACCTTCTCACGTAAGGAGGAGGTGAAGGCCTGGGAACAGGAACTTACGAGTTGCGAGCATATTTTGCTTATGCAGCAGCATGAGTCTCGCAAGATTGAACAGGGCCAGCTCGGTCACTGCTCGGGTTGCGACTTGAGAGAAAACCTCTGGCTGTGCCTAGAGTGTGGGAACCTGGGCTGCGGCCGTAGGCAATTGGGGGGAGTGGATGGAAACTCCCATGCACTGGCTCATTCCACAGAGTCTGGCCACGGCGTAGCTGTGAAACTGGGTTCCATCACACCTGAAGGCACAGCGGACATTTACTGCTACAAGTGCGACGACGAACGGATCGACGACAACCTGGGTCAGCACCTGGCTCATTGGGGAATCAAGCTAGCCGAACGACAAAAGACGGAAAAGAGCTTGACGGAGATGCAAATTGAGCAAAACCTCAAATGGGACTTTAGCATGACCACTGAAGATGGAAAGGAGCTCAAGCCACTGTTCGGGCCTGGCCTGACGGGTCTAAAAAACTTGGGTAATAGTTGCTATTTGGCAAGCATCACTCAATGCCTTTTTGACATGCCAGCATTCTGCGACCGCTACTTTCGACCAAACGATGATTTGCCGATTGTGGAAGACCCCGCGACTGACCTGGAGACTCAGCTCCGAAAGATGGGAGACGGTCTATGGTCCGGGCGGTATTCTAAGCCTGATGCTGATCTGTCCACGGAAACACAGGTTCATCACCAAAAAGGGCTGGCACCGGCAATGTTGAAGCACCTGATTGGACGTGGTCATGAGGAATTTTCGACCATGAGACAGCAAGATGCATTTGAACTCCTCCAACATCTCTTCAAGCTCATTACTAGATCACAGCACCCCGGTCATCTCAAGGATCCAACTGCGCCATTCAGATTCGTCCTGGAACAAAGGCTTCAGTGTCTAAGGTGCAATAAGGTTCGTTATACTGTTAACGAGCAGGACAGCGTCTTCATCGACGTTCCCCTAGAGAAAATTCCTGCAGCAGAGGGGGTCGAGGATGCCGCCGAACAGTATAGGCCAGTCACACTCAAACAGTGTCTCGACAACTTGACCGCGGCTGAAAAGGTCGATTTGACATGCGCAGCTTGCGGAAGCACCGACGGATTCAGCAAACAATCACTGTTCAAGACATTCCCCGAGATTCTGGTTGTGAATGCTCGTAAAATGACGGTAGTTAATTGGGTTCCGATTAAGGTCGATGTACCAGTTCTTGTACCCGATGAGCCCTTCTTACTTGATGGATACTTGTCAAAGGGCTTGCAGCCTTCTGAAGAGGAATTGCCAGAGGAGCCCGAAACCCAAACCCCCGCCTTTGTGCCCGATGCCACAGCCCTGGCTCAGTTGGAAGGCATGGGATTCCCACTCAATCGCTGCGAGAAGGCCTTGCATGCCACTGGGAACTCGGATGCCAATGCAGCTATGGAGTGGCTGTTTAGCCATATGGAGGATCCTGATATTGACGCCCCTCTAAATCTTGGTGGCCAAGGAGGAGGGTCTGGAGATACTGCCGATCCCGAGAAGATTGAGATGCTCGGTGCCATGGGCTTCGGCGCTCCGCAGGCTAAGAGGGCACTGAAGGAGACTGGTGGTGACATGGAGCGTGCTGTTGAGTGGCTCTTTAGCCATCCAGATGACCAAGGCATTTTGGAAGAGGAGGGTGCCGGCTCTAATGAGCCAGCTCCTTCCAAGGAGCCGGCTGGGCGTGCTACGCTTCCCGCGCAGTTCCAGCTTCAATCCATCGTGTGTCACAAGGGAACAAGTATCCATGCCGGGTAAGTTTCATTGCGTGACGGCTTTTTTCAGGTATTTTACGCACTGTACTAACTAGATGGGATCTGTAGTCATTACGTGGCCTTCATTCGAAAACAATTAGAGGGCCACCAGGCTCCTAGTTGGGTACTCTTCAATGACGAGAAGGTTGTCGAAGCAACTGATATTGATGAGATGCGGAAGTTTGCGTACGTCTATTTTTTCAAGAGGGTGTAAGGAGAAAATTTTAGCACAAGGGTTGTAGATCTAGACGGCGTTGTAGATGATTGATTCGCCCAGAGGGAGCTGGGCTGGCAGCATGGACTGGTGTAAGCGGGGATGAGATCGTCAGAATTATGGCGATGAGTGATTTGATGCATGGTTTGGCGGTTGGGGATAAAAATAGTGATGGGTGAGGTGAGATGATGTGGCCTTGTTGAACAACATCAAGCAAAAGAGGCAATGCATGGTGCATTTCGGCCTGTCCTAGACAAGTATATTCAGACACCACTTGCAGTTTGCAAAAGCCCAGAGAAACAGTGTCAATTTTGACATCATGATGCGTCAGTCATTCATGTATTACGCCGTCGCCTACTCCATCCCCATGCAGTAAACCGTCCCGCAATATCCCAGGCCGAAGTACGCTCCGCCCATCAGCATGCGTCATGTCACGTTTATTCAAGCTTCCATTCACTTGCTGTTTGATTTCACATGCTAGTCTCCCAACCTGTAGCTGACGAGGGTATCTACACGATGATTTGCCGTACTAAACCCCCGGAGCTGGACATGTTCGCCGTTGGCAATCTCCTTGGCATCCGAATCGCCCCATTCCACGGGAACGTCGCTGTCCGCATCGGCATAGACGAGTACATTAAACGTGCAGTCGCCGCTGAGTTGTGGCAGGAAAGTGACAGAGGCCGTAATCTGGCGGAAAATGGCGGCGATTTCGGCTTGAATCTCGGCTTCTGTCTTTTCTGGCGCAGCCGCAGCGGCTGCCGGCGCAACGTTTTCCTGGTCGGTGGGTTGGGGGGGTGCTTTCGGCTTGGACTTTGCCGCCGGTTGTGAGATTTGAACCTGGTTAAGTGCGGTTTCGCTGTTAGCCATGGGCTTCGAGGGAGAGGGGGGGGCCGTGAAGGATGGCTTTTTGTGCCGCGAGGCCGACGCGAGGACCTACATCGAATTGCCAACGCTCGACATGCTCTCCCGTGTCCTTGTCGGTAATGACGATGACGAGCTTGGATATTTTGCCGCCCACCATCCATTTATCGAGCTGGCTCATGATTTTCTTGATGTATGCCTTGACTTGGTCGTCGGCCGAGACTGTGCGGTGCGCGGTTAATTTCCCACATTGACAGACGGCAATGGAGGCTGAGAGGGGGGGGTACTTTGCGTACCGAGCATGTTGAGGCCATATTTCTTGACGCTGGAGACGCGGGCGCGGAAATTAGCATGGTTGTACTCTCGCGTTGACGGAGGAGTCGTGGTAGCAAAGTTGGCACACATACGCGGTGAAGTCTTCGGCAGGGTAGACACCGCGTTGGAATCTAGACGCAGTTAGTTTGGCCGCAACAGTCGTTCGGTCGGTCGGGGCGGAGTGGCGGTCGAAGAGAGGGCGGATCAGCATACAGAATCGAGTGTATCGAGTATTGAAACTGCATGAAGCGGCGGCCGAGGGTCAGCTTTCTGAGGAGGGGAGCAGGCAGGCGAATTGTGCGAGCGAAGGAGACGTACAAACTCGGCGACCAGTCTGGAGCTGCCCTTGAGCGAGAGCTTGTGCACCTTGGACTTGTCTTTCTCTTTCGGTCGTGGCTCTTTCGACGACATTTTATGCGTGGTGCGGCAGGTCGGTGGATGGTGCGTGCTTTAGTTGGCGAGGGTGCGGGTAGAGGGACGGAAAGCTGGGAGAATTAGAAAGAGAAGCTTTTTGCATGTATGTATTTGTCTCTTCTTTTCGTCCCACTGACGTCTGGTTGTTGTCAATTAATGGAATGTGGTGGGGAACCAGGCTGAGCTTGACGTTGAACTTGGAGCTTCGAGGGTCCAAATTGCGGGGTCCAACTTTGCCTTCTGAATCAATGTCGATCCATTTCTACAGATGCTTTCGTGCGCAAGTCTTCGTACAGCGACTTTTGGCGATTAGGCGCATTCTATCCACTGCATCAATTCCGACGATGTAGCATCTTGTGTCATTTGGCCGATTTGCACTCCAGAGTGGTTGCGGACAGGCACGACTGCAGCAGCGCAGCCATCTCCATCCCCCGAGCCCGCATCTGCTGTCCGCAACGTCGAGACCATCTCTCGCTCTCACTAGCCTCGTACATAACCTGTTGGCGGTTCGCAAGTGCCAACCACGGATGGTATTGGACGACCAGACTTCGTTTCCACCATCGCGCCCACTAGGTTCGACCACATGTGGCCAGTACGTACACAAACAAGCCCCAATGCGAGACAACTGTCTGCCCAACTCTCCGAGGGTTTGAGCATCCTGTTAAAAGACAAGATCAACCCGACAAGGGCCATGCTTCCCGACGGGCAGAAGCCCAATAGTTTCAGGGCAGGAAGAACTTGACTGCTTGCGATGAGGCATGTGCATTACTTGGAAGGGTCAGAAACCTGGTAGCGAAGCCAACGGTGGATGCCAACCACGTTGCGTTATTCTCCACGGCTCATACACGCATACATCATAGTGGCTACACGGAAGCCGGGGATATTTGTTGCCATATTACGTTTGGCAAGAATACATGGCCACTGTGCATCAAGGTGAAGTTGAGGAAGTCTGAAGCAAGCTGTAGGCATCCCTCTTGGACGCATGGTTCCAGCCCAGTCACACACTCGTCCGCGTTTAACGAATGGGACGTCTGCTTGCAGAAGCTCATGTCTTGAAAGGCTCAACTTGGCTTCCTCGACTATAAACATGTCTGATATGCCTGCACATCTCTGACTTGTACCATACGCGTAACATCATTCCCCGACGTTCATTCATTTCCCTCGCTCATGTCAACAAAGTACACAGGCCACCGTGAGAGGAGAGCAGCCTAATTCTTCTTCTTCAGCAGACGTGACAAAAAGTTGGACTTCTTGGGCTTCTTCTCGCCTTGATCCTGATCCAGGCCTCTGGCTCCGTCTTGAGGGCCTGCGCTCCCGTTTTTCTGCAACTGCTCCTGGGCATCAAGCTGTGTTGTGTTGTCGTGCATGACTTGCTGCGCCATGGACACGGTGCTCTCCTGGGGAGCTTCGCCGACCACAGGCTGGCCCTCAATGAACAAATCCTTGACACTTCCAGGGCCGATTAGTCTCTCGTACACGGCCAGGGTTGTGCCGAATTCCTTCCTTGAGCCGACCTTGATGGCATCAAGTAGTTGCAGGGCGTATGTCTGGCAATTGTTGGTGATGAGGTTGTAGCCCGGCTGCGTCTCTCTGATGGCCTCGATGACGGATTCGCCTTTTCCATCCAGTTAGTTATTTCTTCTTGTCACGAGCGGCAGGATAGACAAACGCACCAGCCCGTCGTGTAGCGTCATCGTTGAAGCGCGTCTCGCCAACTTGAAATGTGCGCCACTCCTCGCGCTTGATCTTTTGATTTGTGTAAATGACGTCGAAATTCTCATCCTGCGGGTTCATCTAGTTGGTTTGGTGCTTCCGGCGAGGCTTGTTTCCAGGCGGGCGTAGACATACCATCCACAACTGGTGAGCATACTCGCCAACCAGCACGGCCCAATGCTGGGTCGGATCCGGATACTTGTTGATCTTGTCGGTGATCATCTTTCCGAGACCTGTCTGCTCAGCAAACCACTTGCCGGCCAGTCCGCCGACGGGATGCCATCCGACCTCGACGGGCCGTGATGGTCCGTCGAGCACCGGGTCGGTGGCGGGCACAATATTGGGCTGTCTACCAAGTCCCATGGCATGCTTCAAGGCAAGTTCTCCTTTATTCAGGTTTTTCTTCCTGGTTTCGCGCAGTTTGCGCCGTTAGAATTCGCAGTCATGCATGTCGGCTTATCAAAGCATCAACGGCAGCCCAAAAACACGTACAGAAAGTCTCCCACCTTGTCGCTCATGCGCTCCTCCTCTCCCTCGTTGGGTGCAGCTTCGGAAGTCATGGCAAACAGGCAAGCAACGAAACGCCGCGCGCGAAAGTGAGGTCACTGTGGTGCGCAGGAGCGGAGACAAACGAATGGGTCAAATCGTACGCGGCTGCTCGGTAAGTGTCTCGGTGTCTGGTAATAATAAATGAGAATCGCGCATGCCGGGTCAGCTTGTCCCAGGCTCCAAGGATCCAAGGGTCAAGGGGTCTAGTCCTCGCCTTGCACAAACATGAAGGGATCAATTGTACTGAGCCGCACGACTTTGTCAGAGAACATTGAACACAATGGACCCACGTGAGGCCGCCAGTGGCTCAGCTGAACCGTTGAGAACCTTGATTTGAGTCAAAGAGAAAGAGGTGACGGTGTGCTCATCGCAAAGCAAAAAAAAAAAAAAAAAAAAGCCAGGTCAGTACTCGGTTACCTGTCTCCAACGTCAAAATCTTTTGTGCTAATGCTCGGATCTGATTGGCGTCGATCACAACAAAGGAACCCTAACCCTAACCCAGGGCATCATCCACCCGCAACTAGAGTTGGTAGCAATCCGGCGACGCGAAAGTCTCGTACTACTCGTCTTTGTATATTGCTCAACGGCGGCAGCGACTTGTCAACATAAGTGTCTTATCGGTCAAGCTAATCCACACTGTAAATTGTCATAAAATATGTGTAAAAGTGTCGTGTGTGTCTGTGATGCAGCGTGCGACATGTCAGCGCCTACAAACCGCCTTACAAATTGAGGAACTTGCCAAGAAGCTCGAGGCTTCACCTGACTGCGCGCTACGTTGGCATTGATATTACTTTTTCGTGTGCCTTGGGCGAGATAATCGTAAACATGTCTGGTTCTTGACATTGCGCCGGATGCCCTGAACCTACCCGGGACCTAGCAGAAATGTCGGTCCGTCTCCATCGGAACCGTGATCCAGAAGACCATTTCAGAGGCAAGACGATTTGAAGCATAATGAACTTCGCCTTGTATAGTTGTTTTGCATTAAGCGGTGACCTAGCTACCCATAAACACTCATACACCATAATGATGACCTTATGTAGCATAGCTGTTAGGCTACCTCATTTTGTCCAAACCAACTCGGTCATGCGTGCCTAGCGTGCTGTTTCTTTTGACCGCGCACTCTTCGGGGACAGGGAATCTTAAGGGGCCCAGAAATGGCACAATTAAGAACTGCGATTACATATAAAGTCTTTGCGATATCTTGCGAATGGCGCCCGTACGGCCGCTTAGCCGCGTGAACGGGCTTTATCGGTCCTGCCAGATTCCCAAAAACTTGACTGATGCCACCTCGGAGGCCGGCCCCGCATGACCCCCTCACACGCAAAAACTATTGGACAACGCTGTCTCGTATCGATAAGACAACATTGAATTTTTTTCCAGCCCACCGCCTTTGGTTATTCCAGTCGCGCGCTCGAGGCCTGGTCCCGTCTCAGCATAACCCACGGTTCCCCCTTTGCCCGACAATATTTCCAAGCCATCCTTTTCAATTGCCATGGCTGCCACGAAACATACACTCGCAGAGGACGAGTCTGTACGACCGAGTAAAAAGACCAAGATTTATGATGGCAACGATGCATCCGAAGTGCGGATAAAGAAGGACAAGAAGGACAAGAAAGAAAAGAAGGAGAAGAAGGAGAAGAAAGAGAAGAAGGAAAAGAAGGAAAAGAAGCGCAAATCCGAAAAATCTAATGTCGTCGTCGATGATGCAAAGGCAAGGGACCTCGAAATACAGCGCAAGGCCGAAAAGAAGGCCAAGAAGGACAAGAAAGAAAGGAAGTTGAAGGAGGCGCAAGAATTAAAAGATAATGTTTCGATCAAAGCGCCCGCCGAGGTATCGAGCGTGTCCGAGAAGGACGAGAAAGCCTTGAGTAGTGAAAGGGCCTCCACCTCGGGGTCATATGTCCAAACAATCAGCCTATCCAATGTTCCCCAAGACGACGTCGATGCCTTCATGTCGACGAACCAGATTGCCATTACCGATCCCCGAGGCGAGACATCGTCCCTTCGGCCAGTCGTCGAATTCCACCACCTTCCCTCGACGAACCTGCTCGAGAAGACCCCGTCGCCGTTTGCAAACTTCAAGGCTCCCACCCCCATCCAGGCCGCGTCATGGCCCTCCACGCTGTCCGGCCGAGATGTCGTCGGCGTTGCAGAGACAGGCTCTGGCAAGACCATGGCATTTGCTTTGCCTTGCGTCGAGTCCGTTTCCGCCATTGGTAAAAAGGGAACCAAGGCAGTCATTGTCTCGCCCACCCGCGAGCTAGCCATGCAGACGCATACGCAGCTGGCTTCATTGGCCGCGCTGGCCAAGTTGAAGTGCGTTTGCTTGTTCGGAGGCTCATCAAAAGACGAGCAGAGGGCAATGGTAAACCGAGGTGCCGACATCATTGTGGCCACTCCTGGCCGCTTGAAAGACTTCATGTCCGACAGTACTGTTGATCTGAGTGGCTGTCAATTCGCCGTTCTGGACGAGGCTGATCGCATGCTCGACAAGGGGTTCGAGGACGACATCAAACAAATTCTGGGTGCTTGCCTCGCCCGAGAGAGGAGACAGACGCTCATGTTTACTGCCACCTGGCCGCAGTCGGTCCAAGCTCTGGCGTCTACTTTCATGGTTGACCCCGTCAAGATCACCATTGGTTCAGGCGGCAAAGAAACCGAGAACGGCTCCGTAGAACTGCAAGCCAACACCCGAATTAGCCAAAAAGTCGAGGTCGTGGACCCCAAGGACAAGGAGTTTCGCTTGCTCCAGATTTTGAAACAGCACCAGCAGGGCAAACAGAAGAACGACCGTATCCTGGTCTTCTGCCTGTACAAGAAGGAGGCCACTCGTGTAGAAAACTTCCTCAGCCGCAAGGGCATTCGCGTTGGCGGCATACATGGTGATTTGAAGCAAGAGCAGCGAACACGCAGCTTGGAAGCCTTCAAGACTGGCCAGACTCCTGTGCTCGTCGCGACCGACGTCGCCGCGCGTGGATTGGATATTCCCGAAGTTAAGCTGGTAATAAACGTTACCGTGCGTGGACTACCTGATGCGTCTTTGAACGGCCCGGGCGATTGCTAACTGTGACGACTAGTTCCCTTTGACGATTGAGGATTATGTTCACCGAATCGGCCGTACCGGCCGGGCTGGCAAGACCGGCGAGGCACACACCCTATTTACAGTCCAAGACAAGGCACACTCTGGCTCGTAAGTTCTGCACCGACGCAAAAATCTTGTCAGTTCTTCTTCTAACGTGTACTTGTGCAGCCTGGTCAACATTCTCAGGGGCGCCAATCAACCCGTCCCCGACGATCTGCTCAAGTTTGGCACGACTGTCAAGAAGAAGACTCACGACATGTACGGATCATTCTTCAAAGATGTAGACATGACACAAAAGGCGACAAAGATTACGTTTGACTAGGATGCCCTTGGTTTGGTCCATCTCCTGGTAGCATTTCTTTTGCACATTTTACATGGCAATATTTTGGGCGTTCATATTTGGTGGCTTTTTCAGGTACGAGTAGACTGGCAGCATTTGAAGGGCTATCGCCTCTTGGGGCCCATCATGGGTATCAAATACTTGTATGGCGTAACGCAGCTTAGAAAAGTTCATCTTGGACTGATGACAAATACATGTACACAAGTCTAAATAGCTGGCGGAACAGCACGGCCAACATGCTTTGCACGTGTCATGGTTAACGCCGGGTCTGCTACATCAGAATATGAGGTTAGAGTGAGCCGATCAAAGTCGACAGAGATATCGTCGCAGTGCTTGAGATCCAGGGACCTGATAGTTACAGTCACATTCTTTTGCCCAAAAAGAAAGGCTCAAGCAAGCTCCGCACAAGATGATACACTGTCACTCTAACTTGAGGCGTTGCCACAGTTATATTGCGATGCCACGAAGAGCAACGTAGAGAAGGAAAGTCTAGCTTCTATCCTTGACCAAGTGTTATATTGAAAATATGGTTAAAGAATTTCATATGAGTTTCCTACATGACTCTCCTAGTCGCCAAGATGGCGATGGCCCTGAATTGTCCGGCGACTTGCCAATGGCCTATGCGGCAGCAGCGGGCATGCTTTGGTTCGAAGAGACAGGTTGAGGCTCGTGACCGTCGAAACAGGCCTTTGTATTCGGGTATTCGATGGCCCATATGGGTTTCGGCTTTTCGTCAAAGCCCTCACAGATAAACTTGGTGCCACAAAATTCCTCGTCATACTTCTCGGTGCCACACGCCTCCGGACATTTGGCACTGATGTCAGTTTCATCGCACCGCTCGTGACGGACAATCGTTGGCTTTTCAATCCAAGGTAGAATGGGTGGTGGTTCATGGGCATCGAGACATTCCTGGGCGCTTTTAAAGAAGCCTTTCTTGGGGGTTGTAGGCTTACCTCTGTCGTAAGAATCACAGTAGCGGGCGGTGCCGCAATTTGCATCGCTATAGTAGAAGCTGCCACAAGGAGTAACTCTATCAACTAAATAGCCTTCAGGAGAGAGCCAAGGGAGCTTCTTGACCTTGTTTGCAATGGCAGGATCCAGTCTACCTGCCAGTCCGTTGGTGGCAATAAGGGTGGTCGTGTTGGGATCCGTCCAATGGACTCGGGACCCCGTTTCCTCGGCAAGACTTATCAGCCGGGACATGACCTTGGCAGGCTCAGTGATGCCCTCGAGGGCCATGATGTATGCAGCGAGGCCAGCAACGTGGGGAGCAGCTATCATGACCACAGTTAGCTTCTTGAGACTACCCATTACCATGTGTATCGAGTGAATAGGCACGTACCCTGGCTTGTGCCATCATAAAGTCTTTTGTCGGTATCGGAAGCAGGACCTGCACTCCTTATTCCAACGCCAGGAGCGTAGATGGTAACCGAGGAACCCCAGTTTGAATTGGGCCAGTGGAAATCAGTGTCATCATATATTGCTGCAACGGTGATGATTTTTGGATGCCTTGCGGGGGAGTAGTTTCCGGCATCTTTCTGTACGTTGAGTAGACAAGTTAGTCTCGTGCTACTGGGCTTTTGCATCAATTTTCGAGGACCAGACATGAGAAAACCTACATTATTGTTGCCAGCACTAACCACCACCACCACCCCTGAATCAACGGCTTCTTCAAATTTCTGATCGACCTCGTTGGAGGCGTCAATGTGCATTGACATGCAGATGACGGCTTTCCCTTGGATGCCCTTCTTTTTGACATCTTCAATGACAAAATCCGCTGCCTTTATCATCTGTGATGCGTTCTTGCTGTCTATTCTGACAGCTACAAGCTTTACCTTCTTGGCGACGCCATACGTTGCGCCACCAATAATTCCAGCGATATGGGTTCCGTGACCATCATAGTCACGTTCCTGTACTCTTGGTTATGCAAGCCCGATTATTCTCCTTTTGGATTGTTGGCTTACATTTCTAGGTAATATGGTTGAAAATATAGCGCCATAACTGGCACGCCCTCCAAACTCCTTATGCGTGAGACGAATGCCTCCATCGATCACGTAGACCGTGATTCCTTCACCCGCCGATTCATCGTAGGTGTAGTTGGAGACGCCCTGAATTGCGTTGTTCGAGAGGCGGACAAGGTTAGCGGGAGCATTCGACTGGCTGACCAGGGTACCGCGTGTACCACGTTTATCGCACTCAATAGAGCCGTTCTCGCTAGTCTGATTGGCAGTGGGGATGCTAGCGTCTCGAGGAACAAGCCCGGATGATGCCAGGCTTGCCGACAGAAGGAGGCCAACGAGGCCGTGAAGGGACTTCATAATGAGGGCTATTCAAAGGTCCTTGATTGGGAGCGAAGATGAGAGCAATGATGGATCAGACAAAGTAGTAGTAGCGAACCTAGCCGAGACTTTTAATACCCATTCTTCGGCCTCCAAGGTGCACAGGTTGATATGAATATCTCACCGGACTGATGCGTTATCGCAACAGCCAAGATGTCTGAGATTATAGCCGTGCATAGCTATCGCCCACTCTCTGTATGAAAGGAGAGCTGAGGAATGCATTGATACCTACGGCGGCAGATGCTGCATTGAGAATTCGAGACAGGGTTGTTCAAAATATACAGGATATGGTCTTACTGGGCAGGGTCTGGTCTGCATGACCGAGTCATGACCTTGTATGCCCTCATGGATCAATTAGTAATTTGGAGCTCTTGTACATACTGAATACTCAAGTCAGGGAATAAAGGCTGTGAACGAAGTTGGCTCCAGTACGCTGGGTGCTGAAGGGATCCAGGCAGACCAGACATTTATTGAAACCAGACTGCACCAGATATGTCAATGGTTTCCATCAAGTCTGGTTGGAGGCGCCACACTGCGCGGTGCTGCTGGGCCTGGCATTGTGGAAATGCATTGTAAAGCATTTGATTGTCTCCTTCATGCAAAGCTACATGTGCACACTCTCACACGCCATATGCATTATAATTGCGCATCTATTCGCGGTGTAAGCGGACAGGGGCTTTGCTTGATGGCGGCCTGACTTGCTGTGGCTCCGTGTACCAAGAGCACAACGTTGCATATGAGTCTATATTGCCCAACGGTGTCATGTTGTCGGCGGACTGGCCATTCCAGACCGGCATGAGATGCAGGGTATGTAGCGTCAAGTGCGGAACGAGTCCGGTGCACTTGCGAGGACAGACAGTTCTTGCACCAGACCTGCTCTAATACAATTTGATGTGCTCCATGCTAGACACTCACGAGACAACATTGAGGTCAAGTGCCACCTTGACCGTACCAACGTAGCCTCTGCCTATTATATTGACGGATGCACCCGGCCAAAGTGCTGAGCTGATAGCGCAACCAGACCTTTAGCCAGAATTAAAACTCGGGTGGATACGAAGCATGACAATACATATGTACAGTCCACCCCCTGAATTATTCTTTATGCGTCATCTGACAAGATAGCTGGTAGCAAGAGGTAGTATATTAACTGTAGCTTATATTTTTATTAAGAGATTAAGTGTTAAGAGAGGTTTTATATAACTCTTTTTTTAAATTCATGATTAACCCGCCTATTAGGTTGCGCATATAAAATAATTCAAGGGTTGGACTGTACATATAGTCGTCCCACCACCCTTGTCCTGACATAGTATCCCTATAGTGCGGCATTTCTAGTCGCGAAAGACAACCAGACTCTAGTACTTGTATTTGGGCGGGAGGCAGGATAGCTCGGCTGTGACTTGAAGCAGCAGACACCACGTACGGTTCTATGCATAAACTCCATCTTGGCGCATGATTTAAATGCCCAACATCAACGCATCGCGGTATTCTTCCCTTTGCTCCACGTCATGACCCTTGCCCTTGTCTGTTTTGAATTCTCTTAGCCGAGCCTTTCACAACCCAATTGGCTTCTATCACATCTTCCGATACTATCCTATATCTGTCCATCATAATAAACCAAGTCTTAGCCACCTCACAGTCCCAATACAAACCCGACCGCTTTCGCATTAGCCTACACAACCCAGTACAATTGCTAGGGTCCAGCTTCATCTAAATTATCGCCGCTAAATCCATTTGAACCGGGCTTTGTTATTCGTTTAGCCAAACTTCCTTCTTTATGCCTGGCGGCTCTGACCGGACTTAATCGGACCCTCTGTGACTCTCAACCAAATCCTAATTGAATGTGCCCTAGAAAAAGCAACCATCATGACTAGACCAACAGCCTTTAGTTGTCACCTTTGTGATATTGATAGCACGTGTATCTGATAAACGTGACATTATGCGTCATCAGAATATCTCTGGGCGTACGGGCCCGCGCCTACTCGATAACCTCGAAGAATATTTGCTCACAGATCGGTCCTACGGAATCTAGCTGACCGAGGTTGCGCAGCCATCAAGGCCCTGTGAGTAACAAAGTTAAGAATTATGCGTAATTAGGGAATTCAAAGGACTATGCACTGTATGCTTGGGACGCGAGGGGCGAACGCGAAGGCCAGCATTGTATATAACCAGTGAGTTGCATTACCGCTGCGGCTTATGCGTCTTCGTAAGCATTGGCAAGTATACGAACTACGTTTCAGCCTCTTCGCTGCTGCGACAAGGGCTCAATAGAGGGCTTGGAGTCAATAGCTCAATTCATCTAATCACAGTCTTTGGTATCAAAGTTCCTTGGGTTTCCTCAAGGCCTCGTTGACCAAAGGGGTCTTTAAATACAACAAGTCGGTGAGGGACTTTGCCCTAGTCTCGTGACCGTAGCCATCGTGTAACCGGCCAATTCCGTGTGACAGCTGCTGATCCTTGCTTATCTATATGGTCTGATATTACGTATGGGGAGACTCTCGCTTAGCCACGGCGAACAATGGTCTTCTGGCAGTATTTCAGGCTCTTTCACAGCATCCGAAGTTACCTACACCTGTGTAACTTACCTGCTGAGTTGATATCGATAAATGCAGCTGCTCATGGTGACAATCCGTAGGCGTCTACTACCATTTGCACCCTGCGGCTTAACAGGTATAAAAACTCAACATTACGACAAAGACAAATGGATTAGTGCATTAATAAAACTCAATCTCCGTATGCTGACAATTATGTCCCATATTTGCCCAATGCAAATGCTAACACACCTGATATTCTTCAGGAATATGCTCAGGCCATGCATCAACGCCATCCAAGATTGCAATGCCCATGCCGCCCATTAAATGAAGCTCGATATGACAATGAAATAGCCATGGGCCCGGATTATCCACAAAGTATCTGAAAACACTCCAGTATGCCTCGCCGCCAATTGAGAATGCTGTGATCCATGTATCACGTAAGCCAGGCGTCTCCAAGTTGAAATCCTGGGGCCGTTCTTGAATAGCCTCTTCGACGCTAGTATAATTCCAAACTCCTGTTCCGAAACCAATTCTCCAAGTTTTGCTGCCATGCTTATGCATAAAATGCTCAAATGATGATGTATCTCCTGGTAGAGTAGAGACTTGCAGAATGAGATCAACCCAAGACCCGTTCTTGGTACGGAGCACTAGGCCATCATTCTCGGTGTCGCGGGTTGCGTTGGGGTAAAACAACAAAGGATCATCGTTTTGAAAATCAACGGGATACAAGTACTTGGTGTTCATGGTGTAATTGTAGGGGGCGCCAACGCGGCCAAGCACCAGGAGATGCTCCTCGTCGGCGTTACCGGGTCGGGGCTTATTTGGAGGCCACGGCGACATGTGGTCTGTATCCAGTTGCCATGGAAAGAATGAATTCTTCTCGACATCGGGTGAAGTCGGGTTGCCTCCATAAGACAGGTATGCCTTGCCCGCCTTCTCCTCACGTTCGCACCCTTTGTAAACCATTTCGGCAAAGCCCCCTAGTACTTGCGAAGCCCCAGAGTTGGGTATGCGCATTGTATATTTTCCCGGTTCCTGATCTAGTTTTATCATGACCGAAAAGGTCTCACCGGCGGACATGACTGCCGAGACAAACTTTCTGGGGTTGACGTAGTTGCCATCAATCTCGTACAGCCAAAATTCGTGTGAATCCACGGAAAAGGTAATCTGGGCAATCGTGGCGGCAGCTACAAAATGCATACTAACCCAGCCGTTGTTTTTTGACGGGTCAACGACGATTGTTGCATTCTCGTGCCTGGATGCGACGCAGCCTTCTTGGACGCGTGGTGGTATGAGATCTGGGCGTTTAGTGATGTTCCAGGGGCCACCTTGGACTTGGTCAAGATCCGCTGGGAAACACCTAGAAACAAGCGAGTTAGTGCCAATGTCATGATGTAAGGAAGTGGTAATTTGGACGTCTAGCATCATACCCTTTGTCTGAGACCTCGGTGCCTGGTGGGAAAGCGTCCTCAACCAGACCGGGAGCAAGCTCTGCTTGAAGAAACTTTTGGCCCGGGCAGTAAACCTCTCCCTTTCCGTTGACCAAAATGCTATCGAGACAACTTTTCAAAAAATGTTAGCTGCGAAATAAATGTGTCCTGGGGGCGACGTAAGCGTACAATACGAGGAGGCCCGAATCAGTAGATATCTTCCAGTACTCTTCCGAGGTGTACTGGCTCCAATCCGACACGACCAGATATTCTGGATCGTATGCGGCGTTCTCCATAGCTTTAATGTCGTCTTTGTCCTGGCTTATTTGACTCCACAATCCTGTGCGGTCTCCCTTTGGCCTACGTGCTTGCGACTTAGCATCATGCATGTGAAAACGTCTTGGGATGCCGGTAAGACTAACCGAATGTGAATTGCTCCATAAAGCCCGTCAACAAGAGACATTTTCTCGTGAGAGTGGTACCAGTGATTTCCAGGAGGAGACGCCTTGAATCTGTATACAAACTTGTTGCCGGGCTGGATAGGTCGTTGGCTGAGACCGGGAGTGCCATCAGACCAAGGAGTGTCTTTTTGACTGGAACAAGTGCTCGCCATTAGAGGGATGCTATTATTCGCGGAAAGGACTCAACTTACTCGAGGCCATGCCAATGTACAGTAACATTTTTAGCCATTTCATTATAAACGGTTACCTATTGCGCGCCTTTGCGTTAGCATCACCGCATGAACCAACCTGGACAAGCAAACACTCACTTCGATATCATCATCTTCGTCCCAGACAAGCGTTGGGCTGGGAAATTGCCCATTCGTGTAAATGAGTTCTCTGGCCTGTCCATTGGGAGCGCCCTCCTTCCAAGTAATGCGCAATGTTTCTTTGACCGTTTTTGCCCAAGCATTGGTGAAAAATAAAGCCACTATTAGTAGCAGACGCGCAAAGCGGCTCATGGTAACGATGGCGAAAGTGTAGTAGAAAACGAATGTTTAATTGAGGCAGTTCGAATCATGCACCCGAGACTGGCAATTCTGTAACGACTGACGATGCTGTTCAAATATCGCGAAACGCAGGCAAAAAATGCACGCGCTTTTGAGAAAGAAATCCCTTTGAGGGAGATTACTTGATCGGGAGGGAAAGCCATGATATTCGTGTGCTGAGGTGATGCTGGCATGCACAAGTGATGGTGCGAGCGATACTGGCATGCAGGGCGAACTAGACGCTTTCATCGGCGGTTCGAAATGTTTCAAAGACCTGCCCGATCCAGCATCCCTCGAGCATCCCTGGCTCCTACTACTGTCACATGTGGCGATTCTTTTCGGAACATTGATGAACGAGTTCTAACATTGAACGAGTTAGTTCCGCTGCTTCCCATTGGCGCATCACCCAGGAGATGAAAACGGCGACAACAATAAACAGAAGCAACGCCGTTAACGTCATAATAGGACGCGTTCGAATGAAAAGGGATGAAATTACTTTTTTATTTAAGCTCTTGCTCGGTTTCCGGTTGCGGCATGAGACAAAGTCTACCGTTGTGCGCCACCAACTACCGGCAACGGGTATTTGACTCATTCCGTCAGCGCGTGGCAAACCCAAATTCCGCCTTCAGAACTTTGGAACCAAGTAGAGCCGAATCAGGACCGTCTTGGAAAAACAACAACGCGTTCGGATTTGCCATGATCGTCGCGCAACACGCCGAGACATTTCCTCTGCCATGTGGGTTATTTATAGTACTCCGAGTTGCCGACTCCCCTGCATCGCCGATCAGCACTGTATTCTAGACCTTTTGCTTCTTCTTCTCTCCTGCGACCCAAGGACACAATGGCCATCTCCGACTCGCTTTCCCCCGAACCGCAGCAGCTGCTATGTCTCACCATTACTGCGTATCGCAAACCCGGGATGAGCGAGGCGGCCTACCGAGAGTACATGACCAAGACCCACGCTCCCTTGGTCAGCGGCCTCATGGAAGAGTATGGCATTGTTCGGTACAACATGGTAAGCTGTCTATTCCTCCTTGGGCAACTATGGGAACATTGAACAGCTTCTTACACCGCGCAAGACCCACAACAACAGTAAAAGTCGGCCATTGCTGTTCCAGCTGTACGACCCCGAGTTCTCCAAGCTGTCCGACTATGATTGCATTGTTCAATTCGTGTTCCGTCGCATGGAGGATTTTCTGCGGATGAAAAGTGACCCGCGCTTCTTGGAGAAGGTGGCCCCTGATCACCAAAAGTTTGCCGACACTGCGAGATCCACGTAAGTAACTTCTGCAGCCATCTGACTACGTTGCAATCCAAGGGCGGCTAATAATTCAATTCACACCATCTAGCATGACCATTGGCTATTTTGAAGAATTTCTGGAGAATGGCAAGGTTGTACCTAAATAAAGGGCACTCAAATCATAGCGTGGCAATAAAGCTTACAGCAAGTTTACTTTGGTAATTGTAAAGCACATTTCGTAGCAAATAGAGTTTAAACGTGGTGTCAAGATACGTCCTATCCAACCTGCCACGGTGTGCTTGCTTGTTTCGTGGTTGCCTGTAGTCTTTGGAATGTACAAGGGCGCTAAAGTTCGCGTTGGACAAGGGAAACTTTGATCTAGCCAACTACAGCAAACCGGAATCACCCTTAGTATGTCTTGCGAATTTTAGGCTATTGTCCATCGATTCGTGATTCTGCCCTTGTTGTCTTGGCGATCGTGCCGTGAACTTGGATCCATTCTACGTGACAAGTAACTTCTGCTATCTACTAAGCACAAGCCCCGACAGCGTTGACGCCAAACCTAGACCGACGTTCCAGGCCGTTATTCTCGAACTTGTGACCTAACGTCTTGTAGTAATAAAGTTTCAAACACTCGGATCTTACTATTCCCTGGCCATGACATGGTATGCGTGTGACCTCATGATTATTAACCGTGACCACTTGGTAAGCAATCTCATTGCTCAATGTACTTAAGCCAAACCCGAGTAAAACAAATAAAAACGCTGTGAATTCAATGTCTGTGCTCAAGCATCTCTACAGACCTAATGATCTTGTGTCTGTTGAACCGGGTGCAGCCTTCGGATCAACATGAACCACGTGACGATCAAGCAGTCTGATACTAGGGCTGACCCCTTTCGAGTCTTCATTTTTGGGGACCAGAGTAGCTGTAATTTATCCAATTTGCAGCTGCTTCTTTTCAAAAAAAGCAATGTCTACTTGGCGTCCTTTATCGATCAAGTCAACCTCACCTTGAGACATGAAGTAGCTCGCCTCACGGCGGCAGAGCGCCAATCATTCCCTGCCTTTTCTAGTGTACAAAATCTGGTTGCTCGAGCGCTCAAGAAGGATACAAGCGTGGCCTTGGAGAGCACCTTGGCAACCATCTACCACTTGTGTTGCTTCATCAAGTAAGAGGCTCACTCCATCTCTGCTATCGCGACAAGACGACTTACACGTCACAGCTACTTTGGAGACGGCCAAGAGGCATATCCAACGGGCCCAACTACCCACGTCTCGGGGTTGTGTATTGGGGCATTGGCCGCAGCCGCGGTTAGCTCTTCAAAGTCGCTGGCTGAGTTGGTTCAGGCAGGTATCGATGCAGTCCGCGTGTCACTCAAAGTTGGCCTCTTGGTGGCTCGAACAGCAGCTTTGTTCAGTCATCAGGAGTCCAACGGGACCTCTTCGCCCCCTTGGTCATATGCCGTTCCCGACTCACAGCTGCCCCTGGCACTAGCTGAAGAAGCAATAGAGTCTTATCAAGCCAAAACTGTGAGTAAAGCTCGCCGTGCCGCGTCACAAGTCACCATTTGCTAAGGAAATAGAACATTCCGCCTCTCTCATTGCCGTACATTAGCGCAAAGGGGCAGAACTCATGGACGGCCAGCGGACCGCCAGCAATTGTGCAGCACTTTCTGGAGACTTCGCAATTTGAAAAGACGTTGAGGTTGACGCCGCTTGCTGTGCATGCGCCATATCATGCGCCGCACATTTTCTCGGCCATAGATGTCCAGCATATTATCCGCGCTGTCGGTCCGGTTAGCAGTTTCTCAAGCAAGCTCTCTTTCATTTCTAGCTCGTCTAGCCGCAATCTGGCAACCGGCCTCAAGTTTCAAGACCTGCTCTACCGGGCTGTTGAGGACATTCTCATTCTACCTCTAGACCTGCGAGAGGCAGCTGAAAACATACGACTAGTTCTCGAAGCAACAGACAACGTGCAACAATGCGCCTTGTTCCCCATCTCAACCGGCGTCGGTCCAAGCCTCAAACAGTCGTTTTCGCCGGCCATGGCAAGTCGAGTCTCCATAGTCGACTGCATTATGGAACGTGTTGCAGCGGATGCCGGTCCAAAGTCCACTTCGGGCCCGAAGCCAAGCGAGTCCAAGATAGCCATCATTGGTATGTCTGGGAGATTCCCGGAATCCGCAGATGTTGAAGCGTTCTGGGACCTTCTACACCAAGGGCTCGATGTTCATCGACCTGTACCACCAGATAGATTCAACGGAGAATTGTACTACGATGTCACTGGCAAGCGGAAAAATACATGCAAGGTTATGCACGGATGCTGGATCAACGACCCGGGCCTATTTGATGCCAAATTCTTTAACATTTCTCCAAAAGAAGCCGAACAGTCTGACCCTGGTCAGCGATTGGCTCTAGCAACCGCGTATGAGGCTCTTGAGGCGGCGGGCGTTGTTGCTGATAGAACACCCTCAACCCAGCGAGACCGGGTTGGCGTGTTTTACGGCATGACGAGCGATGACTATAGAGAAGTCAGTTGTGGCCAGAATGTCGACACCTATTTCATACCAGGTAAGCACCAGGTCTAGGCCATGAGTTGTAACGAGATCAAAAGAAGCATTGACGTTGACTCTCCTCAGGGGGGAATCGAGCCTTTACACCGGGGAAAATTAACTACTTTTTCAAATATTGCGGCCCATCTGTAAGCGTTGATACTGCGTGGTAAGTTTCGATACGCTATTCGTGACAAGTCGGATTCTGCTAACATGACCATCTGCAAACAGCTCATCAAGTCTGGCCGCAATTCACTTGGCTTGCAATTCCATCTGGAGAAATGAATGCGACACAGCCATTGCTGGTGGTACAAATGTAATGTCGAATCCTGACAGCTTTGTAGGGTTGGATCGCGGATATTTTCTCTCACGAACAGGTACGTATGTTGAGATGACAATAGACGACGCACCGCTTACAATTGATAGGCAACTGTCACACTTTTGATGACGAGGCCGATGGCTATTGTCGTGCAGACGCGGTTGGCACTGTTATTTTGAAGAGGCTGGAGGATGCCATTGCAGATCACGACCCTATTCTCGGCGTCATTTCAGGCGCTCTCACAAACCACTCTGCTGATGCCGTTTCCATTACGAGACCGCACTCCGGAGCTCAAGAGGAGATTTTCTCCAAACTACTTACCGAGTCCGGCGTCCACCCTCACCAAGTCAGCTATATAGAGATGCACGGCACTGGGACACAAGCCGGTGATGCGACGGAGATGACGTCCGTTCTGAATTGCTTCGCTCCATCAACGTCCACGAGGCGGCTGCCGCACGAAAGTCTTCACCTTGGCTCTACCAAAGCAAACGTCGGTCATTCCGAATCTGCATCCGGAGTGTCAGCCCTGATCAAGGTTCTGCTCATGATGGAAAAAAATATCATTCCCCCTCACTGTGGCATCAAGGGCAAGATTAACCACAAGTTCCCGACTGATTTGGACGAACGCAACGTTCACATAGCCAAGACGGCCACCCAGTGGAACAGGCGCAATGAGTTGAATAATATTCGCCGCGCCTTTGTGAATAACTTTTCTGCCGCGGGCGGCAACACCGCACTGCTCGTGGAAGACTATCCACTGCTTATCGCGGACTCATCACAACCAGATGGTCGGACGGCTCATGTGGTGACCGTATCTGCCAAATCTATCAAATCTCTCAAAGGAAACTTGGAGAATTTAAAGAAGTTTGTTCAAAAGCAAGCATCCACCGAAGGCTTCTTACCCAAGCTGTCTTATACGACCACAGCTCGACGGATGCACCACCCATTCCGTGTTGCGATCCCAGCTGCCAATTCCGAGCAGTTGCTAAGCGCTTTGAATGAAGAGCTTACCCACGATAGCTACACATGTTGTTCTGAATCACCCGTCGCTTTTGTCTTCAGTGGTCAAGGGTCTCAGTATAGCGCCATGGGCCAGCATTTGCTGCACTTTACAATTTTCCGCGACGAGGTCCACGCGTACGACATATTAGCACAACGCCACGGATTCCCTTCAATCATGCCCCTCATAGACGGATCAGTTGATATCGAGGACCTTGAGCCGCTCGTCGTCCAGCTCGGCACTGTATGTGTGCAGATGGCACTTGCAAGCCTCTGGATGGCACTTGGTATGCGGCCAGCCTACGTGGTTGGCCATAGTCTAGGACATTACGCGGCGCTCAAGGTCGCTGGTGTCCTTACCGCAAGCGATACCATCTATCTGGTTGCCACGAGGGCTCGGCTGCTGCAGAACAAATGCAGCCGCGGTAGTCACGCGATGCTGGCCATCCGAAGCAGTGCCGCCGAGATCCAAGCCCACTTGGATGAGGGTATTCACGACATTGCTTGCATCAATGGTCCACAGGACACCGTTGTCAGTGGCTGTATTGACGATATTGACCGACTGTCTCAGAAACTCATGGACAAGGGCATCAAAGCTACAAGAGTTAATGTTCCATTTGCATTCCATTCGGCTCAGGTTGACCCCATATTGGACGAGCTCGAAGCCGTAGCTTCCCAAGTCGAGTTTCATGCCCCAAGGGTGGCCATTGGATGTCCCTTGCTCAGCAAGACGTTTAAGGCTGGCGAGACACCTTCACTCGAGGCCAAGCACATAAGGCGTCACTGCAGGGAAACCGTCAACTTCTTGGACGTGCTGCGGTCGGCCAAAGACGACGGCCTCGTCTCCGAAAAGACGGCCTGGATCGAGATAGGCCCGCATACAGTGTGTTCAAACCTTGTCAAGGCAAACATCAATCAAGATATTACGGCAGTCCCATCTTTGATGCGCAACAAAGACGGGTGGCAAGTTTTGGCTTCGAGTGTTGCAACTCTGTACCGCCAGGGGTCATCGGTCGCCTGGGATGAATACCACCACGACTTTGAAGCATGCAAACAAGTGTTGCGGCTACCGGCCTACAGCTGGGACAACAAGTTATACTGGATAGATTATGTGCACGACTGGCTGCTCACACGAGGCGACCCTCCCGTCCAAGCTGCCGCTTCGCTTCCAGCGCCTCCTTCAAGCTTCTCAACCGCCTCGGTGCACCGAATTGTTCACGAATCTGTTGAAAAGGGGAAGCTGACTCTGACGGCAGAGTGCGAATTCACGAATGAGCAGTTGCATGAAGTGGTATACGGCCACCTTGTCAATGGCAATCGCGTTTGCAGCTCGGTACGCTCTACATTCTCCAAACGCATGTGCTTGCCTGCTAATACTTTTTGTAGTCCTTGTATACAGACTTTGGCGTCACCTTGGGCTCTTATATCCTCGAGAAATATCGTCCGGACCTCCAAGGCCATGCCGTCGACGTCCAAGACATGGTGGTCAACAAGGCTCTGGTCCACAAGGAGGGCCCGACGATGCTCCTCAGAATCGATGTTGTCCTCGACACGACGGACAGCAAAGCCGCAAGCATGTCCATCTACAGCGTCAACTCCAAGGGAAACAAGACTGCCGACCATGCCCAGTCCAGCCTTCACTTTGAGCAGCCCAAGGTCTGGCTCAAGAGCTGGGACAGCACGCAATACTACGTTGAGCGGAGCATCGAGTGGCTCAAGGAAAAGGCCGACCAAGGTCTCAACAGCCGCATGTCTTCTGGCGTCATATACAAGCTCTTCTCCAGCTTGGTCGACTACAGCACCGCCTACAAGGGCATGCAAGAGGCCATTGTCAACACGGAAGACTTTGAGGCGACGGCGTTGGTTCGGTTCCAAGTCGACGAGGGCAATTTTCGATGCAACCCCATGTGGGTGGACAGTTGCGGCCAGCTTGCTGGGTTCCTGATGAACGGCCACGCAAAGACACCCAAAGACCAGGTGTTTATCAATCATGGCTGGCAGTATTTTAGGACAGTAAGAAAGTTCAGCAGAGACAAGACGTATCGCACATATGTCAGGATGCGGTGCGTCGAAGGGACCACGTATGCCGGGGACGTTTATATTTTCGACGACGACGGCATCGTGGGTGTTTGCGGTAGTATCACGGTAAGGCTGCTCGTATCAAACTGCAAAACTGTTTGTCGCTGACTGGCGTAGTTCCAAGGTATTCCCCGGAAAGTCCTCAACACTGCGATGCCGCCGCCAAAGTCTCAAAACGAGGCTCCAGTTCGTTCCGGTCCTGCAAAGCCTGCGGTGAAGCCGCCAAGGAGCGCATCGTCAGAACATTCGGGTCACTTCGCGCGCCATGCCAACATTGAACCCCTGAAGCTCGATGCGGCCTTGAAGTCGGCAACTACGGCAAGAAATCCCATGCTGCCTGTTTTCAAGATTGTGGCAGAGGAGATTGGCATTCCCTCGGCGGGTGTTGACAATGGTCTCGTCTTTGCAGACTATGGGGTTGACTCTCTTCTGTCTCTGTCCATTTCTGGACGACTTCGTGAGGAACTGGATCTGGATGTCGAGTCGTCGGCTTTTGAAACCTGCGCAACCCTCGCCGACCTCGCCGCCCACCTTGGAATGGACACCTTCTCGGCAGATCAGTCCTCTGGACAGTCGAGTTCCTCTGGTGGGCTTTCTCCCAGGAGCGATTCCATTGGGGAGATGACCAGCAGCGCGACTACGCCCCCATCTATGAGCCCGCGAGGCTCCGTGTCTGGCAGTCAGTGCAAAGACGTGTGCGCCATTCTGGCAGAGGAGATTGGCGTGTCCATGGGCGAGATTACAAATGACACCGATCTGGGTGCCTTGGGCATGGATTCACTCATGTCGCTGGCTGTGCTCAGTCGTCTGCGCGAGGAGCTCGAGCTCGACTTGGAAGGGGACTTTTTCGTTTCTCATCCCAACTTTAGTTCCTTCAAGCACATGTTCCAACAGGGACATGGGGATGAGGCTGAACCAGAGACGTCTGCAGAGTTGAAGCAGTATCGCGCAACATCGACTCTCCTGCAAGGTAGCCCCAAGTCGGCGCTTTACACCTTGTTCCTACTCCCGGATGGCTCCGGATCCTCCTTTTCGTACGCACCCATCAACGCGGTGCGCAAGGATGTTTGTGTGTTTGGTCTCAATTGCCCTTGGCTCAAGTCTGCCGAAAAGCTGGTGCAGTTTGGCCTCAAAGGTCTTGCTACCCTCTACGTCGAAGAAATTCGACGCAGAGCGCCTCACGGCCCATACAACCTGGGCGGATGGTCGGCGGGAGGCATTTGTGCGTACGAGGCGGCAATCCAGTTTACTCGAGAAGGCGAAACCGTCGAGCGTCTGATTCTCCTCGACTCCCCCAACCCAATCGGCCTGGAGAAGCTGCCCGCACGGCTGTTTGATTTCGTCAATGGCCTGGGCCTCTTTGGCGACGGCAAGGCCCCGGACTGGCTGCTCGCGCATTTCCTTGCCTTTATTGACGCCCTGGATGAGTGGAAACCGGTGCCCTGGGACAAAGCCCTCGGCGGCAGCTCGCCACCGCCCATGACATATATTCTCTGGGCTGAGGACGGTATATGCAAGGGTACGGATGCCCGTCCGGAATATCGAGATGATGATCCCCGTGAAATGAAGTGGTTACTTGAGAATCGAACAAACTTTGGAGGTAATAACTGGGATGTTTTGCTCGGTCAACAGAGCCTTTCCATTGAACGCATCCAGGATGCGAACCATTTCACCATGTTGCGCAAGGGCAAGAACACGGAGCGTGTCGCGGCTTTTATTCGGAGTATATTTGGTTAACTAGTATATGGCCTCTTTTATAGACGATTACGTGGCTGTACGTAGATAGCTTGCATTTTTCTTTGGTTTGGGTATAGATAATATTAATCAGTTAATATCTTGGTATTTTCATATAAAATATGTCTACTATGCAAGTGGAACGAAAGCAACGAGGTGAGTCAATACGTCCAGTGGCCGAGGTGCGGCGCTGTGGGAGCCCAAGGTGATGCCATGGGTATTTCGGATCCTTGGCTTTTCTCTTCTGGCAGCAATTATGTGAATAAACTTGCATGACTTGGCGAACTCGCCGCCTGGAGTTGAGAGGATGAATCAAGCACAACATCAAGTATCTAGCCCTATGAGTAAGACCCTCTCGATTTGAGAGGGAAATTCCTCCAGGTTGCGGGAATGAAAACAGCTGCGCTGGATTCGGCTTTTGGGCCCCTTTACCATTTCGCCCCGAAACTAATAAAGGGGACAAGGTGGCTTGTAATGCGGCATTGTTTATGGTCTCTGAACGCTGGACGGACAGTCAGCCCAAGGCGGCATCCGTGTTGGTCAGCGAGCGACGTCTCCATCCCCATCGTTCCAGAGTCATCGTCCAAGGCGGCCACAAGGCCCTGGTATTATTATGTATGTTTTGTAAGCTTTGCTACCGCCGTCTTTGCCTTTCCACTCTCAATTACATAAGTGACGTCCAGAGTCAGCATCGACGCCCGCGCCATGAAACACCAGACTCGTGAATAACAAATAGGTGACAACAAAAGTATTCCCAGTCCCGGATTTGTCTGTCAAGGGTTCGTGGATACGCGTTCGTGTTTCGCAGACACCAGACGATTTTCCATCTCATGTCTGTAAGCAAACAGCCAAGCACCTTGGCAGCTAAAGTGGCGTACTTACTCGTTGTCGTGCAGCCACCAGCCTCGATAGGACATGGAGTCAACCGTTTGGCACCTTGGCACCCCCTGGCACCTCTGTTACTGGTGTTACAGAGTCGAAAGGTCCACCACGCAACCTGACTCGTCTCAACATGTGCTGCAAAGTGAGCAGGAGCTTGTGATTCATGCAATGTCTCGACAGTGCGGTCCACGGGGTGATGCCGCCTATACATAGACGCGGAGCAGGAGGTGTCATGTAGTGCTGTTGATTGGAAGTGCCTTCTCGGATACGCGGCATCCAGTGTGAGCGGTTCAAGGGCGATCGGAGATTTCAGGAGCTGAAGTGCGGCGAGCATAGTGGCTACGACGTTTACAACCAGGAGGATGCCTGAGATGTTTACGCCCGATTTCCATGGCCGACAGCCAAGGATAACACGATGGACTTACTAGGTGTAACCTTGTGTAGCTCCATCCTATGTACGGAGTACATGTACGCTTTCCCTGGATAGGAGGCATGATCAAGGCTTCCAACGGGATATCCCGTGTACATCTAACCACTCGGCTCGACTTGGCGGCGCAATTTTAGAAGCCTAGGTTTACAGCGCCACCTTCAGCTTGCCTACTCGGAAGAAGGCGTCAACGGTCCGTGAGCAAACGTCTGCATAGGCAATCAGTGCGTTGGCAGAGTTAACAGGCGTGCCATAATGCCCACATGCATATACAAGTGGGCTTTCGCTCCTTCGATCTGACGTGTGGGGGATAGGCACGGACTTGGGCTTCATAGCCATCATTTGATGTCAGACGGCCAATCGCGTAGCTTGCCGTGGCCTTGCAGGGTACGGCCAACGAGGTTCAGCATGATGTTGGGATGAAGACCCGTCTGGGTCGAGTTATTCATGCGGTCGCTGGGAAAGTGACGCAACCATTTCCTGTCTGTGGCGCTTCTTACTATTGGTGAACATTTTCATCTACCAGACATGTGTACACCCACATGGTCGCGCCGGCTTTAAAATTCAAATGCTTGTGTTACGATAAAAATTTTCATTTTTGAATGATAAAAGCGCCAACAAGGCTTGGGTTGCTCAAATACGTGTACGCAATTTCTAGTGCTTCAAACATAGTACACCATGTAATTCACGCCTAGTGCCAGGCCAATATATGTGAAACTGTCTGGTATAGCGGGCCGTAAAGGGTCGACTGGCAGCACAAATACCACTGCTCCTTTGCCTCTCATCGAGCCTCTGTGTTGGGAACAATGCCATGTCTTGTCAGTGTAAAAGGTCAATATTGCAGGGTCGTTATTAAACACAGTCCACTCACCCTGACCCTTCATTTTGGGAGTTGGTGGCTGACAATCCTGAGTGGTAATGTTGTTTAGTAGATTGAACAAGAGAAATTGACTGGCCATGCATCCATCCACCGAGCAAGGTCGAGGTTGGATTGCTTGATTGATGATTACGTGTTCCAGCCGCATGAATCACCAACATGTTTGTGCAGGGACCAGAATTTGGGAATCCCTCCTACCTGCACTCGACTGCGAGCAAGCCGTGGAGCGGGGATATGCGGTGTAGACAACAACTATCCTTAATTTCCATGTTGGATAAAGATATCCCATGTGATGATTACGTGTGCTTCTGTCCAAAGACGGAGAACATGATGAAAAGGACCTATATATTCATAACCACCACCTGTCCCAATGTGACCCAAGAAGTCACTTGCGTGTTGAAGCCCCTCTCTCCATTTAGCTTCCTTACATTCATTTCTTTCTCACATTCTTTCAACATGAGGTCTTCTCTTCTTGTTATCGTGCTGCCACTTGTTGGCGCTACTCCTCGAGGACCTCCTGGCGAGTGTGATACAAAGACTGCTGTTTCAAAAAGAGGTTGGTTAGGCCATGATGTATTGGACGGAAACTCGATCCAGCCAGCTCACTATTCAACATGGCATTGGTCCAACTTTGGTCTGTGCAAGGGGGATTGGTCCAACTTTGGTTTGTGCAAGTGGGATTGGTTCAACTGGTGGAATTGGTTAGGTTCCGGTGATGAGTCTTGTGAGACCGACGACGATACACCACGACCCCAGAAACCGACTCCCACCAAGCCTGAAACGCCAGAGGAGCCTCCTACACAACCGTCCCCAAGCACTACCCAGGCCCCTCCTCCTGGCGGCGGCAACGGACCTGAGTATATCAATCGTGTCAACAAGTGGATGGATGCTTGTGGGCTACGCCACCTGGCGCACGACTCCACGTTGGAGAGCAATGCTCACCAGACAAGTGTGGAAGCTAATGGAAACATGGTTCATAACATGTTGCCTGGTACCATGGCACAGGTCATGGCACACGGCGATCTAACGGCAAATTTCGACCGGGCGTTTGTAGGTGGCTGGCTCTGCGAGATTAAAACACTTTTCAAAGACAAGAATTTCTGCGACGAGAGCTCCCTAGCCGAAGGATGGACGTATAGTGGCACGCGCCATGCCGAGATCTTGTCCAACTCACGGTACACAAAGATTGGATGCGGAACTGCCCAGAGCATTGTGACCTGTGACGTTGCCTAGAGCTCTGGAACTGGATGTACCACTATCCAAAGGAATAGGTGCTGTTGGGTTTCGGACGCATCATCACAAGCCACGGGGTGTTTTCAACCTATTGACGCTCAACATCGTGGCTCCCTAGTCCTCCTTATTGTTCTTTGTACTTAGCATGCATGTCTCTTTAGCTCAAAACCAATAACACTTGACGGGTTTCAAGAATCCAAACAGCCTTGCAAAATGTTTATACACTTTGGCGGGGTGTCTAGCTTTTGTAGTGTCACGTCACTCTTAAACGGCCAAGCATTACCGTCTTGAAGTATGACTAAAATTATTTTGAGACGTGAAAAGGACCAGATTGTCGACCGACTGAAAGTTGCGATCGGCGCCCCCTTGAACGAAATGCGCGTCAACAGGAAAAAATAGTCGAAAAAAAGTCGAAAAAAAGTCGAAAAAAAAAGCAAGCAGCCAAGTGGAAGGGGGCGCTGGAATTGAGAGCCAGGGCCATTGCCTGATGAGACTCAGCTCATAAGATGATGCTGAAAATAGCAATGTGAAGAATAATGGCAGACAAGAGCTCTGACGCCGCAATCTTCTCCCGCGGAGCGAGACGTGGATTCCCGCTCTCCCCAGCGACTGCTATTCCTCTCCCGAGTTGCAACGTAGTTTGGTTTGACGCAAAGTGGACTGACATGGCTTCGAAACTTTATACACAGAGACTTTGAGTGGTTCTGCAATTCTGCTGCTATCGAACCTGGCTGGCTGGCTGGCTGGTCCCTTGGAAACCTAGCCATTACGCGGTTCTTGATTGAGTTATTGGCATGCAGTGCACCTAGAAACGGAAGGCTGGCTTATTGTCACGTTGGCATGGAAACGCCCTGTGAGACAACGGCGAAGCATTGCTAGGCACAGGTAAGTACTTGCCTAACAAACAGTCAAGTGCTACATGGACTGAAGAGAAAGACTGGTACAGTGGCGGCTGGTAACTTCGGCAATGGTTGCGGCCTTTGGATGCTGATAGCTCAAAAGAGCTATGAGCCGCAAACGTTACTCGTCTGGCGGCAAGCATAGGAAATGCTGTCACCAGCCTCTTCCAAGTGACATTTTCAGTTTCGTAATATACGAGGTCTCGCTCTGTAACCAACGTGGTCTACTGCGTTCAATGCGACATCTGGGTGCTGTGAGATAGGAGGACTAGTAAAAGACAGTTCTAAGACCGAAAAGGCCACATCTCTAAGAGCAAGAACCGTATATTATTAACCGGCTTTTAGCGATTAAGGAATTTGCTCTATTCTATTTCTCTTACTCTACTTACAACGGGAATTATCCTCCGTGTTATTTAATTTTCCCCGTGCTATACAAGAGCTGGTAGTAGGTATAAGAAAGGTAATACAAATATACTATAAAGTGTATAGAGCCAATAGTCGCTTTATTTTTGCGTAGAGTATATATCTTGTATTCTAGATTGCTTGTATGTTAATACACATATCGAAATTGCGGAATTTCCTTGTCGGTTTTATCCATAAGATTTATCATCGTTTCTTGTGTTTCGTTAAATTCCGCTACCCCTGCCGTACTCGTAGTCTTATCGCGGCGGTGGTTTTCCCAAATAAGATATGCACGTAGCATAAAACAAAGGCAAAATCCAAATGCAAGACATATAATAAGCGCAAGAAAACCCGAGGTGTATGTTGGCGCTTGCCAGGCAAAAAAAAGCTGTGGTCCAATAATATTGCCTGTGCAATACGCCATAAAACTCTTTATATTGTGGAAAGCAGGCTCGAGTTAGCGTATTACAGAAGATATAAATAAGGAGAGTATCCTTTTGTCTGTTGAAAACTGAGAAAAGGCTTATCTGCTGTGGGACTTACCATTGCATTAACAGTCGTCTTCTTTGTAAATCCGCCGAAGTTTCCCGACATGAGAGACATAATCAATGGGAAATTGGCGGCATAGCCTCCCGCCATGCAAATTCCTGCAAGGCGACCCCATTTCATTTCCACTGGAAGTTGACGCACCATAACGGCGCCTGTAACAGCAACAGCAAGGTTACCAGCCATCCAGTACGTTCGGGAATTATGGAAGTAAGAAGATCCAATCGTAGCAGTTAGAACGAGAAATAGTTGGAGGACATAATTAATGCTTGTAAGGAGCAGTGTGTTCATAGTACTAAAGCCGAATGCCCTAATAATAATCGCACTAAACTGTTAAATGTCTCGTTAGTAAGAATAGTCTTTACCGTGGCCAGGCGTTAGGGGAGGTTGCGTACTGTCGTCACAGCACCATTAGGGATACTATTAGCGATTTGCATAGCGACAACAAACCAGCTCTTAATATCTAAGAGCGCCTCGAGACACTGGGACCATTTGAACTCGTTATTTTTAATGCCAGTCATGTTCTCCTTGACTCGAACAAGAGCTTTTTCGCGATCAGTCCTGTTTAGAAACCAGGCCTTGCCGGGGGTATCCGGAAGAGTAAACAAAAGAACAAAAGACCAGGCAATAGTAAGGCCACCGAATATCAAGAACACGGCCTGTTTGGAACGAGTATCAGCCTTCTTATTTGAAATACAGTTTTCTTAGTCACATAATATATACCTTCCAGGGGGCAATACTATCTATATGGCCTATAGCATTAGCTAGCAGGCCACCAAAGATTCCGGCGAAGGTGTTGCCGAGATACCAAGCTGCATGGCGTAGCGGCTGTTCCGCCCGCTTATACCACATAGCTACGACGACAGTCAGGCCAGGGCCAATAGCAGCTTCTGTGAAGCCAAGAAAAAATCTTTCTGCGAGCAGGCCTGCAGGATTAAAACACACTGCAGTTAGTATTAGAACTATACCCCAGACTAGCCTACAAGCGACAAAAATATATTAGTTACTGTTCAAAGTACTTGGGGAGGTAAAGTTATTACACTGAAGCAGATATAAGTTTGCCCACATGCCAGCGCACCATTAAGACGGCGGCCGGGTACGAGGCAGCAAGATATCCGAAGTAGTATATGCCGCTAGACCAGGAGTATTCCTCGCCGGTAAGATGTAGGTCCTCCCGAAGGCCTAAAATGGCTGTGCTGTTAAGCGCAGTCTTGTCTAGAAACTGGAACATGTACGATAACGCCATTACTGGTAACAAGCTATTAAGGTATAAGCAAATAATATAGCAAGGCACACGCATAAGCCTATATCTGGCGTCTTACCACATATCAATTTTGCGAAGCAGTCGCTTGTCTTCTTCTGGGCTGAGGACCTCATCGTAAACCTCGTGCGTCTTTGTTTCCTCAGCGTGCATTGTGCTGCCTTCACGCTCAGTCTTTTCTGTGCCGGTAGCCATATCAAATAAGTAAGAATCAGGTTAATAATATATGTACGCAGTACTAAAAGTGTGCAAGTTTATTAAAACGGGGGGGTTACAGTAGAGATGGATCCTTTAAATAACTAGACATCGAATTTAACCGTCACCCCGCCCGGTAAAACAAGGAGGCTACCCCGTGGGGTTAATTGTAGGAGATCGGAGATCGGTTATAAAGCCTACCGCCGGAGGACCCCGCTGCACTCCGCCGAACTCCGTTTATTATTCGGCTCAATACAATTTACTACATCAGAGTCTATACAAATATAAGGACTTTAGCCCGCGAATACGTCCACTTATTTCTTTCAGTGGTTTACATTTAGACACCGCTTAAATACTACAGCGTAAGTTAAAGCCTACCAATATATCCTGCCCTCTGACATGCATTCAACTAGGGCACGGCACGGGTGGAGGCGCCACGAGGTCCTTGTAGTATTCCATCTATTCCTTAAAATAAATCGTATCTTGACGCTTTAGGGGACCCTTGCGTCTCTGGATAGATCAGTGAAGAGAGTTTGTTATCCAGTCTAATATCCCTAACAAGCTGTCCTATCAGAATTTAAGTACCTCAAAATAAAGTCAACTTTGGTCGGGTTCTTCACACAAGCGGATATAAATACGTCTGAAATATGCGATACGCACTCCGAGTAGTCTATATAAACGTCCTCCAAGACCAACATTACGTTTAGAATTAAATTCCGCACATAGCGTGCGCAAGAACCCGTCCTCAATTCCTGTTACTGCTGTAAACAATTATGATAATACTATATCTTCTAGTCTTATAGATATACCAAAGGGAATAATCCGGTCTGCTTTAGCCCTTTTAGACCTAGGCATTAAGTATAGCTTATCCTATAACCTGCTACTATTTAATATTAAGACTACACCAAATAGCAATAACAAAATCATTTAGCTGTCTGGACCAGGAAGTATCTCCGGACCAGATAGCTCCTCCGGACCGTCTCAATCATGTAAGGAGGGGATATATAGTAGCAACAATACTAAATATATATTATTTATCAACAAATAGCGTACAATTATCGGGAAATATACCCTCGAGCACGACGCCTTATTAGAGGGTAATACTTGCAAAACAAGTAGGAGAAGCCCTTCAGAACTCAAATACGCTATTTTTAAAGGAACCGCTCAACAGGTTATGTATAGGGGAAACCTATCAATTGAGGACGCTGCTATCGCCTGGCTTTGTGAGAGGTCGGATCTCCCGACCATAGAGGAGGCCTGTAAAAGGTTCCCCCCGGGGTGGTCAGGGGTCTGACTAGACATGCGGACGTTATGTCCTCAGCGAAGTACACCAAAATCGGATACGGCCAGAAAAACAGCATCTGGACCTGTGATTTGGCTTGTGATAAGCCCTGCGATTTAAATTTGTACCCTGAAACGCAACTGTCGCGTGGTAATTCTCAATCTAATTCTCGTGGAATTAATCTAGGAACAGGGAATCGTTTGGGCTTCTTATATGTTAAAAAACCTGCGAGTAACAACTAAGGGAAGAAGCCCGGTGAGCATAAAGTAGTAGGTTAGGATGTGCTTCTTTGTTTCTAATACTATTTGCCCGTATTAAAGAAAAAAAGCGCTATAGTATTTGCCTAACCTGCTATATTATATTTATATACGGGAATATATAATAAACTCACCTTAGTAAACTCCCCTCACGTATTATTCTCGCTTCCCGGTGTTAATATTAATATTATTTGGGAAAGTATTAAAGTACAAGCACTGGTATTTTCTCTCTAAAAATAGTAGAAGGCTGCTACAATCCTTGTGTACACCAGAAAGTTTAATACGACTCAAGCAATATCACGCCAGCCTGGTATACAAAGTAATCGGCTAACTATAAATGCTATATATTAATGTAAATATACCTTGCCCACAGGGAACGACAATACTACTCGGCACACAATAATGTGTTACAGGCAGATCAATCGGCCTGGCTTAACTACATTAACATGTATCGCCCTGGTGCGGCCACAGCTATAAGCATTGCTTGATGCTAAATAACAACAAAATTCGGCTGCAAGAGACTTTTGCAATCCTACTTCGTAAGCAAAAACTGCAATGCATGTCGTAACGTAGCGGCTACGCTGGTAATAGGTACAATTATCTAACCTTTTGTCGTGTTGGTATTAAGAGAGTATTGCTTGAGCACCAGCTACTAAGCCTTTATCAGCCTTGCAGGTATTATAGTTGGCTCTCTCAGGATGCAATAATAGTGTGTAAGCTTATATTTAATACCTGCTAGTTCGGGTTATACGCTTATAAGGGACACCGTGAGTAAGTAGTCATAAGAAAAATGTTACACTGATAACACGTTGCCATGAAGGCACGGGCCGAACCTTGAACCCGATAATAGTTGCACAAGAGCTCTGATCACGAGATCTAGAGTTAGGGTTAGGGTTATATAATTAGCCTGCTTTATAACCTATAATACAGCTTATAGCTAGGTCGCAACACAATCCTTCAAGTTTTTTTATAATTATTACTAGTTAGATTGTTAGTATTTAGCTTATAAGATAAATAAGTATTATTATACAGAAAATATATATAGCCTGGCAGAATTAACTTAGTGCTCTTACAAGCTAATAAGTCTAGTTTTTATGTAATAGGCACGACGTGATTTATATATTCTATATAATTAAAAACCTTAACTATTTACGTGATAAAAAATTATCACGGATACAAGTTATTTTTTGCCCCTGTATCCTACAATAAGCCTCGCTGTATTTTAAAATACACTGCGTATAATAGATACTAATAGGGCAAATACTAGCTTAAATAACACAATATTAAACCCATGACTCAGAGCGGTTTCGGACAAGGATATGCACGCGCGTTATATTATGCATTAGGCTTTTCCAAGGCAATTTTAGATATTCTTACCACTTATAGCTATTTACAGTGCATAAATGCATAGATAGCAACAAGGATATTATATTATGCGTTAGGCATTTCCAAGGCAATTGTAGACATTTTTACGACTCATGGCTATCTACAGTGCATAAATGCATAGATAGCGAGAAGGATAGCCTACATTTTATACGCAGCAAGTAGAGATTTAAAAGACAGTATATATCAGCTTAGGGCTCGGCTCTATATAAATAACTAGCCGACGCAAGACCTTCTCCGTTTAAGCTATTCAACTTATTTACTTCTCACTAAGATTACTGTCTTTTAGCTATATACCTTAAATCTCTTTTTAAAAAATACACACAAGTTACCTTAACAATTATGAAAGCCGCTGCTATTATCCTCGCCTCCCTTATAGGAAATGCCCTTGCCGCACCGGCTGGCTCTAAGAGCAAAGCGCCGGCACCAGGCAGCAGCGACAACGAGAAGCCAAAGTCCAAATGTACCCCCCAAACCATCGATGAATACTGCCAAGTAATGCAGAATACAAGTAATGGTCTATTCGACAAACAATTCTGTCTAGATGCATTTAAGAGCTGCGGAAACCCGGCCTCTCTTGATGACGCTAAGTCTAAGAACTGCGCGGGCGACATAATGGCGGACAAGTATTTAGGGAGAGAACCACGCCCTGTCTCTGATTCTAAGAAAGAGGACGAGTCCACTAAGCAGCCCAACACGTCCACCCAAAACCGTCAATGAGGACTATGCAGCTATAAAGGCCAGGCCAAGCAATGCGCGAGCAAAAGTATTATTGGAAAGACTCTCACAAAAGCTCCTGTCGCCTAGTAGCTGTGAAGGCCACAAGGGGCCGGGCAATACCGAATAAGAGTGCTTAGCTAGTCTAGGCGAGAATTTACCTAGAACTGTTGGTAATGCGCTATAGCTATTATAATAGGCTAGACTAGACTGGAAGTGTAAAAATTGACTGAAAACGTTACAAACTTAGAGAAAAGTGCTTAAAAATGTTCAAGAATTCGTTACTCGTTTTGCTACCTAGGTAAAAGTAGTAGTTATCAACTTACCTGTGATCTGCTTGTAGAATGCCAAGCCGAATAGGCTAAAGATCTCCGCGTAACAGCCCTTAAGACCCAACAAAAATAGTACACTTATGCCGTGGATAACTACCCTTGAAGGCTTACCGACCTTTACGGAAACGAACTGAACTACGATGCTGCTATCCATGACGAAATAAATAACTAGACGGGACTCCAAGTCCCCCGCCGTGATAATAAATAACTTCCCTACAAGACACTTATAATTTCCTTCCTTGAACCAACAAAAAGACCTTGGAGCCTATTTGGCACCAGCTGACTAGCCAGACACAGTGAAAGAACAAACCCTCCTAAATAGTGCAAAAACTACTAGGACTACCACGCACGATATGCCTGTAATAAATAAGCACGATATAAATGCTGCGGAACTATAAACCACGCTATTAACAGCTGTATAGCCCCTGAGTAGTGTGCCAACTACCTTGGACTACATGCCGCGAACCTTACGGCATACCCGGCGCGGCTAAAGAAAGTTTATAGCTTACTTTATCGTCTCCCCAAAGAACAACAAGCACTGATCAGACAAATAGGCTCCCGCCTTTTTCAACAACACCAGGCCGCACAGCAGCGACAGTAATCTCAGGCGGCACCTAGCGGCCAGCTAGCATCAGAGGTCAACGCAGAACAACAGCGTGCTCCAGTGGAAGTTATAAAGCTGCCTCAGGAATATATTAACCCCTAAGCCCTAAATAATTTTATCGCCTACACCCTACTAGTTCTGCCAGCGTTATCCCTGATGCGCCCTGGGCCAGGGAACTTGGACCGGAACCGGCGTCGATATGTCCTCTGTCGATATTACCTAAGCGGCGCCGTGCTAATACCAACCTGTCCTCTCCATAAGTTAGCGGCCAAGGATTCATAATTTTGGTAGGAAGACGCTGAAGGTCTTCCAAGCACATGTGGGCAAGATCTCACCGGCCCACGATTGCGCCCTGGTACTGGCCGACTCCGAAAGATATGACATTATCCTTCAAGAACCCTGGACAGAGGCAAAGAACACAAGATGTCTTACCAAGACTTACCTAGCCTATAACACCTACCCACCCGTAGACAGCTGGGATAGTAATAATACGCGGCCGAGGGCCAGGAGTATGCCTGGCTGGTGCAGAGTTGACTCTGTGGTGCTGCAGCTGCCGATGGTGGTGTTGCCAGTTTCGTTGTTTCTGCCAGTGCTGCTGTTGCGAGTGTTGACGGCGGTAGCGTGAATGGTCCTGGTCTGGGTTGTGATTGTGTCAGGTCAATAGTTGATCCTACTGCTCTAGTGTCTCTACAGTTCATGTACCGAGACACTCCGAGAGCTCCAAGGAGCAGTGCCAAGCGAGCCTGAGGAGAATGGATGCTCAGACTGCCGGCCTTGACGCGGCGTATGCAGTCGGTGGCGGCAGCAGAGCCGTCGCTGGGAACTGAGCGAGAGCATCGCAGCTTCTGGGGAGGTGAGTCTCTGGCGATGTTGTTTAGTCCCACCATGGTTGGTTGCGGACCGGAGGTTCAAGAGTTGGCTTGAAGATATGGGCGGGTTGCACACGGGCAAGGAAATGCAAGAGGGCTCCTACTAACTCAAAGGCTCTGGCCACGGGCTCGCTTCGCACTCTGGCAATCTGTTCACAGTCTGGTTCGTCATGACTCATGTCTGACAAGGGTCAATCGCGAGAGAATAAGGCTTGAGCATGGCTGGAAGAGGGCACGGCTAATAAGCTAAACATCCAGAAGATCCCCTGCCGCAAGACCGACTCTTTCCCCCATGTTGAGAAGCTGCAGCGAGGGTTCGTAACCACCGAGACAATAGAAAGTTGCAGGTATAGACGTGATGTCTCCAAGCCCGGGTCCATGTTTTGCCAAGAGCTATCCAACGAACAACATGGGAACAAGAATTGCCGCCCTGTGAGTCATCACCCCGGACAAGACCAGTTGACCTCTTTATTGACATCGGGACGCTCAAGAGAGATGCATGCAAACGGACCGTGTTAATTGTCACACGGCACGATTGCTTGGCACAGCCTAGGCATAATACAGGACTTTTGATCATAGCGTGCCAAACAGTTGAGGAACACGAGGGTGTCGGGGGTTCCTGGATACAACAATAATCCATTTCTCGGTTAAGAGCTGGGGATTCAACACCTTCGGCCCTATTCACACCCCTAGTAGCTTGGCTAGTTTTGCGCCTCGACTGTGGAAAGTTTTTGCAGTATTGTTTTATAGACGCTAAACCTAGGCTCCACCCAGCTATTTTCACCGAGCGCAGTGTTATATAAACGCCCTTTGGGGGCGATGAATTACAAATTACGGATGTTACGGAAAACAACCAACCAAGACACGGAGGCTATGCATGTGAGTTGCTACCCCAAATTTATCATCGGCAATTGCCCACTCTTACGTGGCCCCGGCCTCATTCTACAGACCCCATCCGATATACCTCGGGACATGTTAATACGAACTCTATCCTGTATTGGAAGGCATCTAAGTGGTCAGATAAGGCTGGCTGCCAACCCACTTGAAACAAACCCTAGCCTTGTACGCGGCCCGGGGCGGCGACCATGGAATATTCCATGAGGAACTTATGGCACTGCATGGTACGTAGTGCATATTTTACTCCCCTACTTTCCACGCCATGAGGCCAAAAAAACCCCCGATGGACAAGGATACACTTGACCCTGGCCAACGGGTGCTTAAACTTTGGAAACTTGCTCGCGGCTAACTGCGTTCCTATTAGCTTTAGCTTCGAGGCTTTGACTCTAGACAACTTGCCCTAGTCTTTATACCCTGCCACGACTGCGGCGGGAATACTTGACCCCGCATAGTATGAGACTGTCTGGGTAACGTCATCTACCATGTCATTTGCACCAGACTGTACATGCCAACTCTAATCAACGTGCCTTTATTTGGAGAGACAAAACTGCCGAGACGAAATAGTGCATCATACACTGCCCGCAGGTGCCTTGCAGGCGTCGTTCGTCGAAGCCGTTGAGGATTTGTATCCCGAACATGACGGCGCGACCCAGTTTTGATCTACCAGTCTAATATACCCTTGGACATATTACTACTCCGTAATCTCTGACCCATGCTTACCACCTGTATGGCCTGCTCTAATTTGGTCTAGTGTCCACATCACCGTTATCCAATGGGAGGAACTGGCATCGCATGGCACTGCTGGCCAAGTTCTTCTCGCCAAGTTTACAGCCACGCTCGTACAATGCAGTTGCCTATTGTACCAAGTGTTTTCCTGTGCTAGGCTCCTGAAATAGAGGCCGTGGAAAATATATAAAAGAAACCAGAGCACTAAAATCGCCCCAAGCTGGCGTGTACAAACCCATTAAACGCCAAGCCAGCTGTTCGCAAGACCATTCCTAGCCTGGTGGCTGAGCCGAATATTATTAACAAAGTATTGTTAATTTGGGGGCGACCGCTCTGCATGACCAGGCTCACCCCCGTCAGCCATAATGGAGTGGTACCCAGAACAGCCGTCTTTGCCAACCTCTACACCCATTTTGGATGATATTAGTCTCTTCGTTGATGCCATAAAATCCCTCCTTGATGAAAGTGATATAACCACGATTAGTATGCTTGCTAAGCGCCTGAGCCCTTTCAGGATCCATCCAGAGCAGGTCGTTGTCGGGAATACTGTGTCCGTCAAACCTGTACTGGTGCTTGAATGCGAACAGCGGCCATGGTGAGCTCCTCTTTTGAGAACAAACCCCCTCTTTTCCAACGACTCGACTAAGCGGCATGATATTGGGTAGCAACGAAACACAAGACCATATCGCACAGTCGTATTTGAGCCCAGAGGCGTCCTGGAATCCCTGCTCGGCACCTACGAAGCATAGCAGCTGCCTTGTCCCAACTACAAGCTCAGCCCCATATGAGGTAGTTCCAAGTGCTGCTATCCCAAACGATATCATAGCCAATGGTATTGCTGGTGAAAATGAGAGCGGTATCGCGTATCCTCAAAGCAATAAGAGCACAGACTATGCCGAGGACATGGCATGTCAAATGCAAGGCCGCCCAATGAGGCAAGAAAGGGTTGCCGCTTCTGTCAACAACTTATTCCAGGTTTGCATCTAGCTGCAAAGTTCTATCCTGCATGGACATAGTTGACCAATATGGCCTTTTTATAGGCATGCATCCGTACTCCAGTGTCGACGAGGGACCACCGATCTGACGACAAAAGGATCTACAATGAGGTATCCCAGACGTCATCTCATAATAGTATGTACATTTATTTGACACTCCACATCCAAACTAAACGAATATAAAGATTGGTTTATTATCCGCCGGGGGTGAGTTTGCTAAAGTATTGTACAGCACCAAATACCGGGACGGTTCCCTACGAAGAGAACAGGGATGGCGATGTGAGTGAAGATCCAAGGGATCGGCAATCTGAGATGATAGAGACGATACAGACCCTTCAGTCTACCAATCCTGAGGGCGATTTCATGATCATGGAGCTGACCAGGTCTTCGACTACTACTCTTGATGCGCAATACGGCGGACTTAATACGCGGCAAGCTAGAAAAGACAACAAGGTGCGCCGCCGCAGGAGCAGTGCATCGTCCCGCGTCGTTTCGTCGGCAACCAGTTTCTGTAGCACTAGCCACTTCACCACCAACAACGGAGCAAATCCTGTTGCCGAGACGGCTGGTCTCTTGGTCGATACGCCTGCATTCAAGGCGATTTCTGCGGCCCGTACCAGCATTCGAACCGACTACTTCCGGTTCCTGGAGATCAACCTCGGACGCTGGGCCCAAGGCGGCTTGTGGCAAACCTCAGGGCCCTTGGATCAGACAGCAGGCATGAATATGTATGACAGCTTACAAGTATTATATTTGCGTGTCTGTCGACTGGATATGCGGATAAGAGATGATGCGATCCGGAGCCGAGTAGCACTGGTTCTCCTCCATTTAAAGTATGAAGAAACATGTCGCCAATGGAATGCCCGATCATCTAGATATCCAAAACAAACATCAAGAGTTGGGAGGGGGAGTATTAGTTCTATAATCGATAGCATCCTTGAAAATGCCCATCCCGAATGGACTACTGCCAACTCTCGACAGAAGGCTGAGCTACGAGCAAAGTTTCACGACCAAAAACGATTTGGGAAAAGATGGTGGATGCTGGTAGACGTGTTGGGGCCCAGCATACTCATCATATGCTCATCAAGGTTTGCAGGAACCATGTATGGTTGTGCCCTTTTTTCACAGTGCTGCCCTGAAATGGAAGCATATACTAAACTAAACTACTACAGCAATAATACCACAGTCACCACAGATATGATTAAAGCCATAATACGCGCTATTCGAAATTCTAAGACGAGCCTGATGGCTGTTTTTGAGACGGTGAATCCGATCGCAGACAGCTTATTGCGCAATCAAGAATATGGAAGCCAGGATGTTGACCAACTGTTGAAGTCACTCAGATCCGTCCGCCTGGACTGGGTAGGGGGCGAGGATGATTTACTGTGAAGGCGGAGTGTAGACCTTTTTTAAAATCACAATATAACATTGTGGACAGACAGCTTCCAACTTGTAGGAATACCGTGTTGTGCCCAATCCATTCATCCCCAGTGTGGCTAACAACGCGACAGACCTAGACCTGTCGGATACAGCTGTTGACTTGGATAACCTTTGGGGTGGGGGCTTCCCTACTTATAAAAGAGCACCTGAGCAGAGTTTTTCATGTACTTTAGTCCATGCAAAGAGACATCAACATAGAAGGATAGCAAAGACTCAAGGCGACAAGATCGCTCCGCTCTGTCGGTCTATGTTCACGACGGCTCTCGGTCCGCCGGTCAAGGTTTGTCATGGAGTTAGGGTCCCTGGTCTGATGGTTCAATCCCACCTATATAGTATATCTATAGCACTCTACAAGCCGTTTCGATTATTTGTAGGAACTGGACCAACAAGTCGGGTAGATTGCATCCAGATCGCAGGGGTAGTTCGTTACTACGGCAAATCCTTGCGTATGCAATTATAGTACATAAAAGTGCGACGTCATCAACTTGCCAGATACTATGCAAGACTCTGTATACTCACGAGCTCTGCATACTTGCCCGCCTTTTCAATTAACTGAGAATGTGTCCCGATCTCCACAACCTTGCCGTCATCAAAGACAAAGATAATATCAGCCTTCCGAATAGTGCTAAGGCGATGTGCGATAACAATAGTAGTTCTCCCTCTTGAAGCCTTATCAAGTGCCGCTTGAACAACCGTCTCCGATTCCGAATCAAGAGCTGAAGTTGCTTCATCGAGAAGCAACACCCGTGGGTTTCGGAGAATGGCACGAGCGATTGCGACTCTCTGCTTCTGGCCACCAGACAGCAGCCCTCCTCTGACACCCACAAGAGTATTGAAACCATCAGGGAGGGACACAATAAAGTCATAGATGTTTGCCTCGCGACAGGCCGATTCAATAGCCTCGTCGGTAACCTGACCATCTGGACATCCAAGCGAAATGTTGTCCTTGATGGTACCTTGATAGAGCGCTGGCTCTTGACTTACGAGGCCGAATTGGTTTCGATATTGTCGAATGTTGAGTTTGCGGATATCCCTTCCGTCGAATAAGACTGCTCCGGACTGGGGATCATAGAAGCGAGAAATCATCTTGAACGCAGTACTCTTGCCACATCCAGACGTTCCAACGAAAGCGGCATACTGACCGGGATGTATTTTGATGTTGAGACCTTTTAATACAAGTCTCTGGTCTTGTTGCCCAGGATACGTAAAGTGTACGTCTTGAAACTCCAAAGAGCCTGCAACGTCCTTCACAGAGTCACCGGCGTCTGACCAAGGGTCAATCGTGGGCGTTTGATCGAGTAACTTCTTCAGCTTCTGCGTGGAAGCATAGGCCTTACCCATCTCTGGAGCATGAGCAAAAATCAACCCAATATTCTGGGCTCCAAAGAGGACAGCCATAAAGCACAAAAAAAACTGAAACATGTCGTATTCACGACGGGCTATTAGATTGCCTCCCCACCAAAAGCAAAGGGCATAGCAAAAAAAGAGAAAAGATTGGGAAGCAGCATAAAGCGCAGAAGGCTTGAGAATGAAGAGGATATTCTGGCGAAGCTGCGTCCGCACCAGCGTGCGATACTCCTCGAGCACATCCATCTCTCGTCCCAGCGCAGCAACAGTGCGCATGTCCGAGACAGCCTCTGCGGCATAGCTGGCAGATTCATCATATGAAGCTCTAGCACGCCGCTGAAATTTAGCTACCAGCCATACGTGCAGAAAACCACAGCCCACAAGAATCGGGAGAGTCGCGATGCAAACCAGGGAGAGTTTCCATCCAACGGCGATGGATAGCGAGCAGGCTGCGATGAGTGTTGTGATGGAAACAATCAAAGTTCCCAGAGTGGTGCCACTTAATCCGGCAATATGGGCTGCTTCTGTTGCCAGGAAGGAAGTCAAGTAGCCGGTTGTGTTCTGCTTGTTGTCAAAGAAGGACATGTCTTGCCTCAACATGGCTCGAAAGGCAGCATGTCGAATGCGACGTACGAGCCGCTCAGAGCTCTTTGCAAATGCCAAGTTTTGGGCCGCAAACGAGATGCCAAGAACAAAAGCTAGCATGACGTACATGGTACTCCAGAAATCAGATTCTTTTTCTATCCTGCCAGGCTCATTTGGTGGAATGGGTTGGGATAGGGTTGATATCTGCTTTGAGAAGAAGACAGCCGAAGAAGGGTTTCCAAGCCCACAAATAACAGATAGCATGCACCCGATTACCATTAAACTCCATTGCGATTTGTTTATGGACAGAATGAAAGATAATAGCGCATATAAACTGTCGCGATTTGTCGGTCCGCCGAGGTCATCTCTGCTCAACCTGGAGGATTTGATCTCGTCATGAGATCCTGCAGTAGTTTCCTGCTTATACGAAGTCTGTTTTTCAAATCCCGCTGGGGACACTCTGGAATCTTGTTTTTCGTCAACACTTGATCCAACACTTTGAGCTTGAACTAGCTCCAGATAGGCCGCATTTTTATTCAGAAGTTCCTCATGAGTCCCCTGCTCCACAATGCGACCTTCAGACATAACCACAATATTATCCGCGTGTTTTATGGTCGACAAGCGATGGGCTATAATGATAGTAGTACGTCCTGTTGCGGCAACTTGCAACGCAGCCTTGACGGCTTGCTCAGACACACTATCCAGAGCAGAAGTTGCCTCATCAAGAAGTAGAACTATGGTCGAGTTAGTCCACGTTTTTTTGGGGTATATTTCCATTCAGCTTACTTTTGGGGTCCGATATTATCGCTCGTGCAATCGCAATTCGTTGTTTTTGGCCTCCAGAGAGAATAGAGCCACGCTGGCCGATATGCGTATCATAACCCTTGTCAAGAGCGATAATAAAATCATGTGCAAAAGCCGCCTTTGCTGCACGAATAACGCGCTGTCTCTGAGAATCCTGGCTTTCATGTTCGAATGCTGTGCCAATTAAACCATGTCGAATATTTTGAAAGATGGTGGTCCCAAAGAGTCCGGGCTGTTGGCTGACCAGGGCCATCTGTGCTCGGAACCATTTCAAGTTTAGACTCCGTATATCATGACCGTCCAGACGTATCGTTCCTTGGACAGGGTCGTAGAACCGTTCAAGCAGGCCTATAATTGTGCTTTTTCCGGATCCTGACGCTCCAACTATGGCAGTGGTCTTCTTGGCTGGAATATCCAAACTCAAGTCGGCGATGACGGGTGCACCTGGTCTTGAGGGATAAATGTGATGGATATGTTGGAAGCTTATGTGGCCAGAAACCTGATCCAAACTAATCCCGGAGCTTGCCATGGGATCAATGGGGGAGACACGATCTGTGGTGGCAAGGACCTTTCTCGAGGCAGCCGCTGCAGTAGTAAATGCTTGTACGTTTGGGGCAGCATTGCCCAAGGCAAACGCCCCAATTAGGACGGACATGAGGACGGTCAGAAGTTTTGACACTGGCAGCTCTCCTTGGATAAGCTGTTTGCTACCCTGCCAAAACGCGAGGGCATACCCGAGGATCATGACGATTTGCAGCCCTGCAATCATTAGTCCGGTGGCTGTCCTAGCACGAAAGCCGTAATGCTCTGCCTTTGCGAGGTGTGCATCATACTGTTTGGCCAAGTGATCCTGGTTTCCAAAGGCAGTGGTGCTGTGTATAAATGTCAAAACCTCTTCCACGAGGCTACCCCCTTCAGAATACGCAGCAAGCGACTTGATGGTATTCTTGACCATCAACCTCGTGGTTAGGGTAGTGGTAATGATCCAAGCAACAACGGTACAACACAACATAAGAGTGAGCTTCCAGCTATTGGCAAACCCAATCACAAACGCAGAAACAAACGTGGCAATGGCAGCCAAGGTCAGCCCTACTTTCTGGGAAATACCGTCCTGAATTAGACTCATATCGGCGGTAATGTGGGTTGTGATTTCACCAGCACCCGTATTATCAAAAAAGGCAATGTTTTGGCGTATACAACTTTGCAAGTAGCGCTCTCTGAATTTTACCGTCAGATGCTCCCCGAGGTAGGTGAAACCAACGGTGGATAGAAAAGTGACACAAAATTGCCCAATGCCTAGATACACAAAATACAGGACATAGGTTGTCATTTCGTCTCGAAACCGACTAGGCTGAACGGTATTATTAAAGAAGTCTTGGAAAGTGCCTTGCAAACCGCCAAAAATAATTGTCATGATTGGCAAGGCGGCCCCAGACGCCATGGCACAGACGGCTGCAACAATCATGATGAGGATGTCATGGCGAGACGCATAGCGGTATAAATGGAAAATGCTCCCTCGATAAGTTGGCACTTGTGCTTGTCGCTCGAGCATTTCGGCATGATGTGGTGGGAGATGTCCATATGGATTGCAACTGCTGCTCGTCTCTTTTGAGTCTTGTTCCATACGAAACTGGCCATTTTCGACAGTTGACGGCTGCTTTGCTGCTTCATTGGCCTGGTTTTGGGGTCGCTTACTGCCTCCAGAATAACTTTTGCTTGAACGCAACCCGGATAGAAATTGTAAAGCCCTCATCTTGGGACTGAAATGCAGTAACGGCAAAGATATAATGAGTGGCAGCTTCTTTCTTCTCTTCTTTCTCCAGGGGGATGAATGCCCGGCACCTCTATGGGATCACGAGTAGGTAGGTGAAGTAGTTGTGCAAAAGGTCATTGGCCACAACATTGACGATTGGTGGGTCAATTTGGACTTGGTTGTCCATCACTGAAAGTAGACCAGCATGTTATCATGATGAGTTGTGTGGAAACATTACCCTGGGGCTGTAACTATCTAGGCTGTATACTGTCAACGGCACTTGCCCCTGGTCTTCTAATGGCCCTAGACCAGTACAGTAAAGGAGGGGGTGGAAATATTGATGGTTATCCGAGCGGCCGAGCCCCAGCATGTCGGCTATTGAAGGCTTCGCCGCTAGTTTACTACTCTCGAAATTGCCGTGGCATGATTTCAATTGACGTGGCAAACGACAAATACGTGCTAGCAGTGCTACCCTACCATAGCGATCAGGGATGAGACAACGCCTTCTTCACACTGTTTACCTAGGTACGTATTTGCTTATATCGGAATTTATATGCGCATGGGTATAACTTGTACAATCCGCCTTTTACGAGTTTTGCTAAAAGTAACCTAATAAGATAATGCATAGGGGCTATTTATAAGGTCTTTAATACGGACACGAGATTTTTATAGTAATAATTGCAAATTACAATTCAATAAAGTAAATGAAAGAGGAATAATTTTACAACTATAACGTAAATTAATACGAAAATTTATCACGTTATTAAGTGCCTTTTCGACTTTACACGCTTTTTATAATAGCCATCTCTTATTAGTTTCACCCCTTCTTGTTATATTACTCCTGGCTACCCGACCCAGTCAAGGCCTAAATTGTAAATGACGTCAATCTTCTTGTACAGCCATTTACAGTACGATTGCAGCCAATTCTACACTGTCCGGGCCATGGGTATGGATGTCACGAAAGGCGTCGGTGTAAAATTGATGGGTGTGTACATGCATCGGGTAGTCTCAAGCGACACGCCTCTGGAGTTTATGAGATGGGCAATGCGTCACTTGGTTCACGATGCTTGCACGTGTCTTGATTCATGTCCTTCGGGCAGGGCGGCTTCTGACTACCCTTGGTTGGTACCAGACTATAAAGCTACAGTGTCGTGCACGTTCATTATACAGTAACAGCTTGAGGTTATTATTTTGCGGGGCCCCATGAAGGTCTATTGGTCCATTCCTGCACGTAGTCAATCCATGTCAGTTTGGCTGATTCTGATCAGCCAAAATCCCTGCCTGGGCTCCCCGCCGACGTCGCATTGAGCATGCAACACAATGGCTCTGGTTGACGACATCAACATTGAAAGTCGGCGCCAATCACCACCCGCTCTGGCGCCATGCCGTCTGGTCCGAATCAACGCCGCCGGTCCGCAAGAACCCGCTCTGATGCTAAGCAGCTTTGTCCTGGCCACGTTCCAACCGTCATTGAGAAATTGATTGTATCAATGTCTGGTACATGGCGTGGCACCATGCATACATTGGCGGTACATGCACAGGCTGCCATGTACTAGCGACAAGCACCAGACATTGCCCCTTGATTGTCCGCAGCATAATACACGGGTATCCAATTGTCGGAAACCCAGGACTACACATCAGCACTTGCTTGGCAGCGGTGAAATTGAGTCGGCAAAAGGTTGCCTCTCTTCACATCGCACGGATATTCTCCTCCTCTGCGCGAATGACTGCGGGCGTTATACTGCTCGCCATCCCAGAATGCCAGCCATCATCTCATATGACTCGGTTGCACCGCATCAGCTATACTTGGATCACTACTTCGCCATTTATTGCACCACGTCCGTTCACACACATTGGGCATTTGTTCCAACCCCTTGATTCCATCCAGAACTTCCCATGGCAGATGCGCGAGAGCCCTCCTATTCGGTGCGACCGAGGGTGCAGTATAATACCGTCAATGGCGTTAGTGGTCCCCTCGTCATAGTAGAAAATGTAAGTATCACGGGCCTCTTTCAACGCCTTCGTTAAACTCGTCCAGGTCAAGTTTCCAAGATATGATGAAATCGTCACCTTGACCCTTGGAGATGGATCGGAGAGGTCGGGCAAGGTGTTGGAAGGACGAGGTTAGTCCACGCCCCATCCAGGTTTGACGTCTGAAGCAAGTATGTGACGGCAATTATCAGACGACCGAGCCGTCGTTCAAGTAAATCTACCCACTCTACCAACGTTGGTTGATTCGCAACACATGATTCACAAAACACGATAGGTTTTCGAGGGCACGTCTGGAATAGACGTCAGCAAGGTACCAAGAAATGCCTCGAGCCAGGTCTGCGCCATGCTAATTTTGTACCAATGCAGACCAAGGTTAGGTTCTCGGGTCAAAGCATGAAACTTGGTGTAGCAGAGGACATGCTGGGACGTGTATTCGATGGGTCTGGCAAAGTAATCGACAAAGGGCCAAAGGTGCTCCCCGAAGATCATATCGATATTAACGGCAGTGCTATCAATCCCTATTCTCGGGTATGTGGTTGCGGATTCCAAGAGAAAACGCATCTTTCTGACAGGCCATTAGGAATATCCCGAAGAAATGATATCAACTGGTATTTCCGCTATTGATACCATGAATTCGATTGCCCGTGGTCAAAAAATTCCTATTTTCTCGGCCTCTGGGCTGCCGCACAATGAGATTGCTGCCCAGATATGCCGACAGGCGAGTTTAGTCAAACATCATGGAGTCACCAATAAAAGCGTCCACGATGGCCATGAAGACAACTTCTCGATTGTGTTTGGTGCTATGGGGGTAAACCGAGAAACAGCTAGGTTCTTTACTAGGGATTTTGAGGAAAATGGAAGCATGGAGCGTGTCACCCTCTTTCTGAACCTAGCAAATGATCCCACGTAAATTCTCGTTCCGACGCTTCCAAAACTGGGCACTAATAGGCTATATTAGAATCGAGCGCATCATCACCCCCCGGCTGGCTCTTACAACCGCCGAGTTCTTTGCTTACCAGCTTGAAAAGCATGTTCTCGTAATTCTTACCGACATGACTGCCTACTGCGAGGCCCTCCGCGAGATCTCAGCGGCAAGAGAGGAAGTGCCCGGTCGCCGCGGATTCCCCGGGTCCATGTATACTGATTTGGCAAGCCTCTATGAGCGCGCTGGTCGTGTTACTGGGCGAAAAGGCTCCATCACGCAATTGCCAATTCTTACCATGCCTAATAACGACATCACTCACCCCATCCCTGATTTAACTGGTTACATCACAGAAGGCCAGATATTCATTGACCAATCCCTTCATAATAGAGGCATTTATCCGCCAATCAATGTTCTGCCATCCCTCTCTCGTTTAATGAAGTCTGCTATTGGAGACGGCATGACAAGGAAGGATCACGCTGATGTCTCAAACCAATTATACGCGAAATACGCTACAGGTAAAGATGTGGCCGGAATGAGAGCTGTAGTTGGGGAGGAGGCTCTCTCTGCAGAAGACAAACTAGCGCTTGAGTTTCTTGATAAATTCGAGAGGCAATTCCTTAGTCAGGGGCAATTTGAGTCGCGGACAATTTTTGAGTCACTAGATCTCGCGTGGACTTTGCTACGCATTTTCCCAAAAGAGCAGCTCAATAGAGTACCTGCTGCTATTCTTGATAAATTTTATCAAAGGGCAAGAAAGGATGTGGATGCAGAGGCGAAGTTGCAAAAGGATATAGCCCAAAACCATGAATAGAACTTGAGAATTCGATCGGCGCACGAGATGCACCACATCTACGAGCCGGCGAGGTGATTTAATTTGATGTGGGTATTTGTTGAAGTTGCGACTCTGAATATGTAGTCTGTCTTACATATTTATATTTGTGTCAAATGCGTAGATGTTTGCGTCTGTCGACGTTTCTCCGATGTTAGTTCATGGTGAAACCATCGGCGAGCGAGAAACCTGGTGATTTTGTTGTGTAGAGTGATGGATATTTAGTCGTTTTTGAAAAACTACGAGTCATCAATAGATACGACCGGGTGATACTTGACACTCACTTCAATAGAATAGCCAACCAGCATCAGTATAGTCTATAAGTAGCAATTGGGCTCTCGTGTAGCTTCTATCTAGAACTTGCACAACGACCCATTGATCCATAATTAGCCAATTCGCAGAAAAAAGTGCAAAGCTTGCGAGGTTCTGCAGGCGGCAACATATTTTATTATCCCACCACCTGCTTACCCACCGCTTCCAATCCCTTGAAAAGTCCCTCAACCGTTCCGAGTAACGTCTCGCAATTCACAACAACTCTAAAAAAGTCACCTTTCGGTCCAGGAGCAAAATCAAACATGAACCCTCGATCAACCATTTTCTCCACCATGGCTCTCGTTCTTCTAGACGTTTCCCTTTCGCTCTTCGCCATTTCCCCTCCTGGTGTGTAGTAGAAGCAGACCTGCAGGCAAGGCGGGGGATTGGGCGATACAAGCTCAAAATCCGGTGATTTTTGGATAATGCCACTTAGATGAGCAGCCATTTTAAACGCATGGTTAATACGTCTTTCAAAGCCGGCCGCACCGTAGTATGTCCAGGCCAACGCCATCTTTAGGCTGTCTGCCCTACGGCCACATTGTAGTGTCAAGTTTGCCAGATCCCATACTTCGTCGTCCTCTGTATCGTGGAATAAATATCCGGCGTCGAGTGAATTTGCAGTATAAAAGGAACTCAAGTTATTAGTAAGTAAGAAAGAGCATGTCATTGGGACATTAAGCATCTTATGGGGACTAATAGTGAGTGAGTCGGCAAGCTCACAGCCTGTAAGCTTATGTCTGTGTTTGGCTGAAAAGATAATCGAGCCCCCCCAGGAGGCATCGACATGAAACCACATTCCAAACTCTTCACATATCGTCTTGATTTCGTGAAGGGGATCAAAGACACCTAGTACAGTGGTTCCAGCCGTCGCATTAACATAGAGTGGTGTTTTGCCCTGCGCTCTGGCTTGAATAACTAGCTCACGCAGGGCATTTACATTCATGCGCCCGTCGTCATTGACAGGCACATGAACGACGCTTGATAAACCCATGCCGCATGTAATAGCCGCCTTCTCCATAGAGAAATGTCCATGGCAGCTAGTAAAGATGGCAAATTGGTACGAGTTTCCGCCGTTGAGTTTGCAATCAGGATATAATGAGTTGCGAGCGACAACGAGGGATGTCAGGTTTGACGCACTGCCTCCTTGGCAAGAAATGCCCCCGGCAGATGGACTGTTGAATCCAAAGTAGGCTGCGAGCGTACGCCCCGTGACTTTCTCAATCACGGACAGGGCTGGTGCCACGTGATAGACGTGAACATTGGTGTTGAGAATGCCAAGGACAATCTCAGAGATGATGCCCACGGGATTCGTGCTCGAGGTGAGCTTGTCCATGAAACCTTGGTCCCAGGTATTTACGCTGTAGCGTAAAACGTCCCGAATAAGGTGCATGAGACCATCTTTGCCGTTTCCCTCATGATCGGGTAGAGCGAATTGAAAGCGTTCTTGCAGGGCTTTGGGCGGGTATGGCTCAACCAGAACATTCTGTAGGCGTTGAGTGTCGTCGGTGTGAAGCCGGCCAGCACTCTTTAAAGAGCAAGCTTCGTCGGCTGCACGAACATGCGGAATGATGAGTGCTCTGACCGCCTCATAGAGATCGTCAAGTTCATCTGCTCGGTTCAACATTGTCTTGGTGTCCCTCATGGAACGGTCAAAGGCATAGTTCTCATGGATGCTCTGGAGTTGGGACGATGCATCGCTGCTGATTAGGTTTTCCCAGAGGGTTATTTATACCGACAAACTCTGGTCTCAACGTGGAGAGTAGGCTTTACGGGAATTTCTTCAAGGCAAATATGAGACTCATTATTGAAAAGAAAAATGCCGCAACATTAGTACAACCCGTGAAGTAACGCTTCTCTCGCCTTGTACTGGCTTTCCCGGTAACTGCACCTACACCCCCTTGCACTGCCCATGTCAACACAAAATACCCCCACAACAGCACATGCGAATCCTTCGAGGTTTAATGGCTCGTTCGAATGCAACCGCCAAGTTTGTTTTATTCCATTTTCCCATCATGAGGTTATAGCGGAGTTTGTCGTCTCCCTACCCCCTCCCGTTCTTCAAGGTGTCACCATTTTCCAATTACATTAGTAAGGGCCGCTCTTTTTAGGCAAGCGATACAAATTACAAAGACTTTTGTCCCCAATTTGGAGTAGTTGAATTCTTGCGTGTAGTGTCAAGTAGTGCAGTGTAATTAGCCCTCCTTTCTTCAAAGTAGCATCTAAACTATCACGAGTGTCCCTGTATTCTTTGAGGGACGTACAATTCTTCTAGATACTGCTCCTCATCTCTAGACAGTTCCTTACCCCTTGCTGCCAGCGCTTCTTCAATTCGTCCAACTGAACCGAAGCCTATGATCGGAGCTGTTACCCGTCGATTTAACCAAGCCAGGCTGACATGACTCATCGGCCAGCCTCGTTTCTCAGCAATCTCCGCTACTCGCTGTATGATCCTGTCCACGTTGTAGTCGTCGCTCTCGTATAATGAGCCATGAGCACTGCAACTCGCTCGCAAAGACCCTTCCTCTTGTTTTGGCCTTCGTGCTAGTCTACCAGATGCCAACGGCCCCCACTACCAAGCGACGTAAGAGTCAGCATTGCACATGTCCAGCCTGTGTTGTAGGGTGTCAAGGACAAACCGGAATGAGGCCGACACCTGTCATCTTGCAATATTGGTTCATCTCTCTTTCCTCTTCACGATAGATGAGGTTGTAGTGATTCTGCATCGAGATGAATTTAGTTAGACCCTTTGTCTCGGCTATGTGCTGCAAGGTGGCGAACTGGAACGTCCACATGGAGCTCGCGCCAATATAGCGGACCATGCCCGCTCTTATCAAGTCGTGCAGTGCAGACATTGTCTCTTCTGGGGGTACTGTATGATCGAAACGATGTATCTGGAGGACGTCAATGTAGCTGGTGTTGAGGCGATCGAGTGAAGCCTCAACGGCGCTAAAGAGGGCTCGCCGCGACAGACCTAGGAATATTTGATTTAGCTTCTATTCACCTTGTTTTGGAGTATTCAGTATTGAAAGTTACCCCATTGATTTACATAGTCCTTGCTATAATCTGCCAACTCGTGGTGCATTGTTACTCCGGAACCTGGATCAAACCTTTCAGGATCAGACATGACCCGGTAGCACTTTGTCATCAACACCACCTTGTTCCGAGGGATTTTGTATTTGGAGAGCGCCTTGGCGATGATTCTCTCGGACTCTCCATTGGAATATACATTTGCAGTATCCCACTTGACGTTGTTAGTGGTAGTTGCCTGACTGGCTATCGAGTCCTCTCTGTTAAGGGAGGAGGGGGACACGTACAGTATTGACCCCCAAGTCATATGCTGCTTTAAGGATAGGTAAAGCCTATCAATATGTAGGTTAGTTGAGTTGAGTTGAGAGGCTATTAGAAAGAGATGCGGACCTTTTCCTCTTCAAGAACCCAGGGTAACCACTTGCGACTCCCAAGGTGAAGCCCACCAAGTATGGGCCGTGACACTCTCAAGCCCGAATGACCAAGGTTCAGATAGTCTACCTTGGTTTGTGATATAGATTGTGTTAGAGATGGGGGAATTCGAAGCAGCTTTTCGAGAGAAACTTTGGCCATGGTTACCAGAACTGCAACATAGAGTGCGTCATCAACCAGCTTACAACAACCCAGCTAGTACCGCCTCACAGTTGCATGGAGATATAGACGATTCGAACTCGGATGGATTGGAGCTGGATGAGCTAAGTACATCTGATTGACTGGGAGTTGGCTGTTTGAATCCGACTCGGATCTGTATACGCTTACGCCGATGCCAGCACAGAACATGGCGAGGAAAGTGGGATGATGCTCTCTTTGTCCCATTATTACATGACGTATTTAATAAAATTACAGCTTGCCGGCACTCAAGGGCCAGGGTTATTTGCTACCTAATTGGAGACATTTCCTTTAGATCCAGAGCGAACCGAAACGACGCGTGGACATGAGAATTGTCTGAATGGAACAAATTATTCCCAGTGGGTCAGGTTAAAGGGCTGAAGTTCCCGAACTACATTTACGATGAAGCGCAAGTATGGTACTTTGAATAAGGTGTACATATCCCTGGTGACGCACATGGCCAGGAGGGGGTGAGGATGAGAATATTTACCCCTCGAGCTCAGCAAGGACAAGTGCAAGCTCAGTATGATGGGCTATGCGGTATTCTGCCCTCTCCATGTTACAAACGTCTAATTATAACTAGGTCAATCTTGTTGGTAATCAACACCATTCACTGGACTGCAGGGTTGGTGGGTTGCTGCATGGAGTAACAAATCTATTGACCAGACCAGACATGTACATATGTACCCAAGCCCCCACGCCCAGCGGGGTAATGCACGCCGGTTGGTCCAGCTCCTTCCGTTAGCGGATTAGTTTGGCTGATTTTCATCTGCCAAATGCCGTCTGGTAGAGTCAAGTCTGGTCAACAGGTAGCTTGGCGATCAACACCAGACCGTTCATGTCTCTCCTGGATCGTAGATATCCACAATGCGGGCGGTGCGAGATGCAGGCGCTACGCAATGAACCCGGCAACACATCCCATTGATGCTTTGAACTCAACTCGACACGTGGATTCGTCGGATGAAAACCACATTCTTGGCGACTCTTATGTCCGCTCCGGCCCCCACGCGGCATCTCGGCAGGGTTGTGTGAAAGGGTCAAGGTAGAGCCATGTATTATAAATTGCCGTGCTAGACCGTGCCGCAGATTGACATGATGTGGCGCACCTATTGCCGGCGGTGTTGCGCTTCCACCGTCGTTGGTTCGTGGTGGGTGTCGTGACATGTCCCGACGGATGCTGTGAGCTGCACACACACGGCTGTATATAGATGCCGGCACGACTCGCGAGGGGGATGGAAAGATTCAATGTTCACACTGTGAAAACAAGGCTTTTTGCTTCAGCGGGGATTGGGTACCAAGTCTAGTCCTTGTCGCGGTACATATGTAGGTTATCGATGGAATGTCCGACTAGCTTGACCAAAGTGCTGTTTAGCACAGACGTCTTGATTTATGCGCATTCCTGCCGCTATGATGCGTCAGCCATGTAATTGACACCATGGCCAATTGTCTTAAAGAAATAGGTCAGTGCATTGCCAGTCGTCGCCATGGGGAACTCGCCTTCACTCTCCCAATATTTTGTCGTTCTTCGCCAGTCGTCTATTACACCCTATCAAAGACTTTTAAACTGGCTTACATGTACGAATAATTCAGTCTCTGTGAGCTGTCAAACCCGTTCGGCGTGTCTCTGGCATTACATATACAGCAACGAGCTTGCTATCTGGCCCGTTCCTACCTCTTCTGAATATGCTCCGCATACCTGGCAAATCTCTCGGTTACCATGAAGATATCTCTCTCACGCCGTGGCAGGCAGTCCTTGCGTCCGTAACAGTCCTGCTGGGCCTAAAGGTCGCGACAATACTATATACTGCCTTCTACAATGTATTCCTTCATCCCTTGCGCCGCTTCCCAGGTCCCGTGACATGGATTGCAGCGCCCTGGATGAAGAGCATCTCTCACATTCGCGGCCAACAAGATCACCAAATCGTAAAATTGCACCAGAAACTTGGGCACATTATCCGTGTCGGTCCCGACACCCTCAGCTTCACAGAAATGTCGGCCTGGAGAGACATCTATGGTACGGGCCACGCGGAGCTTCCGAAGCACATCTACAAAGGAAGTGGTATGGAGGACCGGCCCAACATCATCACCGCGCACTCTCGGGATCATCATCGGTTTCGCAAGGCAATGACGCCAGCCTTGACGCCAGAAGCAATTACTCACGAAGAAGCACTCATCAAGGGATACGTTGACATGCTCATCGAGCATCTCCACAAGTTTGCACAGTCGTCGGATCCATACGTCAATGTATCCCAGTGGTACACCATGACAACCTTTGACATATTCGGCGACCTTTGCTACGGCGAATCCTTCAACTCGCTGGCAACTGGAAAGCAACATCTCTGGCTTAAAAGCATGAGCAGCATGAAGGTTCTGGTTCCTCTACTGGTTTTCCCTTACATTTCTTGGCTGCTAGTCTGGTGGCTTCTTTCGCCGGAACAGCAGCGCTCGCTGAGTGACCACCAGAAACGTTCCTATGAGTTGACAATGAAGCGCATTGCCAATAGAGACACTCATCCACGCCACGATTTCATGACATTTATGCTACGGAATCGTGGCGAGGACCAAGGAGTAACGGACCACGAATTGGCCTCAAACTCGGACATTGTCATCAGTGCGGGTTCGGAAACCACCTCGACGGCTCTTACGGGCATAACCTTTTTTCTATGCAGCAATCCCGATGCCATGGCTCGCTGCGCCAAGGAAGTACGCGAAGCTTTCAACTCAGATGATGAAATCACTTTCAAGGCAACAGCGGAACTGCCCTTCATGTTGGCATGCATTGAGGAGACCTTGCGCATGTATCCCCCTGTGCCCACGTCCCTTATCCGCCGAACGCTTCCTGGCCGACCAACCCTTATTGCAGGAGAGTTGATACCCGAGAACGTAAGTGTACAAGTTTTTGACATGTATCCAAAGCAGAACAGTTTCCCAGCCCGCGGCCGTATTCAGTTGAGCACTCTAGTCTTGCTAATGCTGGTCTAGACTATTGTTGGCGTGCACCACCTCGCAACCTATCGATCTGAGAGAAACTTTTTCGATGCAAAGGCCTTTCGGCCAGAGCGCTGGCTTGCTGAAACACGGAATGATCCAAAATCTCCCTTCAAGGATGATAGACTTGACGCTGTCCGTCCATTCAGCTACGGCCCTCGAAATTGCATCGGACGAAACCTCGCCTATCATGAGATGAGGCTGATCCTTGCAAAACTGCTTTGGCATTTTGATCTCAAACTAAAACCTGGTTATGAAAGTTGGGGATTCAAGCAGCGCACCTTCCAACTATGGGAAAAGCCAAAACTGGTGGTTGAGTTCAAGGAACGTCAGTTCCAAGTCTAACCTCGTTGTCTTGCCATTGTGCCTGCGACTCAGTATATCGGCAACATGCTACAGGACAACAATCTCACAATCTCCGAATGTCAGATAGCCAGTTTCGCATGACATGGCGCGGACAAGAGAAATATAGAAGTAGACAATACTTTGTAAAAGGAAATGTTGCTGGGGGAAGATTTTAGATGTAACGAAAGGACATTCAACATGCATCTTTCAATAGTTTGCATAAGATTAAAACTACAGTTCCATGACCATCTGCTTCGCATAGTTGTAAGAATCCATGGCTCGTTCATTCATGGTGGCTAATCGACACCTGGTACTAAAATATCAAGCCTGTAGCTAATCAGTCTCTGAATGAAGAACTGCCATTTACAATCTTTGATCCTTGTCTTCCATGTCTTCCGGAATTTCTTTTCCGATGTCTAGAGACTAGTTTTGGTATGGATGGCCAATTTCATTTAAGGTTCCCTATAGATCCCTGGAGTTACTACGCCTTGCGCATGGTATCTCCTAAAAGGTCACGCAATACCAGGCGTCGCAGTCCATGCGTGTATTCCTACACCCCTGGTGTGAGAATTGCACGTTGAATAGCGTTCTCCCATCCGTGTACCGACTATACGGGGAGAACCTGAAGGACGGAGGAGGGGGTAAGCCTTGGCAAGGCAGTTCCAGCCTTTTTTCTCGAGGTGTGAGCTTTTGACGGTTATTACAAGTCACTAGTGTTTATTTTATTTTATTTTTTAATCACGTAGTATGACTTTGATTATTTGATTGATTTGATACAAAATGAAATACATGCTAGGCGCGATGCAAAAATGGACCAAAAACCGGATGATCCACCCATCCTCCGGTCCCCGATAATGCAAATGACTTCAAGTTGACTTGTGCAATGGGCACACATAGCTAAAGAACGTGACGCATGGGGCAAATACTTGCCCCATTTCGCGAACTCCGTACCCGTTCTTACACGCGTTACATTTGGTCGGCCCATTCTATCCATCCATGGCCCATAGCATAGGCGCTGCGGAACAACTTGGCTTGCATCCTTGATTGTATTGACCTAATCTCCTCCGTCGGCCTTGTAGTACCATGATCATCCGAGTGTCTCTTATGTATATGGCCGTCAGGTGCCACCACTCCCCCTGAGCGGAAACCCGGAAGAGATATTAACATAGCTGAGACTTAGAAACTTGGCTCTGGAATTCGTTGAAACCTTTTGTTAGAATCAACTACACCTTTATTCGAAAATGCCTTCTAGAATCTTGCCCGGCAAGCATATGCCTGCACAGGGCCACCAGCGCAGAGAGGCAGACTACTGGCAAACTGCTCTTGCTGACTGCAAATGCACGACATTCCCAGTGATCCCGGAGACAGTCGAGCAATGTTTGCCCGATGCACTGGTAGAGCATCGGTTTGCGAAGCTTCATCAAAACGGCGCAGCCACGTCCATGTCCAACGTTGCTCGCGCGGCATGGGCTCTGGTTGTTGCACGCATCACGAATTCGGATGACGTCGTCTTCGGCGCCGTCGTCTTTGGAACCACTCGGGACTCAAACATGACGATAGTGCCTGTGCGTGTTGAGACGGCCATGGACCTCACGATCGCAGCTTATTTGGGCATGATCCAGCAGCAGGAACAGGACATGACTCCGTTTGATCAGACGGGGTTATCACGCATCATGCAGACTTGCCCCGGTGCTCAGCAGGCCTGCCAGTTCCAGTCGCTGCTGGCGGTTCATTCACATGAGAGCAACGGCGAGCGCCTGGACGACCAGAGATATGCTCTCGTACTGGAGATTCGACCGGGACAGGACCAATTCTCCGCGTTGGCAAGGTTCGATTCGCGCGTCATGGACCACAAGACGGTGGAGAGACTGCTGGAACGGTTCGAGCTTGTCATGACGGAGCTCTGCCGTGGAGGCCCCAAGATGAGGGTTCAAGACATCCACATGGCCGGCAAGCATGATGAAGAAGAAATTTGGAAATGGAATGCGACGGTCCCGGAAGCAGTTGAACGTTGCCCTCACCATATATTCGAGCAACGATCACGAGCTCATCCCAACAAGCTCGCCGTACATGCCTGGGACGGCGTCTTGACCTACGGTGAGCTGGACCGCCTGTCCGGGACCCTGGCCGGACGGCTCATGGATTTGGGCGTTGGCCCCGATGATCTGGTGCCATTATGCTTTGAGAAATCAATGTATACAGTGGTTGCCATGGTTGCCGTGCTGAAGGCCGGCGCTGGTTTTGTCTTACTAGACCCAGCCCTGCCCGAGCAGCGTCTTCAGATTATTGTCGACCAAATTCAGGCAAGAATTATGGTGTCATCCGTCTCGACATATGGAATGAGCTCGAGAATGGCGTCCGAGGTAGTCGCCATCAGCTCCGGCTTCTTCTCAGAGGTTGGGGCTCGGCCTTGTCCACAGTCACACCCTCCCAGCCCATCATCCGTCATGTACGTCGTCTACACCTCGGGCAGCACCGGGACGCCCAAAGGCGCAGCCATTACCCATCAAAATCACGCCACAGCCCTCTACTACCAGGCAGAGCGGTTGGGCCTGACGGACCAGTCGAGAATCTACGACTTCTCCTCGTACAGCTTTGATATATCAATATTCAACGCGTTCTCTGCCCTAACGCTCGGAGGATGCTTGTGTGTCCCCAGCGACTACGAACGGCAAGATAAATTAGCAGAGAGCATAACATCGTACAAAGCCGACTTTATTTACCTAACACCGACTGTAGCTCGGCAATTATCCCCGCAGAAGACGCCTACTCTCCAGACCATAGCCTTTATCGGCGAGGCTCTGCATCCAAAGGACGTCGGCATCTGGTGGGACAATGTGCGAGTCGTCAACGCGTATGGGCCATCCGAGTGCACCACAGCAAGCACCCTACGAACCAGTCCCTCGACCCCCGAGGAAGCCTGCAGCATCGGCAAGGGCGCGGGAATGGTAACATGGATCGTGGACCCCAACAATCACAATGTTCTCCTCCCACCTGGCTCTATTGGCGAGCTGCTCCTCGAAGGACCCCTCATCGGCCGTGGCTATCTTGGTGACGCGAAAAAGAATGCTGCCGCGTTTATCAAGGACCCTGCGTGGCTGATAAAAGGTGCATCTGGCAGTAAAGGACGTAGCGGACGCCTCTATAAGACTGGTGATCTTGTACAATACCTAGCCGATGGAAGCCTCAAGTTTATCGGGAGAAATGATAACCAGGTCAAGATCCGTGGGAACCGCGTGGAACTCGGCGAGGTTGAGCACGCGCTCCGGGATTGCGTCGAAACCAGGAGTGTCGTTGCTGAGATTATTATCCCACGGGGGAGCAAGTCGAGTGCGACGCTTGCAGCATTCCTTCAAGCCGAGGAAGAGGAAGAGGACGACACCGAGTCCGAGGTGACCACGAGGATGTTGCCGGTGCCGGCGGAGATCAAGGACAAGATGGCTCAGCGTCTTCCCATCTACATGGTACCGACGGTCTTGTTCTCAATGAAAAGGCTGCCCATGACCGCGTCGGGAAAGATACACCGCAAACAGCTGCGCGACATTGGCGGACGCGTTTCTGCGCGGCAGATTGTCGAGATGCACACCAAGGGGCGAGCAAAGCGACAACCAGTATCCGAGGTTGAGCAGCAGGTGCACAGGATATGGTCACAGGTTCTTGCGATCGATTTGTCCATGATTGGGCTGGATGATAGCTTCTTCGAGCTCGGTGGCGACTCGCTCGGTGCCATGGAAGTCGTGTCAGAGGCTCGCAAGGTAGGTCTTGAGCTGACAGTCGTGGATATTTTCAAGCACCGTAGCGTCGAGAATGTCGCAGGACAAGCCCGGCGTACGACAAATGGATCTCTCGAAGCTATTTCACCATTCTCCCTCATTGGCAAGGAAACTGATGTCGCATCGTTGATACAAGACATGGCGACGGACTATGAACTGGACGGGGCATCGATACAAGACGCGTTCCCCTGCACATCCCTTCAAGAAGGCCTTGTATCGTTGACCTCGAAATCACCGGGAGACTATGTCATGCAGGGGATCCTAGAACTAGCACCCGATATTGACGTTGATGCTTTCCGAAATGCATGGGAGCAGGTCGCCACCACGGGTCAGATTCTTCGAACAAGAATCCTGCAATCTAGACATCACGGAACTCTGCAGATAGTTGTCGATGAGAGTGTTTCCTGGGTGGAAGCAACAGATCTGGACAGCTACCTCGCCGAAGACAAGAAGAAGCCCATGGAAATTGGCCAGCCTTTGGTGCGATATGCTCTCATCAAGGACGACAACGCTGCCACGAGGTGGTTTGTGTGGACCATTCATCACTCGCTTTTTGATGAATGGTCCCTGACTCTCATTATTGACGCCGTGACGCGGGTGTATCAGGGCAAATCGATAACCATGCCTCACTTTCAGCCCTTTATAAAGTACGTCGAGAAGCAGAGGGATGAGAAAATGGCCAACTACTGGCGCCAGTCTCTCGACGACTGTGAGTGTCCTTCCTTCCCGGCGCTTCCTCCGTCCCTGGAGCAGCCGGTGACGGACGGAGTGATGGAGCATGCTCTGCACCACCCCCAGCACGATTCAAGTGTCACGGCGTCAACAATAATTCGAGCTGCGTGGGCACTCATTACGTCCCGCATGACAAACTCGGACGATGTTGTGTTTGGTGCTACATTGTCCGGAAGAGGCGCCGCGGTGCCCGGCGTGGAAGCCATCGCCGCCCCAACCATTACCACTGTTCCCGTCCGAATAAGACTATCCAGGGAGCAAAAGGTTGCAGACTATCTCAAGACAGTGCAAGAACTTGCCACCGACATGATACCATTCGAACAGATGGGACTGCAGCATATTGCCAAACTCAGCCCTGGCGCACGGCAGGCCTGCAACTTCCAGACGCTGCTCGTGATTCAACCACACAACAGCAGCAACACACAAGACGTGCTTGGAAAGTGGCACCTCAGTAATCAACAGCAGTCGTTCAACACGTACAGTTTGATTCTGGAG